CCTTCTCCTCCTTCTCCTCCTTCTCCTCCTTCTCCTCCTTCTCCTCCTTCTCCTCCTTCTCCTCCTTCTCTTCTCCTCCTTGTCTATGACGTATCGGGTAGCGTTGATGAGCTCATCGGGCACGCTTCTTTCAGGGGATTAACGGTCTGCAAATCTTGGAACGGAACTTACCAGCCAAAAATTCGGCGCTGGGCGTGGCGTCATTGAGCCGGTACCATGACCGGGCCGCCCGCGAAGCAACCAGTCGAACAAGCATCTGCATACCGAATGGTGTAGATTAGCGATGCCGTGCCAGCTCCCGAACATCTTCTGCGGACGGCAGTCAGCACTAATTTGGTGATACTTCAGTTGCAGCCGCTGCCAGGGTCTTCAAAACATCGTTCATGGTTTCATAGTCTGTGAAAGAAGCTGCTCCAGCGTAAAGAACTAGCAGTCACGCTGTTTTTCGGATTGATCAAAGTCCCTCCAAGTCTCACGGTTGAACAGTTGAGGTTTCAATACATCCCCATGAAAGATGACCCTAAAGATACCCATCCAGTCAAAGCGAGGTATTGGTAAGCTGAAGAAGACTTATTTTCTCGTGAGTGGCGATAGGGTCTTTTCTTTCGCAATCAATGTGGTGTTTCCATCGATAGTCGACCCGTAGCGCAACCTGAATCGAGACGAGGGTGCGCATTTATATTTTTCGCTTTTGTGGCTTGAGTCTTCAATCTCTATGGACTATCATGACCACCATCCAGGGTCCCTCTTATGCATGAGAATATAGGGAAATTTTGATGCTCTTTGGTCTTGGAACATGGTGTCGCTTGTACTGGTGAGCCTCGTCTAAGTCACTATCCTAATCCCAAGACAGAATGTTATACTCTCACAAGAAAGCCATCGTCGAATAACGTTTGAAAGCCTGAATCTAAGCCAGTCACTATCCGGGCACGTTTTACTCTCCGTAAGGTCGATCACAGGATATTTGAGAAATACAAAGCTATTTGCCGCTTAGACAACTAGAATAATAACAGCAAACTAAACGAAAGGAATAGGGTACTTCGATACAAAGACTTTCAGACAGTTGAACTCCAAAGGACATACCAGGATCATTACGAAAGCCAGGGGAATTTAGTTTGAATAGTCCAAGAACTCAACGTTCGTGACTGGGTGGCGCAGGTCAATGAGGCTGGGTGCGACTTACCGGTTTATATTAGTCAGCGAACGATCATAGTTAGCATGGCCACTTTCAGAAAATGATCGCAAATCTGCTCACGAGTAGCCAAGCATGTAATTTGAAGTACCTGAGATGAGCTATCGGTGAATCCCACAGACTTATCGCCAGTCCTCATCACGTATATGAGGGTGTTTATTTACTCTCTTCCCTAACCGTCTCTCTCTCCTCGAGCTCCATTTTCTTATTCTCAACCGCCATGCTCCTCTCGACGTCCTGTGCGCGTTGCTCAGCAGAGACAGCTCCAAATAAGACATCCATATCCTCCAGCGTCCGGCCCTTCGTTTCCTTGATGAAGAGGAAAGCAAAGATACCCATACACAAACAAAAGATACCGAACATCAGGAACGTCTTCCATCCAATGTGGTTGATGGCCTCCGGCGTGATCTTGGTTATGACGAAGTTAAACAACCACTGGGTCGCCGCTCCCATACCCACACCGTACGCACGGAGTCGTGTAGGGAAGATTTCGCTCAAGTAAACCCAGGGAACCGGGCCCCAGGACGCGGAATATCCGATGACGTATAGATAGATCATGGCGACCATAGCAATTGACGCTTTAGACACAGTGCCTGCTGAGGCTGTGGTTGGATTCGGAGGGTGCGTGGCCAATACTGCGCCGATGATGAACATCATCACTGACATCCAGGCAGCCCCCGCCATGAGAGACTTCTTGCGACCAACGAAGTCAATGCCAATGATCAAGAAGATTCCAGTAGTGATAACCTTGACAGTACCGTAGACGCCGGTAGCAAAGAGAGAGGCGTTGTTCTTCGATACACCGACTGTCTGGAAAATTTGTGGTGCGTAGTACCCAATTGAATTTGTTCCGCTGAATTGTTGCCAAAACATTAGAACAAAGCCGGTGATGAAGCGGTAGCGGTTTCCTGGCAGAAGGCATTCGCGCCAGGTAACTCCCTCAGTCGCGTTGAGCTCTTCCTCGATAGCAGCCCGAATTTCTGCAAGCTCCTTGATTACATCCGGGCTGTCCACCGACTCGCATCGAATATGAGCCAGAGACACGGCGGCTTCACTATGACGTCCCTTCTTCATAAGCCAACGGGGCGATTCCTTCAAGAAGAACAGACCGATAAGCATAATTCCGCCCGGAATGAGCTGAATGGCCACCGGCACCCGCCATTGCTTGGTGGATACTGGGATGTGGAGTGACACGCCGTAGTCCAACCAGTAGGCAAAGGTTGACCCAATAACGAGGAATTCCTGAAACAGGCCGGCGATACGTCCACGAACCTCAGGTGGCGCATTCTCTGATACGAACACGGGAGTGATTGATGACATTCCTCCGATACCCAGACCAGCGATTACACGTCCAGCATATATCATTCCAATCTTATGGTGTGCAGCCGTCTGAATAGCCGCACCGACAAGAAATACGACCGAGAAGCCCATGAGCGAATATCGACGACCGAAGCGCTCGTTGAGGAAGGCTGCAGCGATGGCACCGAAAAAGCATCCAGCTGTGAGGAGCGACACCACGTTGGACGATACGTAGGCATTCTGGGCGCTTGCAAATCCAGAAGAGTCCGTTGGAAGGCCAAAGTCTTTTTTGAAGGCTTTGAGTGACAGCACGCTTCCCATGACACCCGTATCATAGCCTATAGGTGTCAGATAACGCCGACGACTCGAGCACGTCACTTACCGAACAGAAGACTGCCCATATAGGCCACGCTCGTAAGCAGGTAGACCCTGCGGTTCTTGAAAAACTTGGACGGCATCTTGACGCGAGCTTCAGGTTGAGGGCCTGGCAAAGCAAACTCTGCCCGGGGGACCGCCATTTACATACTGGGTGCCTTCGGAATTGCCGCCAGCTTCCCCAGAGCGGAGAAGGCCACCATGGGATTGTTGTCCCGAATTCTCCACGTTCCGGGGTTTAGTCTTGTGCTAATCGCGAATAGTGTCCACATCTCGGCGGCGTCGGCTTCCTTCGTTCCACCAGTCATTCGCGCGCTTGCTTTCTCAAATGCCGACCAAATTCATGGCGAAGGTACACGCCGAACGAGAACATCACCAAACCTTCCATACCCATGTTATGGTGTTGAGTTTCGACAACATAAACGCAAGCGGATTTCAAGCGGCCAAGACCCCTTGGCAAGTCTTATCCTGTACTCCCAAGGTGGTGGTGCAAGCCAAGCGAACTGCACTTTCATCAATCAGGGGGGGGGCGGCAGGGGCAACACCTCGGTTGTCGGGTCGCAGTTAGCGGCCCGACCAGCAGGAATGTCCACCAAGAAACAGGCCCCATGACCAGGAAACGTTCATTTGTCGCCGCGCAGCCGCCTGGACAAGCACAAACACAGCGCTTTGTTCTCCAAGCTCCTCGTGTGACAAAACATGGACACCGTCATGACCGCTTGGCGATGGCGTGGCTGCAGACACAAGCGGGCATGGTCCAGTAATCTCGTCCCACTAGGATTCCGTTTCAAACCTGTAACATACGAACGGAAAAATCGTCTCCACCACACAGTACCTCTCGTTGTTGCAGCGCCAACCCACCGCCCCACGCAATCAGAGCCGAGATGAGAAGCCACGCAGCGTATCGCCGCAGTGGAGATTGTGAACTCAGTATCTGACAGCTGCGGGACAGGAGAGCTGCGCGCGCATGGCGCTCGTCGAGTAGCCAGTCCGGAGACCTGCTCACTTCCAGTGCACGTGACTGAGGATAACTGGCTGCGGAGATCATGGCGCATAATTTAATGCCTCTTGCCTTCAATAACGCCATAAACGCATGACGTTTCGTTTGTCGCCGAGGCATGGTGTTTTGCTGTCCAGACCACTTATACAAATGTGGACGTTGCTGGGCTGTTTCAGTTTTCTTGGAGAGTCGACTGCCATTCGACGACACCGGCGTTCTACGGATGGAGTTCATGGACATGCATGCAAGCGATGCCGTTCCGTTCCTGCACGGTCATGAATTCATCAAAACAGCTTGGCACGCGGTTGAGCCAGCCCCATTTCGACGCCCTGCGGCAGCTAAGGAGCATACACGACGTCTAAATACGCACTAGAGCTCATGAGATTGATGAGGTTTTGCTTGGCCCCAGACTAATGCTCGGTAACGAGATGCAGGCATAGCACTAGGACCGTCATTTCCAGAATCTTGGATGCAATCCCACACGGATGGTGGGATGAGTATAAGAGCCTCAGCGTCTGCTTCATGGAGAGAACAAGCTTGAAGCTGCACCCTCATTTTCTACACGCTCTTTAGCATTCACTCGCTTTCGTTTCGAACCTCCATTCGTCTTATCTTCTTTCATTCATCCTTTGAAACATACTCTCACTCTCTAACCAATCACCCAACCCACCAACGAAAATGAAGACCGCTATTGCTTTCGCTCTCGCTGCTGGCAAGCTCGCTGCTGCCCATGCCACCTTCCAGAGCTTCGTCATCGACGGAAAGGACCAAGGCCAGCACTTTGCCGTCCGAACCCCTTCCAACTCCAACAACCCCATCCTTGATGTCACATCCAGCTCTATGTCTTGCAACGGCGGCACCAAGGCTGATGACACTCTCGAGGTTGCTGCTGGCTCCGAGATTGGCCTTCAGTGGCACCACAATGATGGCGCGTCTACCGCCGGTGACAACGATGAGCCCATTGCAGCTTCTCACAAAGGACCCGTGATGGTCTACATCGCCCCTGCCGAGTCCAACGGAGAAGGTGATGTCTGGGTCAAGATCCAGCAGGATGGTCTGACCGGTACCACTTGGGGTGTTGACAACTTTATCACCAACAAGGGTCTTGTCAATGTCAAGATCCCCGATCTCGCTGCCGGAGATTACTTGATCCGCCCTGAGATTATCGCTCTTCACGAGGCCAGCTCCCAGGGCAAGGCCCAGTTCTACAACGGCTGCGGTCAGATTAAGGTCACTGGCTCTGGCTCCGCCAGCCTCCCTTCGGGAGTCGCCTTCCCTGGCGCTTACTCTGCGACTGACCCAGGTGTTCTGTGCAACATCTACGGCGGGGAGGTCAAGTGCACTGCTTCCGGCAGCGCTGGCTACGACGTTCCCGGCCCTAAGGTCTGGGACGGTGCTTCGAGCGGCTCAGGTTCGGGCTCTGGCTCTGCCCCCGCTTCGTCTGCCGCCCCCACTGCCACCGCGGCCGCTTCTTCCGCCCCTGTCTCCTCTGCCCCGGCTGCCACCTCTTCTGCTGCCGCTGCCCCTGCTCCTACCATCGGCTCTGGCTATGAAACCGCTCCCTCGGCCACCCAGCCTGCTGCTCAGCCCACCGCCACCGCTGAGGCTGGCTCTGGCTCTGGCTCCGGCTCTGGATCCAGCCTCCCCGAGCAGTTCACCATTTCCGAGTTCATCTCATGGCTCGAGACCAAGACCGGGTCGGCTAACGCCAAGCGCTTCGCCGCTGCTTTCGCCCGCCGCGCTCACCCCCGTGACTTCGCCTAAGCGAATCGCAATATTTCACGATCTTCTGCATTCTTGTCTACCACGTAGACGGGCTGGTTCTCTGAGAGTATGTTCTTGGATATAGGCTGCGACCTATCTTTTTTGCATGTGCTGCGATGCGGCCGCTTCTTTTCACTGTATATAGCATTCATGACGAATGGAATCGAAAAGCTCATTGTATGATATGAGATTACCATGATTGTGCCCCTTTCTTGGCTTCGAAAAATGTGATGGTTTCCCGAATTAATTTGACAATTGACCTCAAGGGCCCGACACTACACTACCACGTAATTGCAAGGCGCTCGGTTTCATTCGAACATTACAGCGTGTTGCACACGCAGCGTGAGAACGTGTCCTGGAGTCACTCCGTTAAATCTGGTATAGACAACATGAAGAGCTTTCTCGGTTCGTATACAAGAGACACACTGCTCTCAGTGATGAAACTGATTGACTCCTGTCGGTCGCCGTCACCTCACACAGCCTGCCATTGCAATCTATCCTCCATCTCCATAGCCGCTATGATCGCACAGCCCACTCCAGATCCATCATCTGCACTTGTGATGACGATAGGATCTTGGTCCTCGCCTACACTGTCAAACCCTAATATCTGATCCAGCGCCTTTGCCCACCTCTTCTTGAAGTGCGGATGCTTGTTTGCTACGCTGCCGTCCGCAGCGACATGCCCTTTCGTAATTCCTTCCTCCAAGCAAATCGCCGCAACGCCACAAGCACACAACCGCGCGCCTCTGACTGCAATGAGTTTCGCTACTCGCTGGAAGACGTCCAATTCCTCGTCCGCGACATCCAATCCGAGCACATCCTTGAACATGGCCCGAGTATCGGCGAAGTCCTTAGTCTCGTCGTTCTCAATCTGTGAGAGGAAGCCTGTGTCGATTGAGTATCCCTCTCGCAATTTCCCATTGCCATTTTTCTCCTGATCCACAAAGATAAGCCCCCGATCCGTAAGTTCCACCAGAATCAATCGAAAGATCTCCCCCAGGTACAGACCCGCAGATAACTTCTCAAACATCTGCTGCCCGGGCCTAGGGCTTTCCTCGTCAATTTGTACATCGTACTTCGTCAACGGAAGCACCTTGCGTGCGTTGTCGAAAGCGCCGTACTCGCAATTTATTGCCATCCGGGGTCTCGTGTTCCCATTTTTGTCTTTCAGTCTTTCATCGTCGGGTGAGAGCTTTTTAATGGAGGAGATAGAGGACATGTACGCGGCATTGCATCCAGTTCCGAAGATGCCGCCGATGATGGTGGCAGGGTCATTGTAGGCGGAAGCAACCATTGCGCCGACAGTGTCGTTAATAACGCAGATAAGGTCCAGTGGTAATTTCCTTTCCTCGATCTTAGCGCGCAGCTGATCGGCTACGTCGTGGCCTTCTACACCGTCGATATCAAAGCCCTTGGTCCAGCGCTGTAGTACGGCATGGTCGATACGGTCTTGCATTGCCGGGTAGCTGAAGCAGAATCCGAGGGGCATTTTCTTCTTGTCGTTGTACTCTTTCGCCAGGCCCTTGTTTTCGATGAAGTCCTCCAGCTTCTCGGCCACGTGCGTCCAGAGCTCGTCAGCGTGGGTGGATTTGATGGAGTTGGGGAACTTGTATTGTTCCTGGTCAATCTCGTATCTTTTATTATTATCCTTTGTCGTTTCACCGTGTAGCGTCACTTTACATACACGTAGGTTGGTGCCTCCCAAATCGATGGTCAAAAAGGTGCCCTTTTCTTTGCCCGTAGGCAGGGAATGCACCCATGTCACGTTCATGGGAATATTTTGGTCGTCTTTCGCAAGGCCTGGCAGGTATTAGAAGATAGAGCAAAGAATCCGAATGTCGTGATTCGTACCTTCGTCAAGCTCCTCCTGAAAGCGCCGCACTATTTCTTTCAGCTTCTCACTCGAGATCCACAATTCCTTGTCCAGTCTCTCAAGCTCCTTCTCTAGCTGCGGGGATAACTCTGCCATTGATTCGATTTCCGAGCGCTGACGCCAGGTGCTGTCTTCCTTGACAGGCTCTTTTGACGTCGGCATAATTGGTCGCAAACTCAGTTTAGCGTACAATAGGTACACTGGAAACGAAATTATACGAAGAACAGGATATAAGAGCAGATAAAGTAGGCATCAACTGAGTAGCTGCTACATTATATTCTATGCACTTTCGACATAATGACGTCGACTCACTACCATTCCTGCATCCCACATTTACTCGCTAGCAGTACTTCATCCTGGTTTCCGGGCTGCCTGTGGGACGCCGCAGCTTTTTTCGACAAGATGACGTTCGTTTGGGCAGAAGAGAATTAATGATAGAAGTGTCGGCCCGAGCCTTGCTGATTGGTGGGTAGAGGTGGAGCAAGAGGGACGCTCAGCCAGGAACAAGAAAAACTGCCGCAGCTAGAGACCACAAAAGGAACTCACAGATAGCGCTGATACATAAGAGTAGTCTTTAGGTAACAAATAGCACGTCTGCGGTTGTGGAACAACTTAATAGTAAGTGCGTGGATATATGATGCTGGTGAGCAAGTGACAAAAAGGGTCTCTAGGAAGACAAAAATATATGCAGCGGGTTATAAGAGGTGTTGCCACAGCTCATCTCGCGCCTCATCCAACATGCGGCTTTCCTCGCCCATTTCAACAGTGAATGTTGTTGATATATGAATGAGGAGGTTCATCGCGGCTAATCCCGGCCGCAACGCTGACTCAGCCCCTTTCCGTGGAATTCTCGTTTAATGCCGCCAGCGTGGCTGTCGCTTTCGCCATTCCGGTCCCGCTTCCGAATGCCGAAAGCGCAGCGTCTTTTGTCACCAGGCGCAGGCAAGTGACTCTCAACACTCTCGTACACATGACCCTCCTCACTACGTATACTGCTACACCATAGCCTATGCACCACTACCACGTCCCAATATCATGATACCCACGTCGCGCGCCTGGGCCCTACGTGCAGGCCTTCGGCGCACAACACCGAAACCGCGTTGTCACACCCTAGACTTATCGCACGAAGTCCGCTGCGGTACCACGAAGACAGTGAAAAGATGGTATGCGTCGCCTAAGCCTGTAGGGCAGAAGGCACCAGAGTCTGTCACCACGATTCCTGGACCGAACTGGTTATGGCTTGAGCCCATCTACGAACCGTTCCGCGCTTATGGCAGGGTGCAGAGGAGGAGGCCATATATGACGCAGTTCATAAGCTCTCTGGTGATCTATCTGGTGGGAGACTTTGTTGCGCAGAGTATTGGTTCCCCAGCTCCAGTGGAGAATGTGGAGGGGGAGGAAGAGGGGGAGAGAGGTTGGGTGCAGGCTTGGGCAGAAGATAGGGACTGGGCGAGGACAGGAAGAGCCCTCTTAATTGGAGGTGCGGCGGCGGTGCCGGGGTACAGATGGTTTTTGTGGTTGAGCAACTCTTTCAATTACAGTTCAAAGACACTGTCGCTGGCGACCAAGGTATGTCTTCTGCTCGGTACTTCCCCGTATTAAACGGAGCTAACCCACATGCGCAGGTTGCTGTAAACCAGCTTACCTTTACGCCCTTGTTCAACTCGTACTTCTTCGGCATGCAATCATTACTCTCTGGCATGACTATCCCCGAAACTATCGAGCGCATAAAGAACACGGTACCTGTGTCTTGGATCAACAGCTGCAAATTATGGCCTGCAGTCACAGCTTTCATGTTCGCATTTGTTCCCATCGAGTATCGCAGTATATTCGGCGGTGTCATTGCGATTGGCTGGCAGACCTATCTTTCGTTGTTGAACCAGAGAGCTGCAGCGAAAGCAGAGCTTGAGCACACTCCAGAAGACACGAAGACGCGCGCGGTCCGGCGATGCGAGGAGGATGGGGAGACTGTCGAAGAGAAATGTGCTGCATAAGGTGCGCAGGGCATCGCTTTGGCAAGTGGTTGGTCTATCGGCGACGCCTCACTAAGACCGCCGTTCTACCTTGACTTTCATTGATTTCCTTTGTCATATTAGCATTTGGGCGGCGTTCTGGGCATTAACGACATGGAATAGGATATACCACTGGCTTTGCATAGCCTATGCATTTATAGACAGGCATTGCTACTTTAGATACAATCGAGTCTTGTGTAAAGATCATGAATTAAAAATGGCAGGGTTTCTCCCGCTAGGGTCCCTTTCGACGTACATAGAGATCGCTTCATGAATCACAGAACCGGTGAAGCAAGGCTGAGAAGCACCTCGTATTGGAAAAGCGGCCATCGCCACGTAGAAGAAGGCTGGGCTGCCTTCAAGTACAACCAGGTTGGCATACCACAAAACATCAAAATGCCTAGTCTGTCGAAAATCCTTTGCTGTGGAAGTCGCGTTTTCGTTAACCGCGTGAAGGCACGCCGGCTTCCTTCCAACGCGAACCCTGATCCGGCCGGATGAAAGCGCGCCAGCTGATTGATAACATTGTATGGGAGCACACGCTTGATGGCACCATCTCCGGCACTAAATTCTGGTCACTCGCCAACAACTGTCTAGAACTGTACGTCATACGAGCTTGTGGTAGTGTTGGAACCACCAACGGAGTAGCTATACCTTAATATTTAGCTCTAATTATGAGAAGAACGTACATTGCTTGCTGGAGCTCATGTAAAATGTAGACGACAACATCTACATATACGTAACTCCGACTCTGAGTTTTACTTATAAGCCTGGATGCTTGAGGATTGACTACAGTGATGTTGGCTTTGATGCCGATAATGTCGCAGCTATCGGCGGTATCGGCAAGAGTACCAAAAGCGACAAAAGAAGCGACGGTGAATTTATTGGTGAACAGGGCATTGGATACAAATCCGTGTATAAAGCCGCCGATGTTGTGTGGATAGCGTTAAATGAAAGATTCATCGGAGGAAACCCTTCGGTACAATCACTTCTATCTGGGAGGAGTTCCCAGAGCCTAGAGCGAACAATGGGATAGTGATATTTCCGCGGCTCTCTACTACAAACGATGAGGAAAATCTCGCTAGAGAGCTTTATGAGTTGACGCCGACCTGCTACAATAGAACCCAAAAAGGTTAAAACAAGCGTACCAGAGTGAATTGACCCATAGGGAGCGATGTATCAACAATCCACGAGTCATGAGCGGAGAGAAGCTCCATATTTCCATGGTAAAGTGGTACAATTACTTTTGCAACGCACCGATATTCAAAAAGTAATTGCAGCACCCATTGTCAAAGTCATCTGCGGGAAATGGTTGATCGATTGGAAGAACCTCTACGCATCACTTGAGGTGTTAGATCGCGAAGTACAAATTGCGGACTACGAGGATAAGCCCCGCGATGTGAGAGCTTCGTGGGAGCTGTTTAGACAACTAGGCCTTCAGCGCGAATGGGAGGAACGCCAGCAGAGGTGGAAGCTACTTATGATGCTCGAGCATTGTCGATATACAGACAGCACGCTGAGTTACGATTGACTATTCACCCTCGTTGGCCTCGCATCCGATGCCAACGAGGCCGACTTCGAGCCTGACTACGATTCTAGTTTCCAGCATGTGGTGCTCAAGTTCGCAAAAGCGTTCGTTCGCCAAGGACGGGGATACCCGCTGCTCTATCGCGCAGGCATCTCCGGCACTGATCACGACGCTAAATTGCCTTCATGGATATCTGGCTGGACTGTGAAGCGTCCCAGCGGGCTCTACGACTCCTTAGACCTTAAGTTCTTAGCAAGCGGTCCATAGACCCCACAAACTGTTCTTGGTCCTGGCTCCGATGAACTCAGCGTAGATGGTTACGATATGGAGGTCGTCCTCAACATTAGCACCGCATGCAACACAGATCCTGAATGGGAGGCTTACTTTACTGAGATCGATGCCATGGTAGCAGACGGCGTGCTGAGCAGCACGGTAGACTCAATAGAGGATCTCAAGTGGTAAGTTCCCATCGTGGCAGCCGGAGCAGACAGCGCGAATTTGAAGACGTCGTATGCTGTATTTCGGAAGTACCTTACCACCCACTCACTCTACGACGTCCGGATATCTCCACAGGAATGCACACACAACGTACATGGTGTATCCCCGGGGAATTCGGGCAAGGTTGAAGTTCGTGGTCACGAAGCGGGGATTCGTTGGCGTCGTCCCTGGTTTGAGTCAGGTTGGAGATGCGATCGCTGTCATGAAGTGAGGGTGCGTATCATTTGTGGTAAGGGAGAGCGGGGAGATGTGGTGACTCATTGGGAGTGCTATGTTCATGGGATCATGAAAGGAAAGGGTTTATTGCTGCCAGGCATGAAGGAGCGGACTTTTGCCTGTACTGAGATGGCATATGGATGCTGTGGAGCTGGATCGCATGCATTTGCCCTCCATGGTGTACGCACTGTGGATTTCAGAGTTGCATACTCTACTTACTCTACTAACATAGAAGCCTATATACATCATCGTACGCACTGCCTATCCCGGGTTAACACACGGTAATCAGCATCGTACATTCAGCATGTTGAATAGTTACCCTGGGGTAACACACTGTGCTTTGTTTTAACTATCTCAACGCTCATCCTCCCTTACAGATCCAACCTTGAGGAGCAAGTCTCAATGAAATGTGCTCTTCGCTCTAGTCTCGACATGTTATAAACTCCGGAACATGGCCCTGCAGCGCACTTTGTGCCCACGCCTCATTCTTTCTTTCACGTGGCCAGTGATGTCTGCCTGCCATGGAACTATTTCAGGACCACCTGTCGCACCCAGCAGGCAGCTCACACCGCGAAATCGAGATGGTGTCAAGACACAAGGCTGCCCGGATTCCACCGGGTGAACAATGTTCTCCTCATGCCGTGGCTGGATCCATACAGCGTTCTAACGGTCTCGACACGGTGGTGTCGTTACATGATTTACAGCGTGTGTTCGTCGCTTGCGATACGATATATGCGTAACGAAGGTATATCACCTGAATGTCGCCGGGTCTTATAGTCTTCGCATGTCTGCCTTCACTTTCAAGACACTGCTGCATCACTCCGATTCTTCCACTTGCATGATTGCCTCACATCTTTGCCTCAGCTCTGGTACGCCCGGGACGCCATCCCACTTGTCCAATATCTGGCTGATATCTTCCCACTCCTTCTCCGCCTCTTCGTCCTGCTCCTGGTCGATCATTTCTTGTAGTCGCCTTGGCGTATCCAGGACCCAGCGCACGGTGTCTTTCTGCTTCTGCTTCGTAGCCACTCCCACTCTGCCCTTGTCTTCGCCCTCGACCTGTATGTCTATCCCTAAGCCCTGCGGTTTTGCGGGCAGTGCCTGCATCGAAGATGAGAGCGAGGCGGCGGTCTCAGCAATATGTGCTATGGCCGGACCGAGAGTGTGTGTGGTAGGTGCGAGAGGGTCCATGTTTCCGCGCATGCGGCGGATGGTACTGGTCGCGGAGAGCAGCTTAGAGTAGTTATCGTAGACGAGAGACTTGCGGTCGCTGTCGAGATTTCGTATTTCTACCTTGCAGTCAGTAGCAACCACATAAGGTACGTATACGCTAAAACATACGCGACACCAGGTCTGCTTCCACTCTGAGCACACCCTTCAGGCCTTCCTTCGCTAACAGGGTATTCACGTATGCGTCGGCGTCGAAGTCGGTAGCATCGAGCTCGGTCAGAGTCTCGTCGTCTTCGTGGGCAAGCTCGGTCCTGGTCGATTCTTCCGATATCTTCGCTTCGTTGTCTTTCGCAGCTTTGAGGCCATAGTAGTCGCGCAGCGCGGCCCGGTTGCGGCGCGTGGTCGAAGGTGGTCTAGCGGAAGATTCGAAGGAGGCGCGAGTGGAGGAGGGGCTGCGTATGGACGAGCTTGGTCGCGGCGATGCTATGGTGGACATTGTGCCTTTCAGAGCGTAAAGGGGGCGGTGTATGTTGGCGCGGATTGTTGCCGTATCAACTAGTATGAGAGGTGAGGTTGCTCGGAACATTCACCGATGCCAAGCCTGGTAGGGCTGGCCTAGCAGGAGCTACCCGCCCCGCGTCCGACGCGTTGTGACCCACTTCGCTGCACTCGACTACAAATGGTCACACATCGTTCTGCAAACACAGCAGCCGCGCAGATTACGACCAATTGATCGCCAGCATGGCAAATAACCTCACAGCAGAGCTCACACAGCACCTGAATAGCAGACACCTCTATCCTGCCGCCGTGTGGCTCCAAACCTTCGTCTCCGGTACGCGTCCGAATACGCCGCTGCCTGCACTGAAGCAAACCGCCCTCTTCCGCCTGCTCGCCACCGATATCACCACCTCGCTGCAACCACCATTGCATACAGTACTCCCTCAAGACGTTCTCAACCCAAGGACGCAGACGCGCATCATCGCCGGCCCCATCGTTTGCCAAGTACTCGACATCGAAGACATTGGCCTCTCGCGCTGGGCACAGGTCGAGCAGATCGAGGCCAAAGAACGCGGCGAGACGACCAAAGGCCGCGAGATTGTGCGCGTTGTCGAGGATGAGAATGACGGGACGGTCGCACCTACCGTGCACAGCAGAGGTCCCTTCAAGCTTCTTCTGCAAGACGCAAAGGGTGCAAAGATCTACGCAATCGATCTGCGCGGCATTCAAGGGGTCAATACTGATATGCCCATGGGTGCGAAGCTTCTGCTGCGAAACACTGATGTGAGGAGGGCCGTGGCTATGCTGGAGCCCGCCAATGTGCAGATTCTGGGCGGCAAGATGGACGCGCTTGACAGGGCGTGGAGAGAGGGGAGAAAAGAGCGGCTTATGAACGCTGCCAAGATCTCGGGTGAAGTTGGGAATGGATGAAGCTTTACAACCTGCAAGAAAGACAACGAAGCCGCGGGACAAGCTCACATCCGATGAGAGAACCATGAGCCCTGACCTACGCCGCCTCATGGTAGAGGCAAGGAGCTTGCTGAACGCGATATCGTTCCCGCGTATTCCGAACCATGTGGTCCGACGTCGAGGTCATATGGACGTGGATCAGGTGATCAGACATGCTCATTACCCAGCATGAGCAGAACCAAAGTCTGAGCGGCCACCTAAGATCGATCCACCGCAATTGTGCAGACATTACGTCGAAGACTTTCTCACGACTGGAATGGCCTGACCCCAGTCCCAGCCGCGACAATGTCCATGCAACCCGCCAGTAGCTGTCCAGCCCCAATCCTCTCATCCCGCGCCCATCGAAGCCGGCCCGAATCGCTCCCCAAACAGCCCAAAGCATGCCAATGATAAGCTTTGCTTACAGCTACCCCGCAGCTCCGCCTGCTAATCACAAGACCAGAGTATGATGATCATGCTCGCATGCGCCGCATCCCACACTGCCTTATGACGTCACTCCACCTTTTATCACCACAACTGTATATCTACCCCCTCATATGAAATCGTGCGGCGCGCTCATAGACTACTGCTCTGAAACACCGCTAAGTTAACATTGCTTACAAACAAACCGTACTTGCGAAAATGTCAATGGACAACACCCCCGCGACTACCACCAACAAGACCACCACCGACCCCTCCTCCGGCCAATCTTCAGAGTTCCTAGGTACATCCCCCCTGGCTCACTTCACCCCGTAAACCGTCAAACCCCCTGAATCTCACTCACATTCCATCTACAGAACCATCAAAGTCCTCCGACGGCCCCCAGCGCCGCTCCTCCATTTCCAAGATCGTGGACGCGATCAAGAAGCCATTCCACCACGAGAAAAAGCAGGAAGATGTGCCGCCCGCACTGAAGGAGAACATCGAGCGCATGGAGGAGCGGAAGCAGGAGCGCATTGAGGAGATGCAGAAAGAGGGGTTGGATACGAGTATGCTTGAGGGGAGCAAGAAGGGGCAGTTAAAGCAGACGTTGCGCTAAGCGGATGGGGAAGGGTGTTGAGGCAGGTTGTGAGGTTGTGAGATCGTACGATTGTCATGTATGTATCAGTATGCGGGTGATGCAGCCCGAGCGGGCTGCTTTTCGGCGTAGGCGGCGTATAACGGTGTGAGCACAGAAGATTGAAATTGACTTTACAATCAGAGTAATGCAGACTAGTCTACTCCAAATATTCACTATAGTTATGTATTCATTCATTACGCGACCCAAGTCAGTTCATGGGACCCCAACAGGCATTATCATACAAAGCAAGCCTTTCGTGCCACAACTGCCCCGGAAATCTATGATACATGGCAAATGTCCAAAAAAAGCCGGGCGGTCAGTGCCTGGCTGACGGCAAACTGATCCTCACCCAAAGGTATCCCCAAGCGCACCAAAATTCAAATACGCGTAAAAGCGCCACTGCCTTTTGGCAAGCAAAACTCCGTTAAAAAGTCCCCACCCGCACCGGAAATGCAACACATGCTCAAATAAGGGCGAGACAGACCCTTAGTCGGTCCTCCACTAGTCGATTGTGATCACCTCGTGGTTTTTGCCGCCACCCCGCCCAGCTGGGAGTTTCTTAACATTCGCGGCAGCGTTGCCATTGGGTCGGTTGGCCGGGTTCGAGCTGTTGGGTTGCCTGGCAGGTGCAGCTGCGGTAATCGGTGCATTACTGTCGGCGGCCTCCTGCTTGACGCCACCCTCCACATAGCAGCCGATGACGACTTCGTTCAACTTCCTCAGCGCATCTGGGACCCCATCGATATCAGCAATGATGCCTGTGCGGACACCCCACCAGCGCTCGTCTCGCTCCCTGAACAATTTCTGTAGTGCGGATTTCAAGGTCTCTAACCGTTTGAAATTGGGACTGCGTTCAGTCTTCGGTCGCAAGTCTGCTGGCTTGCCCTCATTATCTTCAATATCCCATAGCACTCGGTCGTCTTTGGGCTTGAGTCTAATATCGAAGGAACAGGGCGGGTTGGTGTAAGTGATGCGATAAGTGCGCAGATCATGCACGTGTACAGCTGGGTTATCGACGTTGCCCGGTGTCCGATTTTCAAGTTCGCTCAGGACCGTCAAAAGAGGTCGGGACCAGATAAGAGCCGCGCAAAAACGATCCAGACCATTGTTGTCGCCAGGCGATGGCTGCGGAAGACCAGGTGACCGATCATTGATCATGTCTGTAAGGAAGCTGTGTATGCGATTGTGGGGGTTCTTGTCTCCGAACTTGACCCGAATGTCTGTTCCCTTGCCGAAGAAGACCTTCACAGAAAGCCCTTGGCTATACTGAAACTCAACCTGCTCGAGTGACGAAGACTTAAGCATCATCTTCCGCTTCTCGAGTGTCGTTGCAAAGGAGCGTAGACGGTTTAGATCTCGAAGGCGAGCTTTCAGTTCGCTAACAACTTCGTGTCCAAACGGCGTAGACAGAAGTATCGAGAACTTGCCACCTTCTGAAAATGTAAAGTTTGTTTGTGGCGACGCAGCCATGAGTTTCTGCATGTCGGCGGCGACTTCGGGTACCATAGTGCCGGTCGCAATGTGCCAAACATTACGATAATCGGAGCGGAAGCCATGACCCGTGATCTGCATCGCAGGTTCTAGCCAAGAGTCGTCCCCTGTCTGTGAAGAGAGGAGTTCTGGAGTTCTGACATACAACGCCCAACCCCGTACAACACCGTCCGATGAAGCCGGCCGCCGTGACGATTCAATCTCGTGGCGAAGGCTGTACGTTTTCCCTGCTTGTCGTAAAGCGCGCGCCGTGATAGAGTAGGCCAATTGATGAACCGCTACTCGCTCGATGCGTGACAGCGTCGGGCGATTGATCGGAGGCGGACGACCGTCTATGCATTCAACAGCAATCCTTTGAGCATGCACGATGGTAGATCCTTTGTCGCCAATCTCGCATATCCACCACGATTCGCCAGTAGCGTCCACAATTGCGGCCAGAGCTGTGGTTGTGGACCAGCCCCTCGGCCAAAAGAGTGTGAACCTCAGTACATCCAGATTCACTGCCGCTCTTACGACCTCCATGCGCAGAGCTTGGCGTGCAACAGACTGCCACCCAAGCTGTTGTGAATATCGCTGGATTGATTCTAAGATTGACCGGGCCAAAACTTGCGTTATTGTGTTGCTTGTTGCTGCCGGCTCGTGGGAGCGGTTGATCGCATTCTCTGCGGGGGTCGAGAGAGGAGTAGCTGGACTTAGAGTGTAACGACCTGTGATAGGCTCGATAGAAAGGTTGGTCGTATGTTCCTTGGAACCAATGGAAACAGCTAGCCGACAGTCTGAGGGTTCAGTATCCGACAAAGAGGCCTTTGTGATCACATTGGTGCTGAAAGCTTGCTGCATGTTTCGCAAGAGGTGCCCAACATGAAGGGCTATGACCCGCTTCATCATGCGCTCCACGGACAGATGAGTCCAATCGAAACCAAGATCAACGTCCTGGACATGTACACCTTCGCGGAACCAACGCACAATTATTGATGGTATTGGAGGACCTCGCCATGACACTTTTCCGTCTTTGGACTTATTGCTGGCAACACCGATCTCAATCCAGCTCTTCTTTCCCGGTCTATTCGTCCAGTATTGGATCCAAAGCACTCGATGCGCGAATTCGGATCGAAGTGAGCCGGCCCACCCTGTTCGGAGTAGATCATTGACCTGTGAAGAAAGTATGAAAATTTTGTGGGAAAGGGTGATGTTGAGAAGATAGCCGAAGCAAACCTCTAGCCCTTTCTCTCGAAGCAAATTATCGACGCCTGTGCGTAGGCGGTTGAAGAAGCGACTGTCTGCCGATATTACTGGAGCTGGGGAAAACAAGAGCCTCATGTCAACGAAGTGGAACTGATCGGAGGAATCCTCGACAAACGACATGAGGTCGAATTCGAACTCGTCGTCCATTATAAAAGTCACGCGGCCGTCTCCTATCCGCCATTTAGAGAGCTGGTGTGGGAGTTTTTCGTGGACAATTAGACGAGTAGAAAGTGAGACATTCAAATATCGAAGCAATTTGAGCGCCTTCTCTGCCGTCATTGGAGGAGGCGGGATAAAGCCCATCTGCACCTAATTAGCGCCTCATGCATGCAGAGGAGAAGGGTTACTCGCATCAGGTATCCACTCCGCCTTCCCCGTACCCAGAATCTCTAGCGCGGTCGTGATGTCAGGGTTCAGCTGTCTTGCATCGTTCATGACATATTTCATGAATTCGATCTGGTCGCTGATTTGGTCCTGGCTGGCCCTCTGCTTTACAGCCCAGGTGAAAAGATCGATCAGTTTAGACAGATCCACTGAGGCCTTCCGGCCCCATTCAGTAAGCACCAACAGCTTGATGAACTTTGCCCTGTTATCTAGCGCGAATCTCATGAGCAGAAGCTTCTTTTGTTTACTGATTTCTACATCTTGAGGGGTCGGTGGAGCATTTCCGTTGGGAACATTGCCATTGAATTGGGGGGCTTTTAGTTCTCTCATTTGCATGAGGGTTTCCGAGAGCTCGTTATAGGTCTCTTGAGAAATGCGTTGGATCAACTTCGAGAGGGAGTGGTATACCTCGGCGGGAACGTGGTCTATTTCCGGTGGTAGCTGTGCCATCTGTTTGACGGCGGATGTAGCCCCATTTGTGTCGGCGCCATTGTACGAGGGGGTCCTGACGGCGGGCGCGCTTGCGGGCGAGTCTTTCCTGACAAGGGTTCGTTCCCCGTTCACCATGTTGCCGTCATGAGCGCGCTTTCTGCTCTCCACGTCTCTTGCGCCTAGGCCTCCGTTCGCGCTGGTGTTCATCTTCAAGATGCCTGGCATACTCTGGTCCCAGCCCTGCAGCCCGTGGGAGCGCGCGCCGCCCCTGCTGCTCTCCGCAGCCTCCCCGTTGTCTTGCTCCGCCTGCTGAAGTGGTTGTGCCGACTGTATGTTGAGCTGGTTGGATCACTGGAATCGGGGGCTTGCAGGGGATATTCGGGGGGCGGCCTCCAGAGTCGCGTTTGTGATAGTCGCAGGCTGATCGCAACGCAGGGCGCGACTGCGCGCGGCCAATCTGGGGAAGAGCAGGTCTCGGAAGCTGGCCAGGGTGAGAGCTGCGGTGCGTATGGGCAGATGTGGCGGGTGACAGAGCCCTTGGTTGAGACTATCGCATTGTAGTTGTCGCTGTTGGGCTCGGCGGGCGGCGACGGCGCCTGCGCAATGCAGCCGGCAGGAGCGCAATCCAAGAGCGGTCGCAACGGTGTCGGCGCGGCGGGGCGCGCGTGCGGGTGTGGGTGTGGGTGCGAGTGCGGTTGCTGCGTGAGGTTTGGAGGTGTAGTGAGGAGTTGCAAGAATGCAAGGCTCGAGCGGGCCGTAGCCGTGACGAAGCCCTGAATCGCGGCCGCTTGGCACCAGCAAACAATGGGACAGCGGGTCGGTGAGTAATCAGCGACGAGCCCTGGCGCGCGCATGAATTCGAACATCCGCGATACAGTTGCACGGTCAGAACTGGATACTGATAGCTGCTCAAGTGATTGTGGGGTCTGCTGTTGAGAATCTAATTAATGAAGCAGCCCACATCTTGCCTTCAGGTTCGCGGAAGAGGCTGGCCATGGCACAAGCGAAGACTGCAGGTGAGTGGGCGCTGCCGCCCGCCTGCTGCCTGCATAACCGCGCGTGCCTCACCAAGACATGCACAACTTCGCCGGATGCCCCGTCGCAGCGTGGGCATGCGCGTGGACGACGTGTTTTGGCCCATGTCACATGCACATCGTTCCCCAACAAGCCTACATGAAGCGAGTTTCCCAGGCCCAAGTCTATTGAGATCCCAGCCCCTCCACCCTGGCCATCTGCTCACCGCCGTGCTGCTGTCCCTCGAGTGTCTTCTCTTCTCCCTTGCTCCTCTGTCTGCCCGCCCGCGGCTCGAGTCGCCATGTTCCCAAGTTTTAGGTAACACGCCCTGCAGCCGCCACTCAGCGCCCGCCTCCCGCGCGCCGCAGTATGACGCCCCGGGCGCCTGAATTCATACCTCGCCCAGAGCTCGCCCGCGATGCGTCGCATCTGTCCAAAGCCTCCGCGCCATCGCTCTCCCCCAGCAACGAAGCGGACGACGAGCAGAGCATATCCGACGACTACGCGGATATGTCCTCCGACCGCTCCCCGCCGCACTACGAGGGCGAGGATGTGCGCCTGACCAGCGACAAAGAGCTGTCTGGCTTCTACATGTATGGCTGGGCTGCAGAGGTCTTCGTCGTCTGCGGCATTGGCAGCTTCATCCCCGTCACCCTAGAGCAGCTTGCCCGCGAGAACGGCTTCCTACTTCACGACCCGACCCAGCCATGCAAAACCGCCCGCATCACAACACCCACCTACTCCATGTTCTCGCCCAACCAAGACAAGGGGCAATGCATCGTCAGACTGCTTGGTCTCAACATAAACACGGCCAGCTTCGCCATGTACACCTTCTCAGTATCCGTCCTCATCCAAGCACTGCTCATAATATCCATGTCTGGCGCAGCTGACCACGGCCGCTTCCGCAAGACCTTTCTCTTGTGGTTCGCCTTCATAGGAAGCACCGCGACTATGCTGTTTCTACCCATTGTTCCTAAAGTCTATGTCTTGGGCGCCGTGTTGGCCATCGTCGCGAATACATGTTTTGGAGCCAGCTTCGTGCTTCTGAACTCTTTCTTGCCGTTACTTGTGCGGTTTCACCCGACGGTTCAGTACGCCGATGTATCGCCAGGTTCAAGCTATTTGGACGACGACGACTTTGACCACCCGGACGTAACTCAAGAGGCTCACTATTCTAATCAACTCGCTCACGACGAGAATGTCATGGACAACGTCATCGACGCAACAACCGCACTCCTTCCGCGCATGCACTCCGAAGCCGATCTCACAGTCCCCAATCCCATTTCGCGGGCAACACCCTCCCAGGAACTTGGATTGTCCACCAAGATTTCTTCTTATGGCATCGCGATCGGATACATAGCCGCCCTGCTTGTCCAGACGATAGGTATCCTTGTCGTTATCGCATTCAGCAGCTCGAATTTTGGTCTTCGCCTTGTCCTCTTCATCATCGGTGCGTGGTGGTTCGTCTTCACAATTCCAACAGCTATGTGGCTGCGCCCGCGTCCCGGACCCCCACTGCACATTGCTCCATCGAAGTCAGCTTTTGGCACTGGCCTCGCCTACTTCACGTACAGTTGGAAATCGCTTGGCCGAACAGTGAAGCATGCACGATACCTGAAAGATGTATTGCTGTTTTTAGCAGCCTGGTTTCTACTCAGTGATTCCGTTGCCACCGTCTCTGGCACTGCTGTCTTGTTCGCGAAAACGACCTTGGGCATGTCTTACGCCATGCTTGCCCTAATCAATGTGATCGCCACAATATTCGGTGTCATTGGCGCCTTCACTTGGTCCCGCATCAGTATCTATCTGCGCCTTCGGCCAAGTCAGACGATTTTGGCATGCATTCTCCTCTTCGAGCTGATTCCCATCTACGGATTGCTCGGATATATCCCAGCTGTTCAACGACTTGGCGTCTTTGGCCTACAGCAGCAATGGGAGATGTACCCCTTGGGAGCTGTGTACGGCTTTGTTCTGGGCGGATTGAGCAGTTACTGCAGGAGTCTGTTTGGCGAGCTAATTCCACCGGGCTACGAAGCGGCTTTCTACGCGCTTTACGCCATCACCGACAAAGGTAGCAGTGTTTTTGGACCCGCGATTGTGGGCGCAATCACGGATCGTTATGGCGAGATAAGACCCGTAAGTTTGACAACTGGGTTGAACCGACCCCACCCCCTCTTACACTGATGTTACCTTAGGCTTTCTGGTTCCTGGCCGTTCTCATCGGTCTCCCTTTCCCAATCATGATGCTCGTCGACGTGGAACGAGGTCGGGCGGAAGGCCAAGAACTAGCACGCAAGTTGGAGGATATTGCCGCTGCAGAAGCTGCCGCAGAAGAGGAAGAAGAAGATCTAGTTGATCACGATTATGAGCAAGGATACCAGCATCGATGAGCATGCATAGACATTTGAAGGCGTTTTGCATGAGCACCAAAGCCATAGTAATAAATTTGGAACGGCGTTCAACGCAGGCAAGCACCCATTTGATTCGCCTTTTGATTGCTGAGCAGGATGTGCGACATGATCAGGTATGCCAGAGACATCAAAGAAGGGGTACTCTATGTACTGAGTGTTGAGCATACGCTATTGATCTTTGACCTGCCATCCTATACCGCGATCATATATGAAAGCGGAGGCATATACATATGCGGTTATTGTTTTCTGAATTGCACACAAACGAGGCATTTCCTCCACAGGTATGCCCCTTCCCTGAAGATACTCTCACCTTCGGTTCAAGAAATATCCACCCACCTTCTAGCCTTCACTGTTATATCTTGTATGAACTACACCAAGATGTCTAGTCTGGTGCATGATGAGGCTCTCTCTAGATGTCAACCACCATCATGTCGTCTTAAGTGCCTAATCAAGCACGTGACCAAAAATCTCGCGACGCGTTGGCGTTTCGCGCCGCGCATGGGTACTGGCGCCCGCCGATTCTGTATTTATGGCGCACGTCCACCGCCTCTTTCCCCCGTCACAACAAACACTCGAGCACTCTGCCATCCATCCATATCAAGACAACCAGTTTCCACGGAGTATCTGCATCAAGAACTCACCTTTGCATTACTTGCGCAACATCCATCATCATGTCTATCGTCTCGCTCCTCGGCGTCGAGGTCAAGAACAACCCAGCAACGTTCGACGCACCGTACGAGTTTCTGATCACCTTTGAGTGCCACGAATCGCTGCAGAAAGGTAATAATGAATGTTTACTTCACGTATTATCTGCTAAACAGCTACAGACCTCGAGTGGAAACTGACCTATGTCGGCTCCGCAACATCGTACGTGCCCCGCTTTGAGCATCTTTAGCAATAGGATGATTGACTTTACCAGCAACGAGCATGACCAGGAGCTTGACTCCGTCCTTGTCGGCCCCATCCCCGTGGGTGTGAACAAATTCGAGTTCCGCGCCGACCCTCCAGACCTATCGCGCATTCCCAACAACGAGATCATTGGCGTCACCGTCATTCTCCTCAGCTGCAGCTACGACGACCGCGAATTCGTGCGTGTTGGATACTACGTGAACAACGAATACACAGATGAGGCCCTGCAGCTCGAGCCGCCGGCAAAGCCCATAATCGAGAAGGTGCGGAGGAACATCTTGGCCGAGAAGCCTCGAGTGACCCGCTTCGCGATCAAATGGTATGACTCGCGGATCCCACCTGTAACCCAGGCAACAGCAGCACTGACCGTAACAGGGATTCCGAGGAGCAGGCTCCACCTGAGTTCCCCCCCGACCAGCCCGAGGCCGATCTCAATGCGGACGGTGACCAGTACGGCATCGAAGAGGAGGAGGAGGAAGAGGAAGAGGAAGGTGAGGGTGCCGCTCCTGCCGAGGGCGAAGATGCTGCCATGGCCGGAGCAGACGACACTGCTGGCCCCGCTGCAGACGACGATGCTGCCTCGGAGGCTGGCAGCGAAGACATCGAGGAGAGTGAGGGGGAGGATGAGGAAGAGGAGGAGCTTGAGGCAGAGGAGGGTGACGATATGGAGATGGATGATGCTGCCCCTGCGAACGGCGACCAGAGCCACCCTAAGCAGCCCGCTCAGCCAAACCCAGATGTCATGGTCCATTAGGATGGTGCATCGACTACCCCTGAGAGAGTCGTTCGCTTGTCGCTCCGAGGACTTTCGAAGAGGGGAGCTTTGGAGAGGTTGCGCCTTGCGGTTAGTGATCCCAAGCCTTCGATCATGCCGGTGCGATGCAGCCCACGAAAGCAGCGACGGGAAGTTCCCTGACTGAGGGATGTCCTGGTCGTGGGCTGTTTTATATCGTTGAGTCTCATGCTTTCGGATACATCCTCATACCCCGTTTGTCTACTCGCATAGATGGAGATTGCCTCGGTGCGAGGTTTTAGTTAGCAGTGCGTGGTAGGTGGAGCGCGATTTTCTTGAGCCTGGAAAGACAGATCAATTGAGTCTTCATGCTCAAAGCCTTCGATTGCTCATTCCAAGCATTCCGCATTGCTGTGTCGTTTCTTTTATGCCCGTGCAGTATTCGTCGTTCCTAAGTCCTAGCACGACGTCGTGCAACACGGTCACAGCATAGAAATATGTTCGCAGTCACACCAGCGTGCAGAAATGTATTGTATTTTCCGTCACAGCGTCACTGCGCCCTAAAATGCGGCCACGCAAGCCCAAGTTGAGATTTGCCAATCTTAGACGCGCAATCTCACATCCACCCCCGTATAACGTTCAGCAGCTTCAGCTACCAGTACAAAGTAGCTGCTTGCGAGACTAGGGGGAGCTGTATTTGGTGGCTCGAAGCGGAATCTGGGCATTTGTACGCGACTCAGCCTCTGGAACGGCGGCGCAGCCTACTCATGTCGAGGAGGAACGACCCGTAGCGCCAGCCAGCGAACAATTATAGCAGTCTGGGTTACCCTGTTGCGGGAGCGCGCGTGCCAACGGACGAGGCGCATGATAACGCGCGTGAGCCTCTCGCTCGTCGGCGTGTGCTGGTGAAGGCCTTGGACGCAGTCAGGTCGTGGCTGCGAGTGCCCACGGGCGTCTGTGAAGCATAATAATTCGAGCACGCCCTTTGAATCACCCTGCGCAATGTTTCAGTAGCAAACGTTGCTGCCCTTTACCCTGCTCAGCATCTGCTGGGGCACGCTGCCTGCCTTGCCCACGACACAAGACACAGCCCCTCGTTGGACCTTCCGCTGGCTCCGCCCGTCTTCCCGCCGTTGTTTTGGGCCCGTCTCGTCGATATACCCGGGCAACGCAGCAAATACACACGTTCGCAACACTGGCGTTCATCTCCCACGCCGAAACCAAACGAATTACAGCGCGCCCAGAGCTCTCCCGTGACGGCGAGCGCTCCGCGATACCCCGCCAAGTTCGTAAGTAGACTCGGGCATGCTCCACCGTCCCCGCGGGCTACCATGCATGCGCCCGTCTTCGCAAGAGGACATCGCGCACCCTCGAGCTGCTCCTGGCTGGCTTTCTTCCAGACAAAGGCTGATCCAAGTTCCGCAGTCCTGTCGAGGCTAGGAGCTCCGCTTGCGAACAATGAGCTATCAGCAATCCCAGCCCCAGCTGGGGGCCACCTTCGTGCCGGGTGGCTATGACGATTTTTACATGCCCGCGCCAGATCCAGAGCTTATTTCTCCGGCACCGCAGCGGTTAGTCTGACTGACGTCCAGCATTATGAGATTGCACTCCTGCTGACACGCGGTAGGGTTATGCCAGAGGTGCCCGAGAACATGCAGGAAAACATCGCTCACTTGGAATTAGAAGCCAACGGTCCGCGAAACCCGCCCATGTCGCCGCCGGCCCAGGGCTACAACCACTCGCAGTCGCAGTCCCACTTCCCTCCGCGCGGCTCCAGCTACCACAGCAACGACCAAGCTGCCCACGGCGGCCAGGGGCAGTGGCCTTCGCGACAGGCGAGCATTTCGGCATCCTTTAACCAGCCACCCGCCGTGCAGCCGCAAGCCATGCAGCAGCAGCAGCCCTCGCACGACTACCACAGCTTTGCCCAGCCGGGTGAGGTGCCCAACTTCTCCATCTTCCCCAAGCTCCCGAACCGACCGCCAAACGTTCCGCCCTCTGACGATGAGAAAGAAGCGGTCTTGGAAAATGCCCGCCTGCCGGTGCTCAACTCGAACGACCCGGAGATGCAGCTGGCGTGGGCCCAGGACGCCCTGCAGTACGTCGACATGGCGCAGCTAAACGAGCAACGCATCGCCGAGCTGCAAGGCGCCCGTCCTGCCACACCCGCGGTCGAGCACCAGCTGCGCGTCGATGCGATGAATGTCACCGGGTTTTTGGCGGACCAGTTCCACCCCAAGGCCGACTTTATGCGGGGCATGTGGCTGGAGTTTGGGAAATTCGGCCTGCGCGTCGACAAAAAGGAGGCCTTTCGGAGCTACACTCGTGCAGCGCAGAAGGGATACGCCAGGGCAGAGTACCGCATGGGCATGCAGTTCGAGCAATCGAACGACCCCATCAAGGCTCTCCAGCACTACAAACAGGGTTCGGAAGCTGGAGATTCGGCGTCCAACTATCGCCTGGGCATGATGACCCTCCTAGGCCAGCACGGGCAACAACAAGACTATGCTCGTGGCATTCAACTGATCAAGCAGGCCGCGGCCACGGCTGACGAGAATGCTCCTCAGGGTGCGTACGTGCTAGGCATGCTCCAGGCGCGAGAACTTCCCCAAATCAGCGTCCCGGAGATGTTTCTGCCGTACGATGAAAAGGCTGCCAGACAGCACATCGAAAAAGCTGCCTACTTAGGATTTGCCAAAGCCCAGCTTAAGATGGGATCCGCCTACGAGTTATGCAGTCTGGGTTGTGAATTCAATCCCACGCTGTCCCTGCATTATAACGCGCTAGCATCACGACAAGGCGAAGCTGAGGCTGACATGGCAATCAGCAAGTGGTTCTTGTGCGGGTATGAGGGAGAGTTCCCGAAGAACGAGGAGCTTGCATTCACGTATGCTCAGCGTGCTGCCGCCACTGGCTTGGCCACCGCAGAATTTGCTATGGGCTATTTCCACGAGATTGGTATGCACGTCCCTGTTAACATTGATAAAGCCTTGGAATGGTACGAAAAAGCTGCTCGCAACGGTAACAACGACGCGGAGGAACGCATCAACAGTATATCAACCATGCACCGAACGCTATCGAAGAAGGATCACGAGAAGGTAGCAATCAACGCTATCAAATCAAAGCATGGCTCCATGAAAGGGCAGCGCCCAGCTAGACTACAAAAATTGGCCGCCCCTAGCCTTCCGACTATCGAGAGCAGTCCCTCGGACTATGGAGACTCACCGGGAGGTCAATTCCCAGATCGCCATTCTTCTACTACGCCATACCCTATGTCGGACCAACCTCCTATGGTGGCACCTTCCCAGCGCTCTCAGTCCGTCGCTCCGTATCCTTCGAACGACGGGCCACCTCGGATAGATGCCCATATACCAAGCATGGCAGGTGGCTTCGCCGCTGAACTGCGGTCTGCCAGTGCACGTCCTCCATCTCAAGCTTTCAACATCAACCCGCAAGTGTACGCTCAAGGCCCGGGTCCGAATGATCCCTATGGTCGCGGGAGACCACCACAAGGAGCCAACCTTGGCCCTCTTCCCATACGCCCAGCTACGAGTGTCGACAGCATGGGACGTGGGGGAGGAAGGGCTCCAAGTGGCGGTCTTCCCCCAGGGCCCGGTGCCTACAGGCAACCAGGTGGGCCGAGTGCACAACGCCCCGAAGCATACGACCGACCAGGGTCGGCACGCCCTGCTGCTGATATTGGTTTCAATGCACCCGGAGGGCCGAACAAGCTGCAGAAAGCACACAACGTCGGTCAGCCGGGTGGACCGCTCAAGAAGCAAAACACTTTGCCCGACATAGGGTATGTTGCTCCGCTTGAACCGCGACAGCACACGCGTCCGTCAACGACCGTGCCAGGCTTGGAGAGTAGAAATTCTGGCCGTCCCGGAACCGCAGGTCCAGGTCCCAGGCCCGGTCAAGGACCATCATCTCGCCCTGGATCTGCGGGACGTCCCTCGGCACACGATGCACACCCGCAAGGACCGAAGCCAGGCAAACCAACCACCCCACAACCCCGACCTGGGCCAAATTCAGTTCCAGCAGCGGCACCTGCCCAAGCAGCCAAGCCTGCGGCCCCCAAGCCACCTTCCTCTGCCTCTACAGGTCCTGGTAAGGGTCCGAAGACTTTTGACGAGATGGGTATCGGGCAAGCGCCCAAAGACAGTGATTGTGTACGTTCTTCCCCGTCTTCCTACGCCCGAAATGTGCTGATAGCCCCTAGGTCGTGATGTAGTGAAAGCATGTAGCGTGTCCGTTGGCATTTCCTTCTGCATATCTGGGTCCTCCTAGTTTTTGCGAGCATTTATGGATAGAGTTCTTCGCTTCTTGGCACATTGCGTCTGCCCCTATACCCCTGGTTTCTCTTGTCGTCCCCGCGTACTTGGATATAGGGCCAAGAACCAAAATTAGCACCAATGGCATTTTTCTATAAACGAAATATCAGTGAAAAGGCCAATACCTGTCTTCTTGCTAACTATTGTCTGATTAAGCATTTGACTGCAAACATCAGTTTTCGCATCATCTCTGCTTGCTTGCTTCTTCCCCCGTTCCCCTCATGACTCTTGCACTGGTCGTGCCTTCCCCGACATGTCGCATACCTGAGCACAACCAACTTCTTTCCTCGCCATCATATTCGCTCCTGGTCACTTCTTCCTCTCACCTCGTCCACTGTTTCCACGAACGTCGTTGCTGCATCGACCATGGCACCACGCAAGAAGACCGAAGATAAGGAGAAGCCCGCACCGAAGGCCACGGGGGACGAGGCAGCCGATATGATCCTCAACTACTTGCGTGAGTGTAGCTTGAGATCAGATGAAACCATACAGCAGGATGCAGGACAACGGCTAACAGTTGCACAGGGAGGGAGAAGTGCGTGTCGGATACCTGCTAGCATTTGCTTATTATTGCTAACTCAGAGTGTTGCTGCTGCAGTCGTCCTTACTCGGTGAGCGAGACGTGCCTTCCCGGTTCGATGCACACAATGATTGATGCTCATCTAGGCCATCGACATCTCCGCCAATCTTCACAACGCAGTGACGAAAGGTCAGTGGTCCCAGTTCCCAGCTAAAAGACCCACCTAATACGACGGAGCCGCCGCAGCTAAGATACTCAAAGATCTCCACGAGCGCAACGAGATTGAAGGCCGAGCCGCCGGTACGCTTCTCCTCCTCACCCGAGTATCACACTGAAGCATGGCTAGGCAAGCAAATCGTCTACCACGCCATCCAGGTACCTCCACGTGCCTTCCTCGCCGTGCCGCCCCTCCCTACTCACCCGTTCCCCACAGAACCCAGAAGACTCCATCACCCTCGAAGCCCTCGCCGCCCTCGAGGCCAAAACAACCGACCTCCGCACCCGCACTGCCGTCCTCCAGTCCACCGCCAAAACCCTCCGCGCGACCCTCGCGACCCTCAACTCCACGCTCAGCACCGCCGACCTCGTCGCCGGAGTGACCGCGATGGAGACCGAGAAGGCGGAGATCCAGGGCAGGCTGGAGAGCTTGAGGGCGGGCAAGGCGAAGAAGGTGACGAAGCGGGAAAGAGACGAGGTGGAGAGCGCGTGGGAGAAGTGGGGCAAGATGGCGCGGAAGAGGCAGAAGCTTAGCAAGGAGGTGTGGGAGTATGTTGATGCGTGTTTGGATGATGCGGGCCAGGACAGGGAGCAGAAGGCTGAGGTGAGGGAGAGCTTGGGGCTGGATGAGTAGGGCGATGGTCGCTGCGTAGGTGGGAACGAGGTGAACCGATCTGGTCGATTGATACGCGAACGTTATATGTGGTGTAGTTCAAGCATGTGAAAAGATGGTCAGGTATGTGGTGTAATGTCGATGTTCGATGCCACTACCTCGTAGACACAACTACTATCCCCCTTTAATACCCCCTCCAAAAACGCTAATGCTCGCTCAAACCACAACCATCTCATATCATATCCAAACACCCCGGAACACCACTTGAAGTCATACACACACCCTTCCCCATCCCGCCCCTACGCCACCGTCGTCCGCTTCACCCCCCTATCCGCGAGCGCGGCTTTGAGCGTATCCGCAATATCCCTCCTCCGTCTCGCCGTCTCTCTCAGCCTCTCCAACTCATCGTCCACCCTATCCGCCAAGCCTGCCAAATTTCCTTCTGCGCCCGACAGACTCCCCTGCGGCGTGTAGAACAAGCCATACCCCTTGCTCGGCGTCTCGTTATGCTCGGGCGTCATGGCGACCTGGTTGAGTTCGCGGAGGGTTACACTCTTCCTGCTCGTCGGCGGCGTGGCAAAGGGACTCTCCCGCTCTGGGATCCTTGCGCGCGACTTGCGCAGCGGGGTAGCAGCGTTGCGGGACGACGCAGACGCGGGCCGGCCGTTCTCGTTTGCAAAGTTGACTTTGCGGAGCTGGCTCTCGAGGAGGGTGATGTCATGGCCCTTCTCCTTGGTAATGTCGATGAGCTTGCCGATCGTTTTCTTGATCGCCTCGACGCTCGGCACCGCTCCCGTGTGGCCGTTCTGCGCGCTGTGAGACGCTAGCTTCGAGCGGAGCAGGATCAGCGCGTCCTCCGCCTTGCCGAGCTGCGTGAGGAGCTGCGCGTAGTCTTTCCGCAGCGCTTTCTGCTGGTCTGCGAGCTCCTTGGGCAGGCCGGCCTTGCGGAGCGCCTCGAGTTTCTCGGGGTCTTTGGCGTTGATGATGCGGCGGCGTTCTTCATTGACTTTGGACTGGAGCTTGGCGTTATCTTGGATGATGCGGACGAGCTTGGTGAGTTTGTCGACGACCTTCTGTATACCGCCCGTGGCGACTTCGTGTGAGAATTGGTCTTCGATATCCATGAGGTCTTCGATCTCGCAGAGAGACCAGTTTTCGAACCATGGGCCGTCCTGGCCGTCGTCTAGCACTTCTTCCAAGGCCGAACGATCGAGCTGGGAGTCGCGCTGCGGGTTCTCGTGGAAATCGGTAAACGCTTGCAGTGTTCGCGAGTTGAGGCCAAGCGTGTCCACCATACTATTGATGTCCCGGTAAACGATCTCGATCTGAGCCGCATGGCCGGTCTTGTTCAATGCCGCTTCGGTGTACTCTTGCCGAGCAATGAAAGGCGCGAGCGTCCTACTAGGCTCGATCTCGCTTTGAAGCTCCTGTCGTATCCGCTCGTCCTCGTCATCTACAAGGTCCGAGAAGACAGGTTGAGGCGTAGGCGGCTTGGGTTGCGGCTGAATTGATGAGCTTAATGGGTCCCGCCGCGTTCCACTGAAGAGCGAGCTCGATGACGGATTTTGATTTGTTGGAGGCCATTGAGCCCTCTGAGGCGGCGGTGTTGGTGCAGCTGAAAAGAAACTGGGCGCCGCGTTTGCCCTATTTCCAAAGATGGTATGTTTTGCTTCCTGTGATGGTGCTGATTGTTCTGATCCTTCATCGCCCGTCTGTTCTTCCTCCTCCGAGAGCTCTGATTCCTCCTCACCTTCTTCATCCTCATCTGGATTGCTCAGATCTCCGTCTTCTCCGTCCTCCGATGAAGGGAGCTCGTCCATGTCACCTGACGAAGACGGAGCCTCAATTTTGATGGGAGGACTGCCAGCAAGCGGAGGAATCTCCTCGTCCGTCTTGGAGGGTTTGGCAGTCCAGTCGGGAGGCAAAGGTGCCTCTTCCGGTTCCGGTATGGACTCTTTCTGTGGAGCAGCTTTCGGGGTCGCGCTATCTGGCCTCATACCGAACAGTCCGGTCGACGGCCTGGGAGCGGTTGCTGGAGTGGTGGAAACGAATAGCGGCACCTTATTGGCATCCTTTGCTGGAGTGGCGGGCGGCTTCGAGGCCGCGCTGGGCAATGCGGAACCAAACCCATTGCCAAAGAATGAGCCCCCAGACGGTGTGTCAGGTTTGGGTAAGTCATCTTTTGCAGATCCATCCCCCTTGGAAGTGCTCTTGAGTTCGAATTTGCCACCAAAGACTCCTGCTACTTCTTTGAGTTGGGGCTGAGGTTGAGGAGTCGGGGTCGCTTCATCCCTTCCACGGTTGCCTATGTCTGTCGAACCCGATTGCGTGGATGTGAAAGATTGGAAGGACGAGGGTGCACCAGATCCGAATAGCGAGCTACTTTGTTGTGCGGGAGTGTTACTCAATGAAGGCAGCGTAGAACCCGGACCGGTTGCTTTCGAGTCCACTGTGACCGTGGAGCCGAAGCTTGATAGCGGCTTCTGTCCTAGGCCGCCGAAAGGAGATTCCGACTTTTGCCCAAAAGCCCCAAATCCTGATTCCGACTTCTGCCGAAGCCCTCCAAAAGCTGACTGGCCATCCTTGTTGCTACTGAAACTGGAGAAAGGGGATGCGCCCGGACTCCCAGTACCAAACTTGCCGGCAGCGGCAGCGGCAGCGGCAGCAAACGGATTCGGTTTATCGCTTTGTGAGGCAGAGGCACCAGCGCCGAAAGGATTGGCTATCTTAGAAGTCTGTGAGGCTGATCCTGCAGGCGCAAAAGGATTGGACTTGGCAGGTGTTTGTGAATTTGCGCCAGGGAAGCTAGGTTTTCCAAAGTTTAAGCCGCCTGTAGGGGCCGAGGGGCTTCCAAAGGATGGGGCTCCAAAAGTTGGCTTTCCGAAAGCTGGGGTAGATTGTGGGTTTCCGAATGGCGAGCTCCGGGATGGTGTAGCCTGTCCGAAGGTAGAAGATGATGGTTGTGCTGGTTGAGACGCCGGAGCCGCTGGCGCGGTTTGGTTGACAGTGGCCGGTGAGTCTCCAGATACAAGGCCAGAATACGCGGTGCCAGCTTCAAGAGCTCTGTCCCATACAACCCACCATCCTGCCAGCAGACCTTCGTGTGTGAGCATAAAGTATGCTGGTAAGGGTGTAGGCGATTCGTCAATTTCCTCCAGCCTAGCACTGGGTCGGGATACCTTCTCTTTGGCGGAGAGATCCAGAGCTTCGCCAATCAAAGCACTATCTGTTGGGTCTTTCTTGGGTATTTGTGGAAGTGCTGCTTTCCTGTGATCGTGCAGGGTGGCCATTTGGTACTCATTAACGGTAGCCACTCCGGGACCTATGGGCTTCTGAGAACGCGTGACGACACCAACTTCTGAGGAATGAGAAGCGGTGACGATGATCATATCATCCAGGTCAGGTTCCCACTTTCTGAGTCGCTGCATATAGAAGCGAGGTGGGGATGAGCGGGTAGGGCCATCCGTGCTACTAAAGATCAATTCCCATGGAGTCTCGCGGAATGTGAAGCTGTTGTATTCCTTGTTGGTAGTAACGAGACAGTACGTTAATTGCTCAACACCATCGCGGGGAGAGTAGATCAGGAAGAGCTCCTCGTTGCTCAACCAGTTCACTGCCGAAACTGTTCAGGTTAGCGATGGCCGCAATCCAATTCGACCCAGTCAAACACTTACCGATGTAGTTGTCGTCCACTTTGGATGGGCGTGGAACTCTTGCCTTGACCTGGTCCATGGAGCTGATCAAGTGAATTGCAGCAGTTCCGTCCTCGAACCCGACCACGAATGCCTTTCCCTTGACGCTCCAGGAGGCGCACGTTACCCCTGCGTTGTGAACCGTCCTCGCGTTGCCCGTGGAGACATCTGTTATATCCAGCCGGCCTGAATCAAGGATTACTGCCATGTAATGCGCATGGCCTGCGGAAGGGTTTGGCAATAGCGCTCGAACGGAGGTGTTGTTGGTGGCGATCTGGACATCAGGCTGGGTGTTGCCTTTGAGCAAAGCGTCCACCGAGTACACTGACAAGCCCCCGTCACGTTCTGGGCTGGTAACCAGGAAATCTTCGTCAGCGGAGAAGACTACTTGTCGCAGCTGTGGGACTGGCAGTGCCGCATCCGGGGAGAAGTTTGTTACGACATCCCACTCGTTGCCCTTTTCTTGGAAGGCCTTTCGGACCTTTTCCGTCGAAGCAATGACAAGCTTGTCGGGGGAAGCTGCTGCCAGAAGCGCGCGGCGTGGCGCAACGGCCAGCAGTGTCGCAGACGGCGGAGGGAGATTGTCCGTGGACCACGGCGAGGGGAGGAGCTTGATCTTTTTGGCGCCTCCTGCACGACCAGAGCTCAATGGGGAGAATCCGAGGATCTGGGCCGTGGTCAGCAAGGCACGGCAGCTTCTCGCGTGCGGCGCATGTTTACCTCTGGCGCGACCTCGTCGAGCGGATCCTCGAGCTCAGTCACCTGCGGGGCGGACATTGTGGGGCGGGGCCTGAAGGCGGTTTGCGCAAGACGGTACTCGGGGCGGATGCCGCGCGGCGGTGATGTTAGCAGCAGCGGTCGAATGCTGGCATCGGAGCTGGCGGGCGACCTTTGCGCGACGGGCGCAGAGGGCAGGGCGCGTGGCGCGGGCGAGAGCCGGGGCGGGCTCTGGCGGAAGAGCTCGAGGCTTCGGTGGAATATGGCGCGGGAGGGGGACGGGGCCTGGCGCTCTGGCGATCACGAGCAGCGGGCTGGCGGAGCACTGGAAGCAGCTGCGTGCCGTACTTTCTTTCTGCACGTTGAATGTTTGGATGCGCCAAGGCGCTATGCAGCCGTCGCGGCCCCAGCTTGAGCTCCCCAGGCAATCGACCGCTGCGTACGCCTCACTGCCTGTCCCGCCGAACCGCCGCCTACCCACGCCCAGCTCTCCCACCCATTGACGGGAACCTCTGGACATCGCCGCCGCAGTCGACTCCCACCGACACCTCCTCTCGCGCACAGCCCTCGCCATGGCCGGCTTCGACTTCTCCAACCACAACCGCAATGCGGCCCTCCACGCCCAGGGCGTGCCCCTCCCCAAGGCGACAAGCACCGGAACTACCATTGTCGGGTGCCTCTTCGATGGCGGCGTGGTGATTGCAGCAGATACCCGTGCGACGAGCGGACCCATAGTAGCAGACAAGGTACGCTGCGGCCGCCGTACCAGTGCGTTGGCACAGGCCGGTTTCTAACAGCCTGCCAGAACTGCGAGAAGCTACACTACATCGCGCCCCAGATCTGGTGTGCAGGCGCCGGCACTGCCGCTGACACCGAGTTCACCACCGCCATCATCTCGTCCAACCTCGAGCTGCACGCCCTCTCCACCGGCCGCAAGCCGCGCGTAGTCACCTGCATGACCATGCTGAAGCAGCACCTCTTCCGCTACCAAGGCCACATCGGCGCCTACCTCGTCGTCGCTGGCGTTGACCCCACCGGCGCACACCTCTTCACCGTCCACGCCCACGGCTCTACTGACAAGCTGCCCTACGTCACCATGGGTTCTGGTTCGCTGGCTGCTATGTCCGTCTTCGAGACGCAGTGGAAGCGGAATCTGAGCAGAGACGATGCCGTTAAGCTCTGCTCCGACGCGATCCAGGCCGGTATCTGGAACGATTTGGGGTCCGGTAGCAACGTCGACGTCGCCGTCATTACAGGAGAGAAGACGACGTTGATGAGGAACTACCTTACACCCAACACCCGTGGCACCAAGGAGCGGAATTACAAGTTCGCGAGGGGCACGACTGCGGTGCTCAACGAGAAGATTATCAAGAGAGAAGAGATCAGCAAGTACGTTACTGTGCACGAGCTGCAGGACGACAGTATCACAGCAACGGCCGAGACGATGGATGTAGACTCATGAGGTGATATCGAGGGAGGGGAAGTGGAAACTGAGCGCACATGACGGCGTTTGGCATGGGAACAACATGATCAACCGCTCACCGCGGCATCACCAAGGTCGCCCATGAGTAACGGTAGATCAAACAATAACGAGGCAATGAACACTCGCAGATGTTCCTACGATATTATCCACATGACACGCCCAGCACGTGACCACTCCTGCTCAACACTTCATCTTGATTCCCCTCCTCTTCTCCGACTCCCTCCACTCAAACATGATCTGCACCCCCATGAACAACGCCACGCACGCGACGCCCAAGAAACCAAGCCCAGACCACGTACTAAATATCCCGCTCACCAAGTCCTTCAGGCCGTCCAGCCCCAGCGCAAACCCCACCAGGTTTGCCACCATCAGCAGCAGAATCTCGCCCACGGCACCAACACCGCAGAGGTAGCGATATGCATCCGGTCTATCCTTCCACTTCCGCGCCGGGAAAATGTAGCCCGCGACGACCTCCGGCAGCACAAATAGCGTGACCAGCCACCCCCACATCAGCAGCCGCAACTGAATGTCATGCCAAATCGCAATGAAGCTGAACACGACCAACTTGTTCACCACACTCCTCACCTGTCCCGCTACCCCCGGCCCCGCGCTGCCGCCCATGGGGATAAACAAATAGCGCAAAGCCCACTTGTTGAAGGACCGGTGCCAGCCGCGCCAGAAGTGCGTGACGGCGTAGTTGTCGCTCATGCAGCGCACCATGTTCTCCGGGGGGTCGATGCCATCCAGCAAGCTCCACAGGCGGAAAAAGCGCCAGGGGAGCAGGAGCTTCAGCCAGATGTGCTTGAGATTGAAGAAACCCAGCATGCTGAGCTGGGTGGGCGTGTAGGCCGTGAAATCGGGCCGCGCGTGGAAGATGGCGACCATGTACATGAAGTGGATCATTATTTCCATGTTGAGGAGGCAGATGACGAAGCGCGCGGCGTAGAGCGCGGTGCGTTTGGGCGTGATGCTGTGGGGCCGGTACCGCAGTTGGGAGACGTAGTCGTTGAAGGTGAGGATGGGGCCCGCCAGGTAGAGCGGGGAGTACAGCGTGTAGGCGAAGTAGGTGCGGAATGAGTAGTCTGCGGGTTTTGCGGCGAGGGCGACGCGGTCGCGCTCGGAGAGGTTGGCGGGGTCGAGCTGTTTCTTCTTGGAGTTATTATTAGCGCGGAGGGGGGAGGGAGGCGAGGGGGCGCACGAACCTCGAGAGAGCTGGTGCTGGGCGAGGCGTTGCTCCAGTAGTAGTCCATGTTGAAGCTGATGAGGCGCAGGACGGTGAAGTTGAAGAGGACTTCCCAACGGGGGATGAGACCGCCGAAGCTGTCGAGCGTGTGACCGAAGTTGGTTGCCGGCTGCTCTTTCTCGGACGTACGGGACGAAGGGAGAAATGTGCCCAGAATGGCGGCATAGGAGTAGCCTTTGCCAAACTCATTGGCGAAGAGGATGCCTACTCCGAATATCCAGGTTGCGGCGGGAACATAGGGCCGAGGAAGCTTTGTGGCGATGCAGTAGTTCAAGTATAGGATTGCTACAATCTTGAATGCGGAGAATCCATGGAGGGCTGCGATGAAGAGAACGGTGAATGGCACGTCGAAAGAGATTCTTTGGTTCATACGCGCATCCGCTGCAGCAGATGGGCTGAGGCCCATCGTCAGGCCATTGGCACTGGAGGACCCGACCTGCGTGTACGTGCCTGCTCTCCAGAAACCATCGTAAAGCGTTCGGAGTACGGGATGTAGAAGCACTACGAAGAAGAGAGGAATGATGTTTGATCTGAAGCTGGAGTATTGGAGATCCGTATTGTCCTGGGGAGAGTACTCAGTACAAAACCCATACCATAGGTCGCAGGAAGCTTACCACTTTGCGGCCAGGTATCCAGCCGTCGGATAGCAAGTGTTCAAATTTTGAATAGTTTGGATGCGATTCTGAAGAATGGTTAATACGAGACCTCGTGATGACTGTCGTTCCAATTCACCCACCTTTAGACACGTCTACGACTGCTTTGATCATGAAAAAGACACAGAGGCTGACGAGCACGAGATAGGTCTTGAACTCGAGTGTGTGCCATTTTGAAGGCTGCACATCCTCTACCGAGTGCCTGCTCTTGACTTGACCATTCCTAACAGGCAGCGATTGCGCAGGGTCCAGCTCGGTGAGCTCGAGGGCCTCCTTTGGCGGGGCATTGGCGGGCACGACGAAGCGGGTGTCCAGGGCATCCAGAGAATAGAGCTGGCGCAGGTATCGTAGTGCCATTGTCAGTTATTGGGTCCAGCCGGGCATGTTCTGTTGCCGCCTGGAGTGGGATGGCGCTGCGGCGGCGAGGGAGGACAGCTCGACGTTCGCCAACCAACCACAAAGTTTCGACCGCATGCTCGCGATGCGACTTGAGCTCCTACACGCAATCCGACCTTCCGCCGCGACACAGCCGCACGCACGCGCATAAGCAGCCAGGCATCACGCGTCATTTGCTGTATTGAATCCGCTAGAGCTTTGCAAGGCTCCAGAAGTCGCGACCGTCGCGCGCAATGAACACGCTCAATTCCTCGTCCGCGCCCGCGGCGGGCGAATACGCTGGAGGTGAGCTGCACGCACCACGCTCAGCACGCGCAACCTGACTGAACCTTTAGACGAGGTCGCCGCCATTGTGCTCGACCCCGGCTATTCGAGCATCCGCGCCGGCTTCGCCGGCGAGGACGTCCCCAAATCCGTCTGCCCCAGCTTCTACGGCCAGATTGATTCCGACTCTGGCTCACAATACCTTTATGGCGAGAATGCGATACATACACCGGCACCCCACCTCCAAATAAAGAACTACTGGGGCTCAGATGGCATCGTGGAGGACTGGGACACGGCATCCAAGGTCTGGGAGTACGCCATAACGTCGCGGTTGACGGGCGCAAGGGCCGGGGACCCTGCGAAGAATGGCCTGAACGACGGTCCGAAAGAGAACGGAAACGGCGACGCTATGGAGGTGGATATGGAGACGATCGAGAACCAGGAGAAGCCGCTCGAGGAGAGCCCGCTCCTGATGACGGAGCCGGGCTGGAACCCTACAAAGGCACGCGAGAAGGCCATTGAGATCGCCATGGAGGAATGGGGCACACCCGCCTTCTACCTCCAGAAGACGGGCGTGCTGGCGGCCTTCGCATCAGGCAAAGCCTCCGGCATCATCATTGACGTCGGCGCATCACACACCTCCGTCACACCCGTACTGGACGGCATGGTCCTAAAGAAGGGCGTGCAAAAGTCCCCCCTCGCAGGGAACTTTGTCTCCAACCAGATCCGCCTCGGTTTCAAGCAGTCGCAGCCCGAGATCCCACTCACACCTCACTACCTCGTCAAGTCCAAGACGCCCGTCGACGCTGGCATGCCCGCCCAGGCCATCTACAAGACCTTCGACATTCCACCAACAGACTCTTTCCGCCACTACCAGGAAGAGCGCGTCCTCACCGAATACAAAGAGTCCGTTGTAGAAATCTGGCCAGGCCCCGGCCGCCTCTCCAACGGCACCAACGAGGAAATCGCGAAAAGCATGCCGGGCCGGCCCTTCGAGATGCCCGACGGCTGGAACCAGGTCTTTGGGGTAGACCGCTTCCGGGCTGCCGAGGGCCTCTTCGACGCCAACGCTGCCCTCACCGACGACGCGAATCCCCGGCCAAAGGACGAGCACACGATCCCGCGCCTCGTGCAGGCCGCTGTGCAACAGGTCGATGCGGACCAGCGCCCGCTGCTCCTGCAGAACATTGTCGTCACGGGCGGCTCCACGCTTCTCTACAAGCTGGGCGACCGGTTGAACTACGAAATCAACGCGCTCTACCCGAGCACGAGGAACAAGCTGATCGCGCCTGGGCCAGTGGTGGAGAGGAAGTATGCCGCTTGGATTGGAGGCAGCATTCTGGCGAGTCTGGGGAGTTTCCACCAGCTGTGGATAAGCCGGAAGGAGTACGAGGAGCACGGCGCGAACATTGTGGAAAAGAGATGCAGGTAAGAAATTGTACGGAGGTTGGTGTAGCGTGGTGAGAGGAGTGGAAGCGCTTCATTACCGAATGGTGCGGATTGTTGCAGAACTTTGTGGGCATCAGTATATGCTCGTATGTAGAATTATGGTCGTTGACATCTCGATTTCATACTGAAGGTCCGCATCGTCTGTAACATGCCTGCTCGAAGCTCTAGACCTAGCTGTAGGACGAGCAGGGAGTACAGAGACGGAGAAACGCACCATCATATAAGCGAGCACAAATGGCGGGGCTACCTTTACTATCTTTCCTCCCACTATGCGGGGTTCTTTCTGTCGCTCACATTCGCTTGCTCGTGGTAATCCCGATGCCTACTGAAAAATGCGGTTCATTAATGCCAGCGCTGTGGACTGGTCACCCACCACAGCATCCTCCATCAGCGCACCCACCACCTGCCCGCCTGCACGGCCCACGCTGCTGCCTCTGGCCATCCTCAGGTACACGCTAATCGCCCTAGCGCTGCCCACCTTCCCACACCAAAGTCACGCATTTCCCAGCATATATATATTTAACAATCGGCAAAACTGATTGTGCAGTGCGAGGATTTGTACGAACCCATTTCTTGCCTTTTACCAGAAGTGGCCGCGAGTCCCGCACCTCACTGCACTTACTCAATCTTTGGAAACAACATCGCTCGCGCTACGCGGGTTCGATTCTCTGTTTTGTTTTTGCCTTTTTGCTGACTTTTTATCCTGTTTTTGCATCGCCGACAAGCTCGACCCTATGGAAGTGGTTCGTTCTGATTAGTTCCTTTTTCGTGCGTGAAATAGCGAAGACATTGTTTGGGCTGAAGGTAATGCAAGTATTTGTACTTGCTGGATGCGGCATGTTGGAGACGCACTTTGGCTGGAACGACCATGTGTTTGATCATCACATCGTGATTCGTAGCATGACCGCGACGAAGTATATATGAACTTAGAATGCCTCCTGCACCCCAGGCCTTCTCCGCTCAATCGCCAACACCATATCCACAAACCTCCTCCCCAGCGGCTCCTTCCGCCTCGCACTCAACAGCGCCGCACTCTTGAGCACATTCTTGATCTGCCTGCCGTTCAGCTCTACCTCTGCCAACTCATCCAAATCCCCCTCGCCCCACGCCTGCGGCACTTCCAGCCCCTCCACAAAGTTCGCCCAGATGGTGCGTCGCGAGCTCGCCGTGAGCGCCGGATACGACATGCTGACGTGGATGCGCGACTGGAACGCGGGATCGATGTTGGCAATGCGGTTGGTGGTGAGGAACAGGATGCCCTCGTAATACTCGAGCACGCGAAGGAAGATGGAGACGAGCTTGTTGCGCTCGAGGGAGTGCATAGAGCGGGCTTCGAGGAAGACGTCGCATTCGTCGATGAGAAGGACAGCGCGCCATTTGGCGACCATTTCGAGGATGTTGGTGAGTTGTCGCTCGACGCGGTCGGGGTCTGTGGGGGTCAGCGGCTGCGGGTTGGGTGGATAAGGTGCGTGGAGCGAGGGTTGAACTTGACTTACTGATGCCTAGATCGCCCGCGGACATCATGTATAGTGGCGCTTGCATGTGCTCTGCCACTGATTCCGCAGTCAGGGTCTTGCCTACACCTGGAGGTCCGCTGAGGAGGGTGATATGGCCACGTCCTTTGCCGGAGATTACGTCGTCGAAGACGCCTTGGTTCATGGCTTGTGACTCTGCGAAGGAGAGGATGAGCTCCTTCTGGTCTTCTGGGAGGACTAGCGAAGAGAAGGCATTGTCGTCGAACTTGATGCTGGATATCAGATCCAGGTAGAATAGTAGCCATTGTTTCTTCTTGAGGGAGTATCCCCGCACGCGGGGGAGGCAGATGAGCTGCAGCTCCGGAGTGAGACGGAGACGCTTTGTTTCCATCTCGTTCGGTTGACCGAAAGTGTACTTGGCTGCTTTTGGGATATCGACAGTGAAGGATTTGGGAGCGCACTCAGGTTCAGGGAGACCCTCTTTTGCGGCGAGCGGCTCTATGTGGCCTACGTAACGTGGTGAATAGTGGCGGAAGGTGTCCGAATCAACGATGATACGGCCGGAGCAGTTGGTCAACACCTCCTTGCCCTCCTTGTCCCACGTCACCGCGAAGCCATCATACTCCTTGTAGTGGCAGCCGGCTAGCTCTTCGAACGCCTTACCGCGCTGCACAAGAATTTCGCGAATTTCCTTCTTCTGTGGGTGGAAACTCAACGGCAGTGCTGCTAGCCCTACAATCTTGGTTGTCCCAAGAAATTCCCAAATATTGATCTGCTCGATACTGCGTCCGAAGTGACTACCGTTCCAGTCGACAGCTTCGGCGGTCAATTGGTACGCGTTCCCGCATTGTGTCTCGATGTACTTTCCACGTCTCAACTTCAACGCCATCGGTGCGCCTTTGTGAGAGCTGGAGAAAATTATGTCGCCGGGCTGGAAGATAGTCCAGGCATGCTCGTAGGTGACGACGCCCTTCTCCACGTAGTCCTGAAACGACTTGATGACATCCTTGAGCTCTTCTCGCAAAACGTCGTAGAGGAGCTCGATATGCTGCCGAGTGATGTCGTCGAGGTCCGTCCTCTCGCGAAACGTACACAATTTTGCCCACCGATGTACGAACGGCTCGAACGGCGCTTCGAACTCCAACCGCTTCAACGAACAACACACTCCCGGGTAGCCATCCAAGACGTGCTTCTCAAGTACGTCCTTTAGCCATGGTGACTGCACGATGAGGCTGTGGATCTCGTACTTCTTCCGTGAATCCTGCGCTTTCTGCAGGCGTGTGATGAGGGCGTGCTGGGCGGTCTGCGCATTTTCTGCAGCTTCGGCGACATCGGCAGGCTCTTTGTCGAGCCAAGTCCATTTGCGGTTGCTGTCCTGGGGCCCTTGGTAGAGGGTTGTTGTGGTTGAGAGCGACCCTTCTGGGGCATCAGCCTTGCCATGGGTGCCGTTGGGAGCGTCTGGAGCAACCATTGTGAATATTTTGGTGTAAAGAAGCTAGATAACAGCTGGGAGTAGACACTGCTGAAGCAATGAGACGAAATGAATTGCTTTGGCTTGGGTAAGAGGAATGAGCCAACAATGACCATATTTATATCACTCATTTCCTCGATGTTGTTCTCCAGGCACCAGTACTCAACCTCTCCACTACCGCCCTTCACGTTGCGCTCCTCTGCACATCAAACAGCTAGCCACATTACGCGTCAGTGTGGCAAATCCTTTACATCGGCATGTTACTATTGGTAACTACTCAAGTAGGATTGCAGGGTGAGTGGGAAAAGGGCAACAGATCAGTGCGTATCACAGACGCTTGTGGGATATTGGATCAGCAGACGGGTGTGGCTGCCTGCGCCACTGTGGCCAATCGGAAGGATGAGGCAAAGCGGTTGCTCTACTATCGCGGACCGTAAATACTGTGAGCTCAAGCAAGCACCAGCCAACCGGTGAAGAGGGTGTACTAGGGTTAGCTGCAAGGCTGCACGGCAAAGGGGGGTCGACCGCGCATGACGCGCACCTGGAAAGACAGCCTACAGGGACAGACGGCAAAATAATTCTGTGAAGATGACTCTTTCCCCTAACATGGCAGTGAGATACCCTTCGAGTGGCTAGAATGATTGTGGCTCCGCTGTCGTTGCGAAGCGTGATCAATTCACTTGGCTGTGAGCGGGTAACGATGCTTGCGGGATTGTGAAGACAACAATGCTCTTTGATTGATACTGCAATATTAATGCAGTGATGAATTGTATCTGGACAGAGATTCCCTTCTGTGAGGGGAGCTTGAAAAGGCAGAGAGCAGTCGGGGGGTTGTTGGGTGGAGGCGGGTCGCAGACGCCTCGGAGGTGGGAGGTGTGGCGCCAAGCTATGGCTGTGCGCGCTTCTCAAAGGCCCCGCGTGCGTCAACCCGCTGGAGGGAGCACTCAGAAAGGCCAGATACAGCTCCACGCCCCGCGCAGCCACTGGAACTATCCTCGACTGTCCCTGACTTCCCGCGACAAGCTGCACCAGCTCGGTCAGTCTCAATGGAGGCGGCTTCGGCGCGGATGGCCGCCCGCGACCGCTACGGCGGGTGGGGGGAGGCGCCGACTTCACAGCTGCAGCGCTTCATATGTGCGACGCTACCCTTGGCCTTCATACACGGCGCGATCGCTGACGGCTGTGCGCAGTAAACGCTTGTGATCCGCAGAACTTCGAACCGAACCTGGCCTTGAACCTCGAGATCAGCGACCTGATCAACACGAAGAAGGGCTCCACGTGCGCAATGGCACTATCCAGCATGTGGATCTCCGCTGACAGCAAGTTGCAGACCGCGGGAAGCAGCCGTCACCATCGTCCACTACGTGAACCACCGCAACCAGAACGTGGCCTTGCTTGCGCTTAATGTACGGCCACACGCTGCTGTTCCCGACCACATGGCTGACTGCAACGTAGCTCCTCGACATCTGCGTCAAGAACTGCGGTTACCCCTTCCACCTCCAGATCAGCACCAAGGAATTCCTCAACGAGCTCGTCCGTCGCTTTCCCGAGCGCCCTCCAGTCCATCCCACTCGCGTGCAGAACAGGATACTCGAGCTGATAGAGGAATGGCGGCAGACCATATGTCAGACCTCGCGGTACAAGGAAGACCTCGGCTTTATCAGGGACATGCACCGTCTGCTCAGCTACAAGGGCTATGTGTTCCCTGAAGTTCGGAGAGAAGATGCGGCAGTCTTGAATCCCAGCGACGTAGGTAGCGCAAGTGATGCGATTGCGGGCCATACTAATTGGGTAACAGAATCTGAGGTCAGCCGAGGAGATGGAAGAGGAGGAACGAGAGGCGCAATCAGCAAAGCTCCAGGAGCTCATTCGGCGCGGAGGCCCGCAGGACTTGCAGGAGGCCAACAAGCTGATGAAAGTCATGGCGGGATACGACACTAGGAACAAAACAGATTGGCGAGCAAAGGCGGCAGAAGAAGTTTCGCGGATACAACAGAAAGCCAAGATCCTCGAGGAAATGCTGCAGGGCTACAAACCCGGAGACGAGATCAAAGAAGGTGACGTGTTCGAGGTACGCCAACCAGCTGGTCCAAGAGTGGCATCGGAATTGCTAATGAACACAGGAACTGGCCAACGCGCTCCAGAGTGCACATCCAAAGATTCAGAAGATGTGCGAAGAAGAGTCCGAGGACACGGAAGCCGTAGCTAAGCTATTCGAAATAAACGACAGCATAAACCGAACAATAGAGCGCTATAAGCTGTTCAAAAAGGGCGACATCGAAGCCGCAAACAGGATTCCCCAGGGCACCCTGGGTACGAGCGGGGCCGGTGTCTCCAAGGGCCCCAACAACGAGCTCAATCTGATTGACTTTGACTCTGAACCAGCGCCAGCAGCATCAAACTCGGCATCTGGGGGTACAGAACAGCCTGCGCAGAAGGGCAATGCGCTGGAGGATGATCTGCTAGGTCTCTCTCTTGGCGGTTCGAACTACGGTCAAAGCGGCAGTATATCACTGGGCGGATCCAATGGCTCAGGTGAGCATGTCTAAACGGGCATCTGAATGCAAGCTGACTTTCACACAGTGCTTGGACTCTCTGGTATGGCAGTCCCGCAGTCACCAGCTCACCCGCAACAGCAAAGTACTGCACAGTCGATCGTCGACCTATTCGGTTCAACGTCGAACTCTGGCCCTGCTCAACAAATCCCATCCCCTCTACCATCCGCACGTGCTCAACCTCTGCCACAACCCGTTCGCACCCCTGATCCTTTCGCTGCTCTAAACTCGCCCACGCCCCGGCAAGGCTCGCCTATGAACTTCCAACAGTCTGTGAAGCCACCACCTGCGGCATCCGGGACTGTAGATCTCCTTGGTGGCGCAATACCTGCGCTGACTTCAAGCTTGGCACAGAGTACCTCCGCAGCAGCCAACGACGACGACGAATGGACATTCGCCTCAGCGGTGCCTGACACTTCGAAAGAGATTACAGTCAACAACACATTGATCAACGTGGTCTTCAAGGTCTCTAGGGAGTCAGAGACTGTACTCCTAATACAAAACCACGTATCGAACAACACACCCCAACCTATATCAAACTTGACTTTTCAAGTCGCAGCATCAAAGGTATGCTTGATTTCCATCGCTGATCAAGGACTCATGGCTGACCCGGTGTTAGGGCGCTCAGTTACAACTAGAACATCAATCGGGTGTCAACCTTGCTCCCAATCAACGCAACGGTATCACGCAAAACATACGACTGACTGGCGTACAACGAGGGTCTGGTAACAGTATCAAGATGAGGTGGAAAGTGACCTACTCAGTAGGAGGACAAAGCAAAAACGAGATGGGCGAGATTGCCTCGCTGGGCGTCTCGTGACGATCATGAAAGCCAAGATTATTGTATTTCGATTCCCGTCTGGTATTCGATGCATTTCAGCGGCATGTTTGAAACGTGCGTGGGGTGCAGGAGGCTTGCGATTGATAGACAGTGTTGAGATTCAAAGCACGATGTTCCTTCGCAGACTTGTGCATGACATTCCTTCCCATATTGATTCACGAGGTCGTCCACCCGATGCCGCCGACTGCGCTATCCCTGCCGCAAATCATCGCTGCATTTCAATGCGGACCAGTCACAAACAAGTGACAGGTCGACGGGTTTCTCCGACTTCATTTTCGCGCTAATTGAACGGGGTCTAGCATGCTCCTCAGCTTTCACTGTGTTTACTTGTTTCAGTGCTCCTATTGGCTGAGAACCCCAATTCGCTTGAGAAGCCATTGCTTCTGGAAAACCTCTTGTTCCTCACCACGCCCAGGATGATTCCGACAACAGTGGCCACCTCCTATGTTTCAGCGGCATGCGCGTCGGCTACTTGATCATTTATCTAAGGGTAGCCATTCACGCCCGGTGGCTCTGGCGACGACTCTCGCTAGGGTGCCACAGGAGAGGCCCAGTGGAGGATGGCCATGTTGATATGCTTGGAGAGCGTCTGTGTGTACAAGCCATGGCTTTCAAATGCCTGTCACTCCCCCATGGCTTCTTTTCCCCGTCTCATGTCTCTTTCACTACTTTCTTCTACTTCTTCTCAGTCATTTCCTGCCTTCTTCATCATTGTACATTCTCTCCTTCTCATATCATCAACATTCCTAATTTCAGCTATGCACTCCCTCTTCTCTATCCTCTCAATCCTCATCTTCCTAGCGCAAACCACGACGACCTGTGCTCAACCTCTCGACCAACTCCCAGCGCCACAAAGCAAATCCCACATTCAACCACACCCTACCGAGTCCCTCTCCCCGCGCGCATGCGCCAACGCCCTCGCAAACCCCTCCTTCGAAGCTCCCACCCTCGCCCCCTGGTCCGCCTACTATACCGGGAGCTGGTCCTCTCACGGTCCCGTGACCGGCGCCGCCCACGCCGGCAGTCACTTCTTCGCCGCGCAGGCCAACAGCACGAATGCATCCACCATCACCCTATCCCAATCCATCAAGCTACCCACAAGCGGAGTTGCAAGATGCGAAGCCTGGGTCCGCGCAGACGGGCGTGCGAGCTTCGAGGTGTTCGTTGGGGGCTTGAGTTGTGGGCGGAGAGCGCTGGTGGGGACGGGGCGGTGGGTAAGGGTTGGTGGCGATCGGGATGTGCGGGTTGGGGCGGGGGTGGGACAGGTTGTTGTTGTTGGGGTGGTGGAAGGGAGTGTGATGGTTGGGGTTGATGGGTTGTGGGTGGGTAGCTGGTGTTGAAGGCATGCGTGCTAGGGTGTAGGGTAGAGGCCCGGGTTGAGTTTCAAGCCGTGGTCAGGCTGGCAAGATGTGGGTTTCCTGTGCGAGAGCTTCTGGGTCGGTACCGGAGTCGAAAAAGGGGGGTTTTCAATGTGTGCGGGTGTGGAAGATGGCTTGTTTTGGGGTCTGTATTAATAGAGGTGAAGAGGATTATAATGACATGAACAGAAGTATAATACGGGGTGACTCCTAGCGACTTTGTCCCTACACCGGCGGGGGCCCCTTTATGTACGGTAGCTTGGTTGGGCTTGACAAGGAGATTTCAGAACATAATGTGTAATACGTGGTATTTCGTCCGATGATGGGTTGTACTATGGTTTCACAAAAGGCAAGATTCATTCTCTTGCCGTTGGGCTGTTCGAAGGCGGGTTGTAAACAGCAATACAGCCCCAGGTCAGAAGTCTGAATATAGTGTCATCCCAGGTAGGCATCATAGCAGCGGATATGTGTCCTTTATTGTTGCCATGACTGTACTCCTGTTACGTCCACGATCATCGTCGAAGGTATGTTCAAGTTGATCAAAAGCTGATCAAATACGGTAGCACCTCGCGTGCTCGGTGGCATTGACCACGGCCTCCGGCAAACTTGACCACACTCCCCTTAAAAGAAAGACTTGACACCAAGCGCACGCAGCCCAGTTCCCAACGTTGGTCCAGACCGGCGTTCCCATTCGCTTCTCGGGCCCCCGTCTCCTTCCTAGCCGTCACCCTTACCGCCACAAGCCTTATGTCCTGTTTTCCATCTCACCGGCAGCTCGCGGAACTACAACCCGCCCGTAGGGTCCATCAAATCTACGAAGGACGTTGAGAGGCGTCTCTGAGAGGGCACGAGGGACTGACTGGTGGGGACCGGGATTGTTTTACTAGAAACTGACGACAACTGGATGCGAGCTCGGTGACTGCGCCCGCTGCTGCGGGTGCGCGCGCTACTGGTGCGGTTGGGGTTTCCGTGGCCAATGAGGACAGCGCAGCGTTCTGGAATCACGATGAGGGGTCTAGCAGCTGCAGTGTGCTTGGTGTCAAGGAGCGTTCGATTTCAGGTGGTAATGGTCGAGCAGGATGGCAATGAGAATAACATAGGCCCGCTTTTGAGCCGAATCTCTCGGCTGAAAGGGCCGGTGGGCGCTCATGGATGGGATATTGGACATTCTTACGAAATATATTTCAAAAAGATATTTAGTGAAAAACTGGTTCCTCTCCATCGCCGAGTAGAGATTATCATGTCCTGTTCGCAAGATCCAGGGTGCATCATGTTACGTACGCTTGCAAGTACTCGCCGGAACGCGTGAATTCGTCCTTTCGATCGTGTAACCTTGAACCTTTTCTCGCTGGTCCTGCTCTGCCAGTGTGGAAGGTATGGCTCATCATTTCTTCTCAATGACAACACGCTGCACAGCTGGTAGTTCCTCTCCATCGCTGAACCTCATAAGCTGCTCCTTGACCGTTTCCCAGTGTGTTCCCTTCGCAACAGCTCCTATTATCGGGTTCTGCAGGCCTTGTTCAAATGGCCCGTCTTCTTTTACTGCGTGTTTCAGTAAAGCCTCCAGCCCCAAATGAGCGCAACATACGGCCTCTTTGGCCTCACCAGGTATTCCTATGTCGTCGAGCGGCCTGGTGATGACTTCTGCTGGCAATACTTCTTCCATGTAATCGACGATATCTGTGTTCCGTGCACCGGTCCCACAGATGAATATCTCATCAACTTTCTGATCTGGCGGGCAGTATGCGGCAACTAGTCTGCGGTACTGGCGCACCAGGTTCTCGGCCGTGATACGTGTGATAGTGGCAACGGTATCGTGATCGGTCATCCCGAGGAAGAGACACTCTTCTATGACGCTCTGCGCTTCGTGGTGGCCAAACATTTCGGTGGCTATGTGGAGGGGAGGCACGCGTAACGAGTAATCGTTGGACTCGAGTACGCGGTCGACAACAGCATGGTTGACTATGCCTTTCGAGCCGTATGCACCGTCGTAGTCGTTCTGGATGCGATTAGAGGTCGCGTAGCGCATTGTATAATCTATGAAGATGGTGCCAGGGCCGCACACCGAGCTAGGCGGTGCGACTCTTGGTCTGCCATCAGCTGGCGGGATGATAGTTATAGTAAGGAGATCCATGATGGTCACGCAGACGCGAAACTTTGTTGGGTGTTGGACAAAGAGACTGTCAATTGGAGATCCAGCGGTCGGGTCGATTTCGTTGACTGGTCTTCGTGTTATTGGTAGGTTCGATGCGGTTGTGACATTCGTTTCTGCAGCGACGACAGCGGTCCAGCTCTTCAAAACCGGCGATACTCCGTCGATGGATAGGATGGGGTGTAGCTGGGGCGCCACAGATGGAGGGATAGAGTCAGCTCGCGCAGCTATTAGATGAATGTCGTCTTCAGATAAGCCGTTGTTCCCCAAAAAACACTTGACTGATGTTGAGTACATGTAGCCGAGCAGGTTATGTACTCGGACCATTGCGTTCGGGTTTTTGGGATGGTCGCGCAGTAGGTTGAGGATCTGCGTCCGTAACCGGAGAGGTACATCGGTTTCTTCGTGCTAAATTGGTCGTCAATCCTGAGACGTATAAGCACGCAGTGAATATACATACTTTGAGCATAGACATGCGGAGAGGTTCATTGGGTCTCCTCTGCCTGTAGCGTAAGAGAGCGCATGAGACACCATCCAACGCAGCCCCGGAGCACAGCCCTAGCACGGTAAGGTCCAAGGAGTTCTCGTTATGTTTGCCCAAGGGGTTTGAATCTTCCGCTGATCCAGCCATCTCTACGAGAGGCTGCGCCGTTGCTGAGTCTTTCCGAGTGAGGATGGGTAACTTCGTCACAACGGTCATGATTGCAGTCCTAAAGGTGCCGTGGGCTGAAGGGGGAGGCACATTGCGGCTAGATGTATAACCAAATGCTCAAGCCAATCGGATGTAAACAGCGCGGGCTGCAGGCAGAGGCCTTACAGAGGATGTGCACAAGACATGGTGGAGGTTTTGACGCACAGCGCCCCTTCGTTACGAGGATCCATTACCGGAGAGCGACAGACACGTGTGCTCCACTGTCCTTCGGGCGCTTTGGGAACTCGATTCGATCTTCTGTATCAGGCTAGATCATAACGAAAATGAAAGTTTTGCTCCCCATCCATCACCATCATGTGCTCATTATTGCTACGAAAGTCCGATGTATCCAATAACAGCTAGCTATGGAAATTCTGGAGTATGCGCGTGGTAACGGCATGTTCTCGAAATCTGGTCGAGAGGACTTGGTACGCGCATTGCGGGTGAATGGTCGGACAAGCGAACAGTAGATTGTCTACGCGAGGGCTCCCTTCTGCAGGTCTCCGCTAGTTTGTGCAACCAGACAGAAAATGTGGTGCTTGATGTAGACTGGGAAAGAACGGTTGGAAGGCTGAGCCGTAAGCCAGTGCCATTACCGGAGAGTCGGAGTAGTGAATGGCCTGAGCCATCACACTTCGGGTATGATTAGGTCTTTCTTGTGCATGACACTACCGGCCCAATGCGCCGTTATGTGTTCGTCCGGATCCGTACCCATGACGCCTAGTGAGCGTATGACTGGGTATTCCAGAAAACTGGAGTAGCGTGCCGCTTGTCGAATCGAAACGAAGACAGAGCGTACGCATGATCGTCCCGTCATCTCTGTACAATGCAAATTCTGCCTTCTTCATATCGAATCGACTATTTGCGGAGCGCAACTTGCACTCGAACGTACATTCCGGAAAGTAGGCTGAGTTCCATGGGCAAATATCGTTCTAAAGACGGCTGGTGAGTGCCCACCATGATGCTGCAGCTGAGACCCGCTTGCTGACGAAGCGATCACAGTTTGACCTGCCGTCAACGTCGCGTTAAGTGTCAGCGGTATCAACACTCGCAGAGTTATGTTTACTGACCAGCAGCAGGCGATGAAGTAAAGCCGCTATGTGGAAATTGCGCGAAGAAAAACCGCGACTGTCAATGGGAGACACCGCAGACGAAGTTTCGCGGTTATCAGCCGGGCTCGCCCTCGTCGAGTGCAACGGCGTTGTCAGAGATGCAAGAGATGGATGGTGTTCGTGGCAATGATGAGGACCATGTGGGATTATTAGCGCCAGTTCGACGTCAGAGCAATCACGACCCGAGTGTTATTACTGCCGATCAGACCGTCCAGACTTCTGTGTATCCTTCTGGAAAGGCGACAGAGGGATTCCAGCAGCCGTTGACCTCTCCCTTTCTACCACAGATAACTTCGCCTGCAAGATCCTTGGCTAGCGGTAGCGTCTCGGTGCCCTCCGTTTTTTCTGCGGCACTTCCAACGTAAGCTCCAATGGTACTTTCGTTCAGATCCCATGGCAATATTTAGTGCAAATACTGAAGAGCGACAGAGAGCAGCCCGGGCATGTGCCGATCACTCGTCGTGATGCACAGCTTGTGCATCATTTTGCCGAACGTAAGACGCAGGCTGCCCCACCATTGTGAAAAAAAAAACCATTAACGGCCACCAGATCTAGGGCGATGGTTGGATGGGACAGATGCATCGCGTCGATTTACATTGGAAGTGCCGGATCAAGTCGGTCGCTGTTCCATCTTGCTCCATGCCGTTGGGTGTTTCGCAGCACGCCATTTGAGGGACGACGCGGCGGCAGAGGAGGCATATCAAGCCTGCCTGGCCCTAGTAATCGAACGTCTCAATCTGAACGCAGCTTTGCACGACGTTGATTTGCTTTGCGCTATCGTCATCTTGCGCTTTTTTGAACAACTCATTGTACCGACCAGCTCAGGCGCCGACCAAGAACAGCATCTAGCCGGCACGTCCGCCATTCTACGTTCCTCGCAAAAGACCACGGTGGATCCTTCGGCACCTACCCTACGCGAAGCAGCCTTCTGGGTCTACGTCCGTCAGACCTTGTATAACGCGACCATCACCCAGCAACCTCCCAACATTGACTTCACGTTACGGCTGGATCCCGTGCCGTCAGCCATGGTGGACAACCACCCGCTGGCTAGACTAGGAATAGAGACAGCTTGGGCAAATCAAGCGACATGGAATTGTGCTCGTGTTGCCAACTTTTGCTTTGACAGGAATCATACCGCAGGGCCTGCGTTGAGGATGCAGCAATGGCAAGAATTGTGGGACAGTGTTGAAAGCTGGAAAGCGAATCGTCCACTCAGTTTCGATCCAATCTGGAGCGGTTCCGAGGACGACAGCGATAGCCAGTTTCCTGACATGTACTTCACCGCCGATTGGCACGGTATGTCTGACCGGCGCGATTCAGAGGTGAGACTGACAACTACTAGCCGTGGCGTTTGGGTATTATCACTTTTGCTGCATACTTCTGCTCAACTATAAGCCTGGTCCGAAATTTGCAATGCGCTTTGCAAGGCACACGTTATCAGATGTAGAGGTACGGCCAATGCTCTCGCAGCGCAGTATCGATTACTGACTGTGTTAGAACAAAGTTCTCGAACATGCACGAGCAATATGTGGGTCTTGCAAAAGCTCACCTGAGTGTATCACGAACCTGATCACGTTTTGTCACACCATCTTCATATGGGGGCCTCTCCTGCACGACTCAGCAGAACAAATTGAAGTCTTGAGCATTCTGGCCAATCTCGAATTGAACCAACGCTGGCCTACCGAGTGGATCGTGAATGCGCTCAAACTCGAATGGGGGGACGGATGATACGCTGGATCGCCATTTTGCGACAGACACAGCGCAATAAACGATGCTGCAAGATACCCGATTTCACCACCCTTTTATTCTCATTTCGACCGCATAAAAAATAGTCATCTGATTCGAAGCTATTTGATCGGAACAGAACATCCACATGATCCGGGCTCACCAATAACGTACAATCAACCCTCACGAACCTCAATTTTGGGGAGCAACAGGAATTCAGTCCCGTGTCAATGCAATGCTCCCCGGAACCGAGACGGAAAGGCAATTCCATCATCTGCATATCCTGAATCGACGAACCTCAAGAGCTCGGTACGGTCGTGATCCGTCTCAGCTCTCGAACGACATGCCCTCGGAACCTCTGGCCGCCATCTGCGATGCATTTTAGTGGGTCGGACCCTCTGAACATCCCGCACGAATCCGGATTCTTGAGCCGCTTCTCTCTCGGGTTTTCGTACCGTAGCCACACAGCGCGGTATGACAACCCCCACCATACACAAGTTCGCTATCGAAAATTATTGGCTGCGACCGCTTCCAGACGCGTCTCTACAAATTCGTCATCGCTGGTCATTGGCTTCGGCATCTTTGTGCGTCTTGGCGTCCATCAGAAATACATGGTGGACGGCGAGCAGGCTTCTGCTCGCGCGTACGTGCAACCCTTAGCTGTTTCGTCGTTTTGCTCGAGGTGCGTGCACACTGACGTCCAAATGACCGTCGGCTCGGTGGGATCACTCACAGTGTGTCGAAGTTTGTTCGTGTGCTCGAGGGTTCTGTGCCGCATCCCCGTATTTAGGTTCTGCTACGCAAACCGCACCATGGTCCCACTTTGAAGAGGGAGACTATTCGATAATTCGCGAAAACCTGTCCTTGAGCGACATATCTCGCAGTGTAACATGGCCAGCAAGCACTCGGGAGCATGGTGGTCACGCAGAGCTTGTGTTGTTCTTGCAGTGTGGACTGAGCATACTGGACGTCTCGTATCACGTCATGACACTCGATTATCTCATCGTGCTAAATGGACTGGAAGCGAATCTCAACATCGCCAAAGGCCTTCAAGCGGTGCTCCCCTACGGCATTGACTTGGTACCTTTGCAAGATATCCCTCAAATCACACAACCCGCCAGCGACAGAAGTGAAGAACTTATCAGCCAACGGATGCTTCAGTATAGGCGTTGATACGAGGCCATTTCACGACGGGAAGGAGAAGAACCACTGTATGGTGACGATATTGTAGCACACTGAATCATGCCCTTTCTCTATAGCATTGAAGAGAACAGACACCTCTGCTCACATGCGCCGAAACCCAAACACAATGCCTGTTCCCGCTCAAGCCCAAAAACGCCGCGAAATGCACCGCCACCCCCAGACGTCGTTGAGAAACCATCCTAACGCGTATTTAGAAGCCCTCCAAGCACTCCCCTACGACACCTTCCAACATTCTCAGCCCAAAGAACTCCCCGACCCCCCGGTACACATTCAGCCTCCTCCGCACGTCTACCCTGTCCTTCGTTGCAACCCACTCCCCCGCACACGCACAGTGCTCCATAAACTCATTGCTCCTCAACCGCTTACACTTGCTGCACTTTAGGTCCTGCACCGACCACTCGAGCAGCAGCCGCTGCACGTCGGAGACAAGCTGTTCCTCTATGCGGAGGAGGTCGTATGGCGTGGTGCAGGCCTCGCACTTCCACTTGGGTAGCGCCGCCGCAGACGAGGCCGTAGAAGCAGGAGGAAGCAGCGAGGCATCGCGGCACAGGTCGATGTCGCGTTCCGCCGTGCACTCCTCGCAGATTACGCCGCGCAGCATCAGACTCGCACTGGGGTTCTGGAACGCGGCGTCGGCGCTGAACTCGCGGATCTCGAAGAGCGCGAGGAGCTCCTTGCGCAACAGACGTACTTCGAGCATGATGCTGCGGTCCAGGCTGAGCACCTGCATGATGCTTTTGACAAGCTGCAGGACGGGGTTTTGCAGGGTGAGGTGGCTGCCGGGGAGTTTGGGGAAGGCCCAGCTGTCTGCAAGGTCGGAAACGCGCATTTCGGCGTGCTGGCGGCGGAGCCATGTCGAGATTTGTTTGAAGAGCGGCTTGGTGAAGGTCTTGGGGAGGATGTGCGTCATTTCATTTGGGTCGACCGTCAGCGGCTTGAGTGGGATCTGTGTCAGCCGTTGAGTGCTGCCATCGGGCCCAGGACCGGGGTGTTTGCGTGCGTGCATCAGCTCGATGAAGTCAACGATGGTGGCGTCGAATTCCTGCTGCAGGTCTGGTGGGAGGAAGGTCGCGAGCTGCCAGTGCATGATGTTGTCAAGAGTTTGATTCTCCTCTTCGACGATTTTCTCGCAGCCTTTACCGCCGTAGTTGAAATCGTCATACCAGACCAGGTAGTCCCAATATTCTTTGATTTCGAGCTCGAGGAAGCTGAAGAGAGGTTTTGCCTGGATTGTTTTGAGGATATATTGGGCGTAGGCGTATGCGTTACCGACTTCTGCTTTGGTTGTCTGGAGAAGCAGGCGTGTGGGTGAGCAGAAGACGATGTGTGAGCCTACGCGCTTGAAGTCTGTCATGAGCTGCTGAAGCGCTTTCTTGCTCATCATTTGTACGTAGTAGTGTAGAGCCCGGTCGTAGAGGAAAGACCCTGGGCTACTTACCCATCTCACCAAATGTTGTACCATGACATCGGCCATGTAGTCCCCGTTAGCGGCCTCGCTCCACCATGCCTTGACCATCTCTCGGAGTACGGTGATACCAGCTGTAGCAAAGGCGTTCTCGGAGTAGATAACGTTCGTACCATCGTTGGTGCTATCAAACGAAGGAGCTGCCGGATTGAAAGAGAAAGAGTCTGCGCCTTCGAGATCGTTGATGAGCGAAGAGGACAGGATGGTGTTTATGGCGAGATGGCGAATGTTGAGATCAATGCAGACGGAGGAGTACGTCCCCGGATTGTTGATCGAAGGCATCTCGACGGTATCCAGCGGTCCTAGAATATCGTCTTTTTCGTAGCCCGCGTGGTCCGGCTTGGGTTGCGCAGACCACCACAGAATCACCCGCTCTTTCTGCAATCGTCTAGCATACGCAACATCAATCAAGAACTGGGGGTCGTTGGACTCCAGGTTACAGAGGGGGACGTCTCCGTATCGAGAAAGTTCTGCTAGGTGCGATGCCCATGAGCCAAGGTCCAGGTAGTGTCCAACGAGCCGCTTAGCAACGACTGACTGCCAACTGAGTTGAGGCAGCTGCTTGTCCGACTCATCAGCCCGAAGTGGCAAGATGGGCATGTCTTGGAGTTGAGGAATGTCGTGAGAGAGGAGGGCTTGATTGGGCGATTGAACGACCACAATGAACGGCTTGTCTTTGTCTGCTTGCCTGATCTTTTTGATAGCATCCCCAATCTCCAGAAGCGCCTTTCGTCGCGTTGTCACAGATATCGTTCTGAAATGTACATCGTCCTGGTATTCAATGGCATTTTGCCACTGGTCACCACCGTTTTCGTCTAGGCGCCTCTGCAGAGCGTCCTGGTAGATGCGGTCAACGTTCGGCATGCCCTGAGAATCTTTCGACTTATTCTGGATAATGATATGAGCCTCATTCCGGGAAGTTGAGAACAAAGCGTATATGTTGCGTTCGCCACTGCTGACATGGTAGAGGTACAGGTAGCCGAGTGACGCTTCCGAGAGGTAAGGTGAACTCAAGGGCACCTTTCGAAGGATCGGCAAATCAAACCCTTCAGCGAGACCCTTGCCGAGAACCCCTTTTTGCGTCTCGTCAAAGGTACAAGTGTTCCCCAGCTCCAGGATGGCTCGGACGTTGAGAGGTACCTGTGTCTCGTAGACGCCTTCCACGCTGGGGTGGTTGAAGAGCGCAGCGATCTTTTTGGATTCGTCCACGTACGTTTGCTCTGACATCTCCAACTTGAATAGATGTGTTGAAGGATGTCCGTTCGGGAGGGTGTGATTGACGAGTTTCTCAACGCTGCATCCACTGATTGACACATCTGGCAGATCTTCTCCCCTTAGGTTGAGGTAGAGATGGCGGGGAACATTGATGTCGAGCGAACGAATCTTCTTGTCGATGAGCACGAAGGCTTTGACTTTTCCTGGCGTGGCAGTTGGCCGTAACTGCACCAGCTGCCACGTGCTCATGAACACCATCTCGTTCTGATTTCTGATTAAGCCTCCAATGCCGTCCACCACATCACCAGATCGTTCACCAAACAGTTGTCGTCGGCGCTTGCGTGCTTGCCTCTGAATTTTCCACTTCTGCTTCTGGTACATAAGCCACCCGGAGTAGTCTTCAGTGATCGAGGGCATCAATTTTGGTAGCGCAGCGTATGGGTCGGTTTGGACAGGCACTGCGGGCTCAGGTTCTTTCCTCTTCGTGACCATCTTGGTTACCATACCCCTCTTGACCTGAGAATTTGGCGAGATTTTCGCAGACCCTCCAAAATCCTCCAGATCCAGGGCGACTCGGTTGCCGAGTATATTAGTGTCAGCATCGGTGAGCGCCTTTTTGTCGAACATGTCCGTCATCTTCTTCTGTTGAAGTTTGTCTTCCTTCTGCCGTATCCTTCGGTCAAGCCACTCCGGATGCGGCACGCGTGGACACGGGTTTGGCACTTTCTGCAGAGCGGCTGGGATTGTGATGATTTTCTGAATGACAGATGCCAGACGTTCCCGATAATAATCCCAGTCGAGGATGCTTCGAGGATCCATGTCGGTTGGGTCTTCACGTAGCCACTTCCGCAAGAAATACCGCTTAACTGATTCCTCAGCTGAGAAGATGGCAATTGGTACAGCGCGCTCAGTAACTGGAGCATTTTTCGGTCGAGAGGAGATAAGGTACTTGCAGTTTAGCCCCTTGTCTTTGACCATCTGCTCGCCTAAGAACTCCGCAAGTCGCTTAGCAGTCGTAATGGCGGTCGACTTTTGCGCGCCATACTCTTCTAGCGTCTTGGTCATGTTCTTGTTCTCGACGATAAGATCGATCAATTCTTCGTCCGCCAGGGTGGCACCACGCGTGTCCAGAATATCGAGCCAACGATTGGCGACGTTGGCGACGGCGCCATACGTCTCCGTAAGTGTGGTGCCATCCAAGAAGAACTTGAAGAGCTGCGCTTGGAAATTCTTTATCAACTTCAGTTCACCACGGCGCTTGACCTCAAACCCCTTCAGCTCAGCCAGGCTTCCATCGTGGTTGAAGACGGCATAACGTTTCTTCAAGTTCTTGTCCTCTTCTTTCGATGTAGGCAGGATCATAGCCTTGTAGGGACCGTCGACTTCGAAGAAGATGGAGTTGTCACTGTGCTTCTCGTAACGGAATGTCTCACCGTCTACAAGCGTCTCGTACTGATCGTTGGTAAATTTGGCGTGAACGAGGTGATTTAACATAACGCAAGGATATGAGATGGCCAGCTTCTTGCCGTTCTTTAACTTGAAAGCGAAGTTTTCCGGGAACGTGGCTGGTAGAATGCACCAAATGCCATCAGTATCCAATTCAAGCGGTCGTCCGATGCGCTCCACAAGTTGACGAGCCAGCTGGATGATACGAGCACCCGTCAAACAGGTGACACCCGCCATCTCCAGCGAGTACCACCGTGAACCCTTACGCATGACGTAGCCATAGAAACTGTTCAAGATGACCTTGTGAGCCAGCTGCATGGAGTCGAAGAGAACGATCATCTTCTTCGCGTCATCGACCTCGGAAGCTGGAGCTCCAGCAGACTTCAATTCCTCAGTCTTGCCCTTCCAAACCTTCTGCTTGCCCTTGTAATCGTACCGTCGATCACGAAAGTCTCGCACGGTGTTAATGTAGAAGGGATTCTCTCGCTGACAAATGATTGCCTCTCGCTCGATTGTCGTTGAATCGTGGATCTTGTGATAGATCTTTTTGCTGTATTCCTGCAGTCGCTTCTTGATCAAAGTGGCTTGCTCGTCTTGAGACAATTCCTGGAAGGTGCGAGAGGGAGAGTTCGGAAATCGACCAGGGAACTTCTCATTCTCTAGCGCATTCCTAACCATGTTATATTCGTCGCGTTTGGCAGGTAAGTACTCTCCTCTCCAAGCCCACGGCATCCGCCGATCACAAGTCTTGCCTGGGCGATTGAAGTCGCAAGCCGCGCAATCTGCCTCCTTGATCATAGAATCCGGCTGTAATCGATTCGTTGTCATGATGTTCGGGTACATAGACGCCACGTCCAAATGGTAGATAAGTGGCCGCTCGTGTCGATTCGGTGTGTTCTTCATCTGTAGCAGCTTCTCCGTAATCTGGGCCTTGACCTCCTCATAATTCGTCACATCCTCCATCTTCTTCTTCTCCTCAACTTCGATGCTGAACTTGAGCGCGCCATCTAGATCGCCAAGGAGTTCATCGATAGCTTTGGGATCGACAGCGAAGTCGTACGGTATGTCGCTACGGAAGACACCTGCTTCGATACTCTCGACGTGACCTCCAACATAGGTTTCGGACTCTAGCAGATGGCCATCCCAGAATGCTTCTTTTGGTGCTTGATGCTTATTCGGAAGGACAATGCCCTTCTGGTACGCCTGCACCATGAGCAGCATCTCGCAAAGAGTACCGGTACCCTTTCGTAGCGTGTCATCGGGGCCTAAAGGCAGAATCGTACACAAGGCGAAGATGAAAGGGTGCACATATTTCATGTACAAGTAGTAGGTGGCCACAGCATCGGAGACGGAGTATTCTGCAAGTGTTTGGGGTCGCTCGCTCGCATATCTGTGTCCGTCAGTGTTCATTCTTCGGATCTCATTAGAGTTCTTACGGGGTCATCAGTTCGGGATCCAACTCATCTGGATCATATCCTAGCTTAGCCACTGTAACAGCCTTGAGACCTCGACTACCTTGCGGCAAGTAACTGTCTCGACTGACCCACGAGAAGGCATCCATATGTGCGCAGTGGTCAGACTGGTATATATCCTCACTGTTTTTGCGGAAGCCAATCTCTTGGTACATATCAATGCCGAGGACACTCGCCCTCGCCTCAACAAATGGCCAATCGAAGAAATCACCGTTGTACGTGACCATGACTGTGGGCTTGGCTTCCTTGATGTGCTCAAAAAATCGCTCTATGAGCGCCTTCTCGTCAGGTTCGTTGAAGATCATGAACGGCCCTTGGTATTCCGGTTTAGGCGTGTAATCAAAGTCCTGAATATCTTCTGATACGATTTCTCGATTCGTGATGAGGAAACCCTGACCATCGATCATGTACGATATCATCATGATCTGGTCGATGACTGCGTCGGGGAACTTCAGAGGGAGTTTGGTCGTCTCGATATCGTACGCCATGACCACCGGATCGGCCATTTTCAGGCGGTCTTCTATACAGGTTAAGGATATTAGGCCGTGCTTCGCTTCGACTGTGTACCACTTTCCAATTCTTATATCTACGAGACCATTAGCGCAATCGCGATAGGTAGAAAATCTAGCGTACCTTTGTCGATAGCAACTCGTACATGGTAGGGAACATCGTATTCCCGGATATCTAGAATGAAATCACTCGCATCAATCGTTGCAGTAGGCCGTCTATCGTAATCGTAATCGTCGTCAAAGATGTCGAAGCCAGCCGTCGAACTGCTGTACATTAGCACTTCTCTTCCGGCAAACCACGTGCGGGAACACCGACCTAGCCACCTCGGCATACGTGTCCATCGCATTAACATTCTTCTTGCTCTTCTCCACAATCGGGCCCATGACCTTCCTCACGGCGAGCAAATCGTTCACGTTGGCGAAGCTCAGCTGCAAAAATGTCCGCCTATATCCAGTAAGATGATTCGGCATGGACAGATCCTCCTTCTCGACCTTCTTCATGCTCTTGACAAGGCCCTCGAACGACCTCCTACACCACTCTTCCACTTCTGGCTCCCGGCCCTTCCGCACGGCGACCAAGAAATAAGGGTCGTACTCCAGCGTCGCCTTGAATGTATCGCCGTCGTCGCCAATGAAGTAGTAATCCACGCCAGCCCTTCCGCCTGGTACGTTCTCGTCCTCCAATGTGGTCGAGTGCATGTTGCAGAGCCATCCTACGCGCTTCTTGCCGGCTTCGAAGCGGGGAAAGCCCATGGATTCGTCGATGCGGTTCGCGAGGCGCGTGGCTTCAAGCTTTTCATTTTGTGAGGTTGCTTCCGTGCGGCGGAGGGACGAGGCTTCCACCGTCTTGGGTTTTCGAGGTCCGTATGAGGCATTTCCTCCTTTGCCTACTCGGCGGAATGGCTGCCCTGGCCGTCGTGGCGGCATTGTGTGTATGGGTAAGGAGGTAAAGGTGGATTAAAGTAGATGCAAAGTAATTCAGGGTATCATTGGAACAGTCGAACGAAAAAAAAGAGGGCGGGTATCGAGTCGCAGCGTCTAGGGTTGCGGTGGTAGCGGTGGCAGCGGTGTTGTTGCAGAGCTCGAGGCGTGGTGCTGCGAATGGCTGCTGCGCAGGCGCGTCGGCTGTACGCGTTTGTTCGCGTGCGCAGCGCGTCTTCCCTGCTTAATTGATTTTGGCCCACGCGAAAGCGGGTCGCTAGCTTGGCGCTCTAGCCCTGCCAAAAAAGTCCATGATGCCAGTCCACGCGCATCGAACCACATTGCGGGAACCCATCCCAGTACCCTCGAATCCGAACATATACCCTACATATCGCTGTCCAACGGTTTAATCCAAGAGGAGGAATCTCTGAATAGTGAGAGACAGGCCGTACCAATTGATCTGCCCGACGCGCACCTCAACCACCTACCACAACCATCACAATGGCCGACGACACACGGGAGACCCCCTCTACCACCCCTCCGCCTCCGCGCGCACCCGCAAACATAATGCCCGGGGGCACCGCACACACAGCTGGAGGCCAGCGCGTCGACGACCAGCCCTCCTATGTTGACGTTGTCCGAAACCTCCCGAAAGACTATTATTTCAACTTCCACAAGCGGCCTTGCGTGCGCGACAGCCAGCTGACGGCTATCAGCTCAGGTTTCGTGGGATATATGGTGGGAGCCGTGATACGGAGTACGTCGATGGTGAACAGACGGTGCGGGGCGAAGGGACAGGACTAACATGCTGCAGAACCGGTGCTAATCTGCTCGAACTATGCGGTAGCAACGTGGTGTGTGACAGGTTGCGTGCATTACCAAGTATGCCAGTACTACCGGCGGAAGGAGAAGGATGGCATGAAGCAAGCGGCAGAGCTCATGGAGAAGAAGCGTGCAACTATCGAAGCAAAGAAGGAGGCGCGGAGAAGACAGCGCGAGGAACAAGAGAGATTGGCAGAGGCACAGCGGCTAGAAGAAGAACGGAGGAAGTCATGGTCATACTGGGTCAACAAGAACGTGAAGTTTTGGTAGGAGCGTGGTATGGTTCAAGGCGAAGGCTATGTACAGAAGCGTGTATGAAAAGATGTACAATTATAAGAGACAGGTACCAAGCAATCGCACCCAGGACCACTCAATGTGCCCTTCCTAAATATGGGATGCAAGTAGCAAGGTACGACCTTGTAGGCAAATTGCATGACCGAAGCTGACCGAGTTGCGCCTGTTCCTCCATCATCCAGTTGACCCAAACCCAAAGGATGCTACTCTGCCGTCGTACATCGTAAAAGTATCGTGACATCGTGAAAATATAAACTTCCCCAGCATTATGATTAGCATCTTCCCCATGGACCATCATACGGCGAACTTGACAGAGCGACGCGCATCAATATTCGTCTTCTCCGGCAGCTCCCTCTCAATTGTCGGCTCTCGTGACGACCTCCCTCCAACACCCCTTCTTCGCCGCTCAGATCTTTTAGCTCTAGCTTCCCTCGCTTCCCGTGCCTTCCAATCCAAGATCTGTTGCTTCCGCTTCTGCGCGCGAACATAGGCAATTGTGGGCGTGGGCCTGAACCCTATGCCATTCAGCCCAGTCCCGTCGTCGTCAGGGTCCTTGGAGGGATCGGCAAGATGCCCAGTAATTTCGCTGTCCTGCCACGTGAGCGTGGAAAGCGGGGGCGATGGCGACTTTATTCGTTGGCGGGGTTGCGATGCAACCTTGTGGTTGGACTGCGTCTGACTTGGTGACTTGGTCTTGTGCGGCAATGCATTGGTGGGTGACGAGACGAAAGCCGTGGGTTGTGCAAGGGTAGCAATGTCTGAGAGGATGCGGGGTTGTGTGTATGCCTGAGGCGTCTCTGGTACCTCCCTCGCGCTGGAATCTGGCACTGCGGCGGGCTGTGTGTGTTTCGCACCCGCAATTTGGACTGTCTTTTTCCTCGGCTCCTTGAGGTACTCGGCCAGCGAGGTCCCACTGTCCGCTCTCCCCGCCTCCAGTTTGGGCTTCTTGTGCACCGTGTCGTCGGTCGGCGACAGCGGGTTCAAAGGTATCGCAGTAATGCTGGTCAAGCTCATGCTCCGCAGTTGGTCCGCGACAGCATTCCTGGGGCTGTCACTTCCACTGAGCGTGGGGCTGCCGGCTGGTGGAGTCGAGGCGGATCGGAGAGCAGTGTTTAGAAGCGGGATGGGCGGCGGCTGGTGCTGGTCGCGCTTGCGTTTGGGCGAAGGGTGAAAGGCGGACAGTGTGGTGGGAGGCATGCTTCTTACGGCGATTACATGAGGGCGATATGTGCAGTTCGAGAAATAGTTGTCAGCAGGTGGAGTGTGCGGGTGTTTGTTGATGGGATGGTGGCGGCAGGGTCCCCATTTTGGTGATCGCTGTGGGGCATCTGATGCAGGTTCATAGGGCTGAACCACAGAACCCTGGCAGCTCGCACATAAAGACCCTCGATGACCGAGGCCGGGACATTGTGCTCGGCGAATTCTCCGACAAAGGCTTGAGCGTTGCACCTATTCATACATCTTCGCAGACCACCCGAACAACTTCTGCTGTCAGCACCCACGATCGTCTTCAAGTCCTACCATGATTGGCTTGAAAATACTGACCGCGCGGCATTACAATGTGTGTAGCCTGCTCACTCGCTATGACCTACGCCAGTGGAAACCGCAGATGGTACGACCCAATGCAAACATCTCCTTTGATCACATGGACATGGCTCTTTCTTCGCACGCACGCTGCGCTTACCTCGATGACGGGACGTCATTACCAGTGGCAGTGACATCCTGCAAAGCAAGCCTGGATTGCACCCTGTAGCATATCTCCTCTCGTTGCTTCGGATTGTTTCCGACATTCGCACTCACTCCCGCGGCAATTCAAGGCAGCACACCGTGTATTACAGCCTCCAGTTGCTACACACGCAGCACACAAGCAATATAACTGAAGCTTCGGCCCCGGGTAAATACACGCAGGTGCATCGCTACTAGTTAGCTTACTTTCATGGAGGGACGTTTCACTTTCAGCTTCACAGGCAGGTGATCATCATACATTCAAAGAGTGATTTCCGGGCCTCTTTTAAGGCTTGAATCGAAGCGTGATGCATGTCATAGGGTCTAGCAAGGTATCATCGAACTATGTACAGAAAAGACAGCATCGGGGCGCAAGAATATCGTCCTCCACGTCACAACTCCATCATCAAGATCCAAATGTCTTACTCCGTCCCGCGCTCTCCTTCTGCTTCGGCGGCAGTCCCTTGGGCACATCTGCCATCTTCGCATAGGGGTTGAAGTTCGCCGCTTTCTTCTTCTCCTTCTTGCCTTTCCGGTCTTTCTTCTTGTCCGTGCTCGGCGTGTTCGCATGCAGCACGCTCGGCGCATTCGCATAGTCGAAGGCTAGCTCGTCGTTGTCGTTGAGGGACTCCTGGGCGGCTTGCTTTGCAGCGCGCTTAGCTGCTTTCCGAGCTGCCTTACGCTCAGCCTTTTCGCGGCTCCGAATCGTTTCGTCATCTTCTGACAGCATGATCTCGTCGTCGAGCATTGGGTCTGACTTGGATGGTGTGGCAGCGTCGGCGAGAGCTTCGGTAGCTTTGCGCTTGCGGCCACCGAGCTGCTTAACGACGAAGATGTCGGTGCGGGGGTCTTCGGCGGGGCGGTCTTCTTGTGCGATGAATTTGGGGGGTTCTTGGACTGGAGCGGGGGAGTCGGTCGCGCCACTGTTGTCGGCAAAGATATCGGCGTGGAGAGGCGGGAGAGGCAGTGCAAAGGAAATGTTCGGCAGAGACGCAGACTTTGGTGGTGCGGTATCCTTCTTCGTAAGGAGGCCCCAGAACTGTGAAGCATTTGTGCGCAATGCTGAAGTGTCAAGTTGTATGGGCGCAGCGGATTTCATGACTGCTGCTGGGGCTGGAGGCGCAACGGCGAGTGGTGCAGGAGTCGGTTGGGTCTGCGTTCGTTCCTGTCGGTCTGCTTCCCTGAGGTTTTCGATCCTCTGTAGTGTCACGTAGAGATCAGGACCGGTCATGCCAGCAGCCTTCGCGCCCTGAATGATCTCTACCAGCTCTTCGGCACGAATTCGGAGTGTTGGCGAGACATGGACCACGACGGTAAACAGCGCTGCCTTATCCTGCGGCATATCTCGTGCAATAGAAAACAGAGCGTGATTTGGCATCACGAAGATGGGGCTGTCGTCCTCTTCCCGAGCTACATCATCTCTCCACTTGTGTACAGCTCGGAAAACCGCGAACTGCTGCGGCGTGAATTGAACAGGTGTCCTCGAAACAAGCCTATACCAGCCCGTAGAGCCGAGCCCGAGGTCACCATCGTATATCGGGTGTTCATAGCGTTGCAATGCCGTGTCCTTGGATTTCACCAGGACGTCCAGCACCTTGTTGGTTTCGGGGTGCGAGAAATCCGACTTTTCGACAAGCTCGTTTCGCATGTTGTCGAATATGTAGAGAAGGAAATGGGTATCTGCTCGCGCATACTCAAACAGCTCCTTGGTCAACGGCCGTATTCGCCAGTCGGCCAATTGATACTGCTTTTGTGCTTGGAACTTGATGAAACGTTCGAGGAGATATGCCAGGCTTCCTCCCGGATATCCTAGCGAGCGAGCTGCATGATATGTGTCAAACAGACCAACAACATAAATTCCTAGGTCTCGTTGGAGCCAAACAATGTCCATGAAGGCACCGTGAAGCACCTTGATGATATTGGGATCCGCGAAGACCTGATTTAAACACTCGAGCTGACGCCTCCAGGGCTTGAGTGTATCGACGATCCAGTCCTTTTCGCGTGTGCTGATCTGCATGAGCGAGACCATACCGATGTACGAGCGGTTATCGTGGTGTTCCAGGTCGACAGCAATTTCCTTGGCAGTCTTGAGCTCGGCCAACATGGTCGCAAGCGCTTCTGGGGTATCGACGAAGGTCGCAGTGGTGGTCTCGAATGGCTTGTACGGTTTTGGACCAATGCGCTGATACATGGAGTTGGGGTATTCGTAGGTTTCGATCTCGGTCTGGTAGGGGTGTGGGTATCTACTTTCGTCAGTGCTGCTAGCAGGCTGTCTACGAAGCTCTTACTGTTCGCGCCCGCGGCTGTCCTTGAACGTCTGCAGGCAGTGCTCCATGGGTACCTTGGCGTGTGGTTTCGACGTGAGTAGAGGCCTGAAGCCGCCCGTCTCGTCGTTCTTGGGCACATGTTCGAACAAGAGCTGCGGCTTTGGCAGGTGCTTGTTAGGCGTAGCGGCGATGTTTGGGCGAGGCTTAGCAGCGGCAGCAGTAGCAGCGGCGTTCTGATCATGTTAGTTTCTTGCCAATGCATCCATGCACGACACTCCACGTACCTGCTCGGCGCCGGGGCTCATGCGCTTGACCACGCCAGAGTACTCGTCCAGGCTAGTGTCGGCCTTCTCCAACAAGCTGTCGATGACATCAACAAACCCCCTCCACTTGTCGTCCTCGTCGAGGGCCTCGACGTTGGGTAGAACGGGACCTACAGCGTCCGAGCCCGCTGCAGCATTTTCCAGAAGGCGTCGCGCGAGCTGGAGAAGCCGCGCATTTTGGCCGTCGAGTGCTTCGCCCGCAGCGGGATTGAGCGAGCGCTGGAAGGGAACGTCGGCTCCGTTGATGCGCGTGGCAGCGCGTGTCGTTGCAATGAGAGCCTTGGTAATCTGGTCCTGGGTCGTTTTGAAGTCCATGGTGGCTCTACAAGCGCCCGAATACCATCGCGCAGCTGCCAGCCAACTGATGAAGGGGGACGTCTTGGTGGAAAGTCGAGGGCGTGGCCGAGGGCGACCGCGTGCTGTGAAAGAAGTCAGTGGCCATCCATGCCCCGAAGGAAATTCGAGACGCGGAAATCTTGGCGCGCCTTATCGATAAAGCTCCACGCTCGTACCTGCACCTCCGCCTCCGTTGCCGCCTCTGCCTGTAGGCTCCCTCCCTCTGAGAATCCATCAAAATGTCGGCTTCGCTGGCCCCAGAGTGCAACCAAGTGAAAGAGTGTGTGCATTTGGCAGCAAGGGTGCATTGTATGGGCACTGACAGTTCCTAGGCGGTACGACACCTGCTTCCTGAAATGGTACAGCGAGAGTGAGCTCTCTTGAACGTCAACTGTCACTGCAATTTGTTTGACATATCCAGAGTTCCTCCGCGGCGCCGCAACCACGGATGAGTGCGACCCACTCTTCAAGCAATACGAGCAGTGTCTTTCGGTGCGTGTCTGGATACCTCACTAGTCCGCTGTACTCATCGAAGCAGAAAGTATTGAAAGATCGGGGCATCGACAAGATGGTCAAGGAAGCACGAGACGACAATCGTGAAAATGATGCAGAGCACATGAAGCCTGTTGGTTTATTCCTGGCAGCTTCGCAGCGTATAACGTTAACAAGCCTTCCAGAAGCGATAACGGCCATCATTGCTCTTGGAGCCTGCGGCGTATGCGGCGTTCACGTCTGATGTTCAAGCTCAAAGCTGTAAGCAGCTTTGTTCCTGATGAAGCAAGTTCTTCCACTAACCAGAAAAACAGCAAAGTTCATGAGACCTTTGTAATATAGAATCACCTGGACGGGAAAAGGAGGGAGACCAATTCATCATTGGCATTTGTATTTGTATTCGTAGTTCCGACGGAAGAAGGAACAACTTCACTCTCCGAAATGACCAAATCCTTCACACATCGCGTTGATCGTTTCGGGAAACGGCCTAGGGCCAGGGCTCGTTTCAAACTAGTCGATGACAAAAAGCGCGAACAAAAGGTCCACACCTTGCATTGTCCCCTTCATCACATATATTGTGTCCTCTCCCACCTTCTCTGTACCTCCTCAATTTCATCCAACTGGATCAATTGCTCACCTAGAGTAACATGACCTCTTTCCCTACCTCCCGCATTGGGTTGAACCTGACCCCAGCAACGGCCTCATGGACCGTCCCCTTCGCAGCATACTACCTTTTCCTCCAAAACCGCATCGTGTATCAGCGTCTAACTACCCAGACGTAAGCTGTCCCCGTGAATGTAGAAACTATTTTCAGTGGCTGATTATGTGGAAAGGTATATGGGCGATACCATTGATGCGTCTAATGGAAATGAAGACCCGCTATACGTCTGCACTCGTGCGCAGCAGAATTTCAACGAGAACATCCCGCTTACGCTCATCATCGCTGGACTGGCAGAACTGAACGGAGCTGACCGGTAATCCACAGTCTGCCTTTGGCAGCGAGCGCAACTTACTGAACGAATCTGCAGGAAATATATCAACTACTTCCTTGGTGCTATGCTCGCTTTCCGTATCTCTCATGTTGAGCTGGGCTTGGTGAGTCACTTCAAGATGAGTTATGGGATGATCTTTTGCTAATTAGATAAAATCAGATGCGTCCAAAGTCCATGGGTGTTGGAAGGATTATCGGCTACTATGGAACCCAGGCTTCTTTGTTGACGATGTCAGCATATCTGTTCTACACCGTCAAAGACTATTTCATGTGATTTGATTACGGCACATTGAATCAATAGAGGTTTTTATGCTTGCGCTTGATCTATCGCCACTCTATGTACAGGGCTGCACCGGCCAATTTGGTCCCTAGCGTCTCTACAAACTCGAACATTCCTGCCCTGTCTTCGTTCGGACTTACCCGTCTTCATATTCACAATCACTGATGCAAGATAAATTCTCATTATGATCATTGTATCATCGCCCGTGTCAGCCCTTACCTTCTGATGATGGGCGCCCGGAGCCGCTGTTAGGCTGATCGAAACGAAGACTCGCGAGACGCTACCCACAGCATCGGGAACTCAAGGGCAAACAACAGTTGCATGGCGATGATTGAGCTTACAAAAAGACAGTCCTAGAGTCTATGATCTGTAAGGATAGTCCACACTTAGGCGCAACATTAGTGCGTCTCCGAACCAAGAACTCTAACAATACCTCGCCAAATCCGGACTCGTGGGCAACGACTGAGCCACAAATGGCGCATAATGCTTTTCTAATAGCCGCTCTCACCACCAGTATATACTTGTTGCCATTTCGCTTCTCTTCAAGTTGCGATTAGTTGGATGCTGACGCGTGATACTTGAGGCGCAACGTATATCATCGGCTGCTCATATCACTGCGCTACACAATCCTTCTTTGACTTCTCTCCTATCGGCATGGAAACGCATCGGATCAACGGTCGGGAGCTATCGAAAAAAGTAAGGTGCTTCCATGAGCAGAAGCGAGCTTTCAGAATATTTCATGGGAACTCGCATTCCTTTCAGGTCATGCACGATCTAAGCGCTGTCATCCACACAAAACATCTGGACCATATCCTCGACATCAACACGTCCAGTGGGTTTGCCATGGTGGGACCCAATGTTGCCATGAAAAAGCTCGTCAGAACATACATTGAAACATGGCATGATACCGGTAGTGGTACCGTCTTTCCCAGGTACGACAGTGGGCGGCACATTTGCAGGCACTGCTGATAGCAGCTTCTCTTTCAAACACGGTTTCTTTGACCGGTCCGTGCTGTGGGACCATAACTCGAGGATCACGGACGCGCAATTTTGAGCTTCTTGATGGGATGATAGAGTCCCTTGGAGCAATCGGAATTTCCAAGGCCCTTCGAATCATGCTTATGCCTGCTTTGAAGTGGGTTGAGCTTAACTGCATACCTGTCCGAGATGCTGGCGCCGCTATGGAAACTCTCGGCCAGCTTGCACAAGATCCCAAGAAAGGTGTCTTAGAAGCACTGATCTACGGACCTGAGGCACAGCCATACGTTGCCACAGCTGTCGGGAAGCTTACTACGGCCAGCAACCATTCTCAAGCCATATTCAGTACTCCAGATAAGGAGTGGTTCTACGAGCATTCCCATCATGCAAGCGAGAGTACAGAAAGCACCCCAGTCACCGATACTACCTCGTCCGGTATGACCGAGGTTCTACCAGTCTGGGAGAGTACTGCTTCGGTCGACTGGCTTTGAATAATTGGTCCAGATGGGGCGCGGATAGTGCTCTAAGGTCCCATGCACTTGCTCAAACGATGCAAGTGCTCCATTGGGCTGACCATCTATCAGTACACGATCTCATTGTTCCTCAAGATCCGACATCGGATATGCTCGAGTACCGGTATCTCGGCAGCAACTTGAAGATACATCCTCTACCTTTGTCTCCTGTTCGTCAATGGCCGGAAAACCGCGCCAGTAGTATGTAGCGTCTTCTAAACATCCTCCTTTATGCTAGTACTCCAGTCATGCGCAATTACCCATCGCAATCAAATCTTGCCACAAGACCTATCTTTGGGGTTGGACACTGTCAACAAGTGACATGCCCACAGCGTTCGGAGAGACGCATCGCCAGACCGAACAATCATTACACCGGCTCGGCGGTTTCAAGCGGCTCTATTCGCGCAACTACTACGCCGAGGAAGAGTTCTGGCAGAAATATCCCAAGGAGGAATACGATCAGCTGAGAGTCAAGTATCACGCGGAGTTGCCTCTGTGGAAGAAGAGCGAGGCGCCTGCGCGAAAAACAGGTTTGCCAAAGCAGAAGAGTTTTTGGGATCGATTATTCGCAAGGACGGGAGTAGTGGCTATGAATCACGCGCAGGGCTATGTGTGAGAGTAGAGTAGAACAATGTAGAGCACGAGTCCGATCGCGTTCATGTAGTCTTAATAGGTGATCTACGCAGGGGCATATGAAGCGAGGGTCTATTTATAGCTGTGCCATTTGATAACGAAAGTACGCAATATATCCACAGCCAAACACAGTGGATTGAGTTCGATGCATTGGTGCCCTTGCAGAGTAAACAACAGCGTGAAAATCCCACTTGAGCTAAACGCCAGTGAGGCTAGCATACCACATACCGGGAGTTGTACCAGCACTTGAGCCTATGCGACGATTAATTCGGTTTGTCATTCGAGCATATATCTCTATATGATTGCATGTGAGCCTGTCAGTTTTCATCCAAGGTGCTCACCTCAGCTGCAATCATAAGACGAATTATTTGTTTATACAACACGAGCATAGATGGGTAGAACCACATGCCAAGCGCATACTTACCGGTACGGTGCCGCGACCCGTAGTCCGAACGACTTCCACTCAGCCACACCACGCCTTCTCTACACAATTACCGCAACTGTTGGCAGTCAACAAACGTCAGATCACGCTTTTGCAATGCCTTTGCCATTGTCGCAACAAATCGGGTGCTAAAGCGACGCAAGAACGCGCTGGGAAAGTGTCGCTCCCAAAGTAGACAACTGCCGATCGGTTCCCGCGCATGCACACGCAACGAGCCCGAAGCGGTCACGCTACAATGCTGTACCTTGCGGCTCCAAGGATGGCCCTACGTGTCACTGTGCACACTTGCCCTCTGCCAAAACGCAGGCGTACAGCCAATGGCAGCGTTCCCTGCTGGCGGCCTTGCGCGACGTGATTGGTGCGCTGTGTCCGTAGGAAGTCGTCGGACATTTGGCGACAGACACGGACCCCATACCAAAAGACTCCGACACCTGCCAGTGACCACCGTAGGCAAAGGCGACAGCAGGCGGGCGGCGGAGTCTGGACGGAGTGCCGTACGCTATGGCGCATCTACTTGAGCGCGAGAGGGCGCAGTGATATAAATGAGTGTACCTAAGGCACTCCGGTTGACCATCGCACACCATCAGCTTCAGCTTCCTTTTCCTACCGTTTCTCTGTTCTATCTTCTGCACAGCAATAATTACGACGGTCTCTCCTTAATACCATACACACCACAGTCTCTACACTACTTTTCGCTCGAGCATTTCCCGCTAGACTTTCTTCACCATGCAGTACTTTACTCTTGCCGCTCTTACTACCCTCATCGCCTCGGCCGCCGCCGTCGGCAAAGCCGTTGTTAAGAACAACAGCCAGGATACCATCTACGTCTGGTCTGTTGGCGCCGAAATCAGCGAAAAGCAGACCGTCGAGCCCGGTACGTCTTCCTCTCCTTCCGCCCCCACCCAAACATCCTTCTAACGTCATCATCACCAGGCAAATCCTGGTCTGAGAAGCTCCACACCGACCCCACCACCGGCGGCATCGCCATCAAAATCACCACAAAGGACGACGGCATCTTCAATGGCGCACCCCAGCAGATCTTCGCCTACAACCTCGTCGACGACGCCGTGTGGTACGATCTCAGCACCGTGGACGGAAACCCCTTCGAGGGTCAGCACATCACCGTTACCAACCGCCGCCACGAGACCATCGACTGGCCCCAGGGCACGAACCCTGGCGGCGAGTTCAGCCAGATCAAAGCCGGCGACCGGGAGAAGAACGTCGTGTTCCTTGTCGGCGCGGGCGAGTCGTAGGAGGGCGGTAATAAGCAGAGAGACATGATACCCTGGTCGGTTGGTCGCGATGAATAGTTTTCCTTGGTTTTCTTGATGCATGGTCAGGTGTTTGTTCTTTTGTGTGTATATATTCATCATCTTCGGGGATTACCCTTGAACCTTCAGAAAGAAAAATTAGAACAGAATGGAACATCGATGAACATTGGTTATCGAAGGAAAAACTGTTTTCGACTGCTTGTTAGTGAATCTTGCCTCTGCGTCCTCCTGCAGACCGCGGCTTGCTCTGTGGAAGTTTCGCTCGACCCTGCCTCGCATCCCCTCTCGCATACGGAACCGTGGGCTACCATCACGCAATACCTAGGCCCAAACAAACCTCGCGAGGAACACCACCCGAAATGGCACCTCTCCCCAAGAAAATTCTTGTCTTCGGCGCAACGGGCGTCATTGGTAAATACATCATCTCTGGCCTCGTCGATGCCAAGGCCAGCGTCGAGAAGATTGGCATATTTACGTTGCCTACAACGGTAGAAAGTAAGAAAGCTGATGTCGCCGCGCTGTAAGACCAAGATGTGGAAGTCCTGGTGGGAAACGTGGAGTCCGAGGCGGATGTGACGAGGGCGTATGATGGTGAGCAAACCAACTCCCCGCCCTGGTCCACAATAGCATTCGTTGCCCGCAACGTCTCACCTGCCTGTTGCAAGAACCAGCCATACACTCTCGAAAGACGCACGTCTTAACAGACATCAGGCTGCGACACCGTCATCTCCGCCCTTGGCCGCTCCACCATCCTCGTCCAAACTCCCCTCCACCGCCTCGCCGAAGCCTCCCCTACAATCCACACTTTCTTCCCCTCTGAATTCGGCACAGACAATGAGTACTCCACCTCCACCTCTACGCACGAAAAGCTGCACCAGCTCAAGCTCCAAGTGCGCAAGTACGTGCGCGAGTACATCCGCAAAGTGGCCGTCACGTACCTCGTCACGGGACCGTACTCGGATCTGTATCTGAGCGCGCAAGCGGGGGACTTTGAGCGCGCTGGGAGTTTCGATGTGAAGGGCGGGAAGGCGGTTCTGCTCGGCGACGGCGACAGCAGGGTGGCGTTCACGAGCATGCGTGATGTGGGCGTGTTGCTTGTCGCGGCGCTCAAGACGTCTGGAGAAGGTTCGCCGAGGACGCTCAAGGTGAACTCTTTTACTGCGACGCCGTGGCAGATTTTGGTGGAGTTTGAGCGGCAGACGGGGAAGGTGTGGTGTGTGGAATATACGTCGGTTGAGGAGCTGAGGTGTGGAAGAGCGGCGATGGAACGAGGTATACGCTGAGGAGGATCTGGACAGAAAGGGGGACGTTGCATGCAGAAAGGGTTAATGGAATTATTGGAGAGCCGAATTTAGAGACGTTGGAGAGACAAGTGAGGCTGTCCATTGAGAGGCAACTAGGGAAAGGGCAAGCGTAGATGAGCATGCGCCGATTAAGGAATCATTAATAAGCGGGGGAGAGGTCTTCTTCGATGATCAAGGTTCTCGAACAGTTCGTATGTGTCGTCGCAATATACAACATCATGAGGAATATGGTAACTCCAAGCAGCCCCAGCAGCCTTTGTCCCGTCATGTTCAGCCAGACCCTGCCATCCCAGCCAGTTTGGCACCCAATGCTACGATACCATCCAAACGCCGAGTCCGGTGTACCCAAAACCCCAACGCCCAATAAATATGCTCAAGAAGACTATGACTAAGGATTCGTGCTATCCCTTGATGTAGTCCTTGTTTTCGATTGTCACACTCTTCGTCTGGGTGGTGATTAGCGACTCCCTGCAGCTCGGAAGGATCGAAGCATTTACCATGTGGTTGACTTTGTACACGCCAACAAGGCGCGCAGAAAGCTCGAACATGTTGTTGCGCAGCGAGATAACAATGAACTGCGCGTTCTTGGTGCGCTGCTGGATGTAGCTCGCAATAATGGAAACCTAAATACGTTAGCTATGCGTTCTCATGCGAACTGTCTTACCCAGCAGACTCACGTTTCTAAAATCCAACGCGGCATCGATCTCGTCCATGACGTACAACGGTGTCGGTTTGTAGTGATGCAGCGCAAATACCAGGGCCAACGAGCTCAGCGTCTTCTCACCACCGGAGAGGTTCGAGATGCTCTTCCAGCTCTTCTTGGGCGGCATAACGCTGAAGTTGATACCTTCTGCGAAAGGATCCCAAGAGTCGACCAACTCTAGTTCGGCGTTCCCACCGTTGGTGATGAGCATGTACATCTCCTTCAGCTTCGAGGTAATGATCGCGAAGCCTTCCATGAAACCTTCTAAACGCAATTTCTTGAGTTCGTCAAGCTTCTTCTTGGAGGAATCGCGGGCAGCAACAGCCTCATCGAGGGAACGGGTCCGTTCAGCATGCTCATTGGTACGCTTTCGGTATTCCTCTAGCACTGTGACGTCGACTGTGACATTCTCGATCTTCTTCTTGAGACCGGCGATCGAAGCCTTGATCTCATCTTTGTCCATGTCTCGAAGCTCGTCTTTAGTGTATTCGGTAAGGCCTGCACCCTCTTGCTCCGACTCTCCAAAATCACCCAGATTTTGGAAGGTAAGTTTAGCCAGCTCTTCACGGTACAGCTGTTGTTGACTTTGGCGTTTGCTGAGGCTTTTCTGGCCCTCTTCGAGCTCGTTACGCATCTCGATCTCATGAGCACGTGTTTCGTTCAATGCAGCTGTCTTTTCATCGAGTTCTGCCTTTAGAGTCTGCAGCTCTTCTTTTGTCGCTTCCAAAGCTTCCAGGGCTTCCTCGGCTTGCTGCCTGATCCCTGCAGCGTCTTGCTTGTGTGCCTCCATATCCTCTTCGATCTTTTCGGCATCGCGTTCAAGCTTTTCAAGGTCCCGGATCGCGTCAGCATGTGCCTTTTCGTGTTTGGCGAGTTGCTTCTCTTCTTTTGACTTTGACACCTCCGCATTCGATGTCATGTCAGCAAGAGAATCGATTTGGCCTTTCACATCGGCAACCTTGGCGTTCTGGGTCCGCAGCTTTGAGCCACCGATTTCCATAATCCTCTCCTGTAGTTCTTTGATCTCAGCCTCCACCTCAGCAGTTTCTGCGTGTAGCTTCGCAACTTCCTTTTCGGCCGACGCGATGCTCTTCTCGAGTTTCGAGATACTGGCCTTGTCCGACTTGACTAACGCCTGTTCAGCGCTGAGTTCCTTGATCCGTCGTTTAGAGTCAGCAATGTTCCGGTCAAAGCTATCCAGCTCCATTGCGATCTTTTGAGCCTGTGTTTCCAGCTGAGGAATCTGTTGGTTCAAGCTACGAAGCTGTGATTCAAGACCTAGTTGTTGTTCCTGAAGCTCTGCATAGCTCTGTTCAAGGGCATCGCGGTCTTGCTCAAGTTTCGCAACTTGGGTGCTCGTGACGTTGGCCGCAAGTTTTGACGACATCTTACCCTTCGATACTCGATTGCCACCACCGCTCATTGTACCTGCTGTCTCAATTAACTCGCCATTGAGAGTGACAACGCGCCATCGGCTTGCGCCGTAGGCTACACGATTGGCCTGGTCAAGATCCTTCGCAACGAGTGTGTTCGTCAGCACGTTGTAGAAAACCAGTCTGAATTTCACATCATTCGGCTTGATGAGATCGAAAAGTCGTGGGACGTTCTCTGGTGTTTCAATAGGCGAGAGATCGCGTTGTTGCTGGCGGTTGAGAGGTCTGAATGTGCCTCGACCTAGGTTATTCTTACGGAGGTAGTCGATGCACTGCTCTCCCACTTCAGCTGAATCGACAACGAAATGATCCAGCGCAGGACAGGCTGTCGAGATGGCGATATCGTACTTCTGATCGATAGTACCGAGATTGCCAAGACGTCCATGGAAGCCGCTAATACGTCCTTGGTCTTTCAATTTCATCAGTTTGTCTTGGACGTTGCCCTGATTCTGAGTCTCTGAAAGGCTCGCCCGCGCTTCGTTAGCGTTCTGCCTTGCACCGGACAGTTTGGATCTGAGGGCGGGTTCTTGCTGTGCCAATTGATTGAGCTTTGCCTGCACATGCTGGACTTCCTTCAGTGCTTTCTTTTGTTCCGCCTTGCATTCTTCTAGCTCGTCGACCTTGGTCTGCTTCGATTCTTGCAAGGTGGCGATCTTGGCTTCGGCCTCAGCAATTCCTTTGGCACCTGCGTTCTCTTTCTCGCGAATAATGTCAAGCTCGCTCTGAGCTAGAGCGATCGCAGATTGCTTTTCACTGATCTTGGCAGTCCAAGGCTCGAGGGACTTTTGCTTTGCCGCGATCTCGTCCGAAAGGCCCTGAGTCTTGCCTGCAAGGCTTGCACGGATAGCCTCAAGCTCCTCCTCTTCGGCCGCCATCTTCTCCTCTAGCGCTGCCATATCCTCGGCATAGCCCTCTAGATCAGAAGCATACTGTTTCGCGTTTGTCGAAGCCTCGGACATGCCATGCTTACTGGTTTCCCTTGTCTTCTCGAGCTTCTTCTGCTTTCCGATCATGAATTTCTTCTTCTCCTCAAACTTGACCGTGTCCTTGTCGATCTTCGCAACCTCTTTCTGGAGTTCTTGGGCCTGCTTCTCCAACCGCTCGCATTCCTTGGAGCCTCGCTTGTACTGCTTCTCAAGCTCTTTGATGCCTTCCTCATTGCCCTGATGTGCCTGGAGCTCCTCGTCCAACCGAGCTTGCATCTGTGCCACAGACTCGCTGGCTGCATGAATGTAATCGTCAAGCTCTGAGATGTGGATCTGGTAGAGGGCCGATTGTTTTGAAGCGATCTCATTCTCATCGTGGAGAAAGGCGAGTGCTGCGTTTTTCTTATCTTCGAGCCCATCCCTTTCCTTCTCTACAATTTTGACTCGTCGTTCCTTTTCTTGGGCGGTTTCGTTGAGTTCATCCGTCTCGGTTATGGCTTGCTCGATAGGTGTCTTGTACTGGGATGTCCCAATGATATCCTCGAGGTACTCCAGCAGACCATCGTCATGCTCCCCCTGCGCCTTGGGCTTCATCTGAGCGATCGATTCGACCTCGCCCTGCAAGATTAAGAACCGCTTGTGGTCCAGGTCCACACCACGTCCCTTCAGAAGGTTGGTCACTACCGTGAATGATGATTCCTTGTTGTTGATGTAGTACTTGCTGGCGTTGTTCTTGAAGGCTCGCCGGGAGATGATGAGCTTCGAATTCGGGATGGTCTCGCAGCCTCCTTCGGGGAGATCCTTGACTTCTTCAAAATGAACTGCAACCTCGCAGTAGTCGAGATTGGGGAATTGGGCTGAGTTGTGGATGAGAGCCGAGATCTTGCCCTGCCTCATCTTGCTCGCACGGAAACCAAAGACGAACAGCAACGAGTCAATGACATTGGACTTGCCTGATCCGTTTGGACCCACAACGGCGGAGAAGGAGCGATGGAAAGGCCCTACTTTCTGTTCCCCAGCGTAGCTCTTGAAATTGGTAAGGACCAGCCACTCAATGACGGTGCGCTGCTGCGGAACATCTGACTGATGCGTCGAGGGGATGCCGGCGAGCCGCTTGCGCGCCACAATGTCCATGGGCTTCTCCAGCAACGTGTGTTTCGTGCTGAAAACCATGGTAGCGTCGGGTTTGGCATCAGGCTCGGGCTGTGACGATGGCACGGGTATCTGTTCGTTGAGCGCGCTCTCGGTGATGTCTGCGAGGGGCGCGCTGGGTGCGCGGGGCACGATAGTAGGCTCGTCTGGTTCAGATTGAGGCTCGGGCTCAAGGCCAGGCTCAAGCTTGACTGCGGGTTCGAGCTGTGTCACAGTCACTTCCGAATGCAACAAGCTCTGGTCCGGCGTCTCTGAGGGCTCTGACGGTTGCGGGGTAGGCAGGATGGAGCCTTCCACCGCTGGCTCTTCCGCTACCAGGACACGAGACTTGCGGCTGGCCGTCGTCGTTGTACGTTTCCGTGGCGACTTCGCGGGCGTGGGATTTGCAGGGTGTTCTGCAGGTGGATTGAACACCTGGGTCGGTTCGATTAGGTCGGTGGGCTCGACGGATTCTGTTGCGCGCGGCCGCCGTGTGGTTCTCCGCGCTGGGGCTGGCTTCGGGGTCGCTGCTGCAGCACCTGCAACCTTCTTGGGCCTCCCTCGTGCGCGTTTCTGTGGTGGGGGTGCCGGTGTAAAGTCGTCTTCTTCTTCTTCCTCCTCCTTGATCTTTGGTGCCTGGTTCTCCTCACCGTCCGAGTCGTCGTCGACGATCGGCGCTTTCCGACGCGTCGCGGCGGCGCGCGTGGACTTCCGGGGCGACGCGGACGACATTTTCGCTGGCTGTGTGCGGTTAGTCGGCGTGCGTTTGCTCCAATGTATGAAGCCGTCCTGGTGTTCGTTTCGGTGCTGTTGGTAAACATTGTGCACGGACCATGGGCCAATTCACGCTAGACACGTGCTTGCCCCACGCATCCCGACGCGTTCTCTTACACACGACACAGGTTTATGCTTACGCAGACCCAGCGGCATTGCAAAGCTCGTCCTCGACATGCGATGTCGCTCTCATACACTTGAACATCATCCAGGTTACACGCCTAACATCCAAACCCGCCCTCGCAGATCACTTTTTGGCATGGACGTGATCACATGGTATGCGTTATCAGTTTACAGTGCTGGGTCTCAAAGGTAGCTCAAGTCTCCCCGGCCTCACTCTCCCCGAGCCGGACGGACCATGGCAGATAACAGACATCACAATTCTGGGTGAATCAAGACCGGGCATGATGGGATCCATTAGTTCTAGATGACCTCTCCCATGCTATACACTCGTTGCGCATGTTCAACCTTGGCCCAGCTAGTGGCATCCAGGAGTGCAGAAGCCTCCATAGCAGTAACACACCCTCTTCTCCACAAGAGCCTAAGTAGCATCAGCGTCCATCCATCAACAGCAGAGTTGAGCTCAACCTACCGCCCACGCAGTTGCATCTGCCTCGGCCTCGGCCTCGGCCTCAGCCTTAGCTTCTCTCTTGGTGTTGCAACCTGCGGGAACGCAGAAGCCGCCGTAGCAGGAGCAGACGGCCTACGCAATTGTTACTTTTGCTTTCAAGGACAACTCGTGGCCGGATTTCAACGTACCACTGCGGCCTCAGCATCGGCGGTAGGCGCAGCCATCACACCAGCCGCAAGGGCGAAGGTAGCGAGGATGGTCGTGGAGAACTTCATGTTGATTGTCTTGAAAGAGGGGACCGAAGCTTTGGTGGATGAGGCTTGAGTGAGTGCTGGATGACCCTCATGCTGCCCGACTCGACCCCTTCTTATACTTCATCTGGCTCCGCAGCGCCATACTTGTTACTATCCTAACCACCTGAGTAATTCACCATCTCGCTAACAGACCATGTTCAATTAGACTTAGACTTGCGCCGAAACAGAGAAGCTTCACTCCATACGTACGCGAATACCGTTGGTATAAACGCCACAATCCAGAGACTCCTCTTCGGACCGGCAATAGCACCAATCGGTAGTGTCATTGGGGCCTTACCGTGCGGTAGAGCTATACTCTCCGCCCGCAGACCCACCACCACTACGATCTCCCCCGTAATATTGACATGCTATGACCCCATGGGGTTCTAGTGTCGATACCACCTGCCTCATGGAGGCAATTGGACGACTGGACGCAGTCTCAATCTCTCCTAAACACTTTACAGTATCCAGACTTCGAAGAATCATCTCGGGTGGAGCTGTAGCCAATTTTCCCGCACACTCGTACGAGATGTCACTCAGTCCCCACTGGGATCGTTATCCTCAATACGATGCTCTTTCCACAGGCACGACCTCAATTTGTGGTAGTATTCGTTCAGTGACATTCGGCATGCACACCATAGCGACCATGCATCCTTCCGCGGGCGTAGACGGCCAAAGATCGCGGGGAGCAACATCGGTAGGTACGCGCCAAAGGCAGCTCAACTGCAAACAGCTAGTGGTGACGGGGCTTTTTTACGAATTCGTATCGCTCATTGAACACACGCCGGTAGACACGGCGTCGGGCGGAAGGTGAAGACTTGTTCATGACCACTGGTGCAACCTAGAGCAAAGGTTGCCACACCTTGGACTATCGTTTCGAATTATACGCTCGCGAGTTACTACACAGACAGTGGTGAAAATTCGATCTTAAAAAGCTTACTCACAACCAGACCAACCAGCAGATGCCCTTCAGCAGACGAGATGAAACACGGACGAGTCAGGAAAAGGGTTTTGCAAGAGGAACCAGACCGCGCGACCTCTTCGATACGATTCGGACTCTCTTGGCTTCACCATCCGACATATCGAAAGGTCTGACATTGCTATAATCGTTTCAAGCTCCTCTAGACCAAGTTCCTCGTCGATGTTACTTGCTCAAGCGCAATAGAGGTGCACATATATGAAAACAGTGATGGGTTGTGGCTCCTTTTGCGGTAATAGTAGATTGTAATGAATCGCCGAGGTAGTGAGATGCAGACTACATCACGGCGAACGATCAATAGCGAAAGCAATAGCGAGCCGATGTACACGGATATGTATGGTGGCGTGGGGCTATCTTCCCGAATGGTTTAGTTGCTCTGCTCCACACGGCGATCCTCCCCCAACACCTAGCACCTCACCACCAATCTCCAAGGCCTTCCAAGAGCGTTCAAATATATGGATGCAGCACATCCGAATAACGCGATGCGGGGCCGCCATTGCCAGACCGCGCTTACGATGAGCTCACGCACAATGATTGTTTCCCAGACCTCGCGACGACAGTGCGATGGCGCGTACAGAGTTTCGCATCCACCGACTTCGCGTTTTAGCTGCGCAACGGCACAGCTGCATTGACCATGCGACGTTCATGCTACAGGCTAAACTACCCTATCTATGGGAACGGTGTCAGGGCGTGTATACCTCAAATTTCGTGATAACAGCTTGGTTCGCAGTCTTTACGCGTTCGTGGGGGTCCTCGTGTGCTGCGCAGGAGATCTCATGGCCTCTCGCGATCTTTCACACTTCTCTTCTGTCTTGTTATTGTGATAGCGATAGATCTCGCGTCATTCCCTTCCTCATATTAAATTTTTACACTCACAGCGCTGGCCCGCTATAGACAACTAATATACTAATCCTGGACTCGTCGGGAAGAAGAGGAGGCTTCAAGATCATTCAGAACCACAAGTCATACGCGCTCCGCTTTTTGTACACTGCGCTCAACTCACAACCATGCTTCCAACGATAATACTTCTGAGCGCTTCGCTCGGCCTCGCAACGGCCAAATCGAACCCATACATGTTGTACGGAGTACCAAAAGGCCCCGGCATCGACATCGATGAGATGCAAAGCATGGATTCTTTCGAAGTAGTTACTGCAGCAGTCGACAATAGCACTCATCCCTCGAATACAACGCAACCTCCGACGACCACGTCCACGCCCACGATGCCAAATACGCCAGGTCTCGCGGAGCCGTGCGCTGCTGTCAGTAGCGCATTACAGGCTATTCCTTCGGGAAGCCGGAAGGTTATCCCAGCGGAGTTAGCAGTCAGGTGTCTTCAATCAGTGCCGTTGGACCAGAAAGGCAACATGCAACTCATAGACGACTTGAAGCTGTATCTTGAGTGGCAGAGTAACATCGCGTTTCTGAAAAATCCTCCGGCCGAATACACAGAACAGCCAGTGGATCTTATGGGGGAAATGGACAGCATGAAGAAGCAATTGGCCGCCAACGGTTTCCAGAGCGAGTATGACTTTCAGCTAGAGTTGAACAAGCTGTTCACGCGTGCATACGACAACCATCTTGCGTGGCAGCCTGATATCCTGGCAGGCGTCATGCAGTTTCAACGCCCTGCTGGGACAGAACTCGTATCCGTCTCATCCGATGGGAGCCAGCTGCCTGAAATATACTCTTACCGGGACCTGGAGCTTGCGAAGAACAATACTTCGTTCAAACCCTCCCCCGTGCGAACAATCAATGGCGTCGGAGTGGAGGAATACTTGCAGACTGTGGCTACGCAGGCTGACTTCCACGATTCAGACACCCGATGGAATGCACTCTTCCCTAGTCAAGCGCTTATCGCTTCTGGGGTCAACTATCTCGGATCATTCAGGACAGGCATGTTCGAAGGACCAAACACCACCATGGCTTTTGCCAACGGCACAGTAAAATCTTCAATAAATTTGGCAGTCGTTATCGGAGACTTTACAGGCGTCACTGATGGTACCACCTTTTTCAGGAAATTCTGTTCCGGTCCCACATTCAACACGGCCGCTACTACAACTGCCGTCAATGGTAGTAATGTGACGGTCCCCTCGCAGGCACCCTCACCATCCCATGTGGGATATCCGAAAGCTGAGCTCATACATCCAAATCTGTCACTTGGAGGTTATTGGATCAACGACACTGGATACGATGTGAGCCTTTTTGTCTTGTGGTTCGGTACAAGTACTAACACGATCAGGATGTTGCTGTCATGAGCATCCCTTCGTACGAATCGCCGGACGTTCAGCTCTTCCAGAACATCATGCGCGACTTCATCCGCATGTCCGTCAAAGCAGGTAAAACTAAAATGATATTCGACCTTCGCGGAAACGGCGGAGGGAATGCAATCCTCGGCTACGACTCCTTCAAACAGGTCTTTCCGCAGGCCGATCAAGAGCCCTTTGGTGGAACACGGTTCCGGGCGAACGACGCTCTCAACGTAGTTGGTCAAATGACTCGAGATTTTGCTGCCAACAAGACATTTGTGCAGAGCAACTCGGCCGCATTTCAGGAAGCGTTCGGGCAGCTTAGCATGAATGATGTATTTCTGTTCACCAGCGGCTTCAACTTCCAACACCAGCTCGATGCCAATAACGAGGCATTTGGAAGCTGGGAGCAGATGTTCGGGCCGGAAACGGTCAATGACGACAAGTTTACCAAAACACTCAGATACAACTTTAGCGACGAGGTGAGCTACACGTATCCCGATTTCTCGGTTATTGGATTCTTGGAGAATGCGAACGAGACGAAGACCCCGCAGCCCTTCAAAGCGCAGGACATCGTTATGGTAAGTTGTGCCGTTCTATCGCCTTTGACGAGCTAACACCTCCCAGCTCCACGACGGCATGTGCTCCTCAACCTGCACCATCGTCTCCGAACTCCTCAAAAATCAAGGCGGCGTCCGCACCATCGCCGTCGGTGGCCAGCCCAAAGCCGGCCCTATGCAAGGCATCGGCGGCACCAAGGGAGCCCAGTCTTTCTCCTACGACGACGTCCAAATCCGCACCCAGATCATCTACTTGTAAGCCTCCCTTCCACCAGGACTTCTCACATGCGGACATTCCTAAGAACCATCACAGCCTCGGCTCCCCCGAACAGCAAACCCAATGGAACCAAACCTCCCTCGGCAAAACCGCTTTTGCAGAGCAAATGTTCAAGCGCACCGCGTACAGTGGTGATAGGCCTGCAGGCGGCATCAATCTCAAGGATAATCTCCGCCGCGACGACCCGTCGAACACGCCGCTCGAGTTCATCTATGAGGCTGCCGACTGTCGCATGTTCTACACAGCGCCTATGATCAATGATGTGACGATGGTGTGGAAAGGTGTCGTAGATCGTATGTTTAGAAATGGCACGGCGAAGTGCGTGGAGGGGAGTACGGGGGATAAGAGCAGTGTTAGTGGGGGTGGGCAGATGAAGGCTGGGAGCGTGCCGCCACCGCCGCCGCCGGCAAGGGCGGGTGTGGGTGAGTTTGATGGCGCTGGAAATAGGTGGGCGGTAGGGAGGTTAGGGTGGGCAATTATCGCTGCGGCCGTGGGTCTGGCGGTGTACACGTAGTCGGGTTGAAAGAATGGTAATGACGTTACGACTTCTCCATGATGTACTTGAACGTGCAGTTTTACGACCTGTATCCATCACATCTGCCAAGTGCCAGTAGTCCAAAGAAGCCAATCCTAGAATCATGGGGATATCAGAGATAGGGTCCCAGTGCATTCGTCGTCCAGTCCCACAGCCGCTGTGCCAACTCCTCATCACCCGAGTCCTTCGTATCTCCCGCAAGTCTCCCCACCGGCTCATACATATCCCCCGACTTCGCATCCTCACTTGTAGCAGCCCAGCATGCATTATACACTCCCTCATGCAACGGTATCTGCTGGCCCAAACACATCGTTTTGATTCAGAGCCTGTCGCCCAGTGGCAGGTTATTCCCCAGTCCTGTGTACACGACACCGGGGTGTATCGCAACCGTCCTGATCTTGGGGTATTTCCTAGCCAGCAATTTGGCGTACAGTACGAGAGCGAGCTTGCTCTGCCCATAGCGGAGCCACTTGGAACCCATTCCCAGATTCTCCTGTGTGGTGGTGAGGTCCTGGAAGACAACGCCCCCTCTCGGTGTGAATCTGAAGCCGTTCGAGGAGAGGAGAACGATGCAAGCATCGCCGTTGTTTTCTGCCGAATCCTGGAGTTTTTGTTGCAGATGCGTGATGAGCAAGGCGTGGGAAAGGTAGTTGATGGAGAACTGCACTTCATATCCATTTTTGGAAAGACCAGCTGGGTCTCCCATGATTCCTGCATTGCAGATCACAATGTCGAGGCGATCTATGGCTGCGGATATCCGCTTTGCTACGGACTATACAGACTCTAGAGATGTGTGATCTGCAGTCACGTATGTGCATGCCGTCTTAGGGCTGATTGCCTTTGCTTCTTCCATGGTGGCTTTGGCACCGTCAACATTTCGGCCGGTGAAGAAAATGCGGCTTGGTGCATGTTTTGCGAGTGTAATAATCGTTTGCTTTCCTAGGCCAGTGGTGGCTGAAACCCCTCGTCAGCATGGAATCGTCGAAATGACGATGCTAAAGTATCCTACCTCCGGTGACTAGAATCACCTTGCCGCTGAGATCTGGAATATCTGCGTCTGGATTGTAGGTCGCTGAAAAACTCATGTTGAGGGGTAGGAACCCTAAGAGTGCCTGCTGTGGCTTTGATTCGGGTGGTCAATCGTTCAAATACTTGGAAAGACTGTGCCACCTACCGGGTGTAATCACAATGCGAGCCGCGATGATCTCTAATTCTCTCACTGAAGACATACTTCGTCCCTGATACACCAACGCGGACGCCTTCTGGAATTTGATCATTTGCGGACCAATGTTCACAATGGCCAACTCTCCAAGTTTTTCATAACGAAGATGGGAGTCATGTTGACAAGACTGCGCAACCCTCGAATGTGTTGGACGACGGGACTGCCCGGCGCTCATTGGCATATGTAACTTGAGCTAACCGCTTTGGTTCGGTGGCGGACTCGGATCCTCCTCCTTGGCCCGACACTCAACTTCAACAAGTACGTGGAACCTCGACTACTTATTATCAGCATTTGAAGAGCACTATCACTTTTCCGCAGCATGCCGAAAGAGCTCCCTATACTCAGACTTGCAGACGCTGCAGCTTGGAGAAATTGGTTGGCACGGGAAGGTTCGTTGTCCGAAGGCGTAATGCTCGCAACCATCAAAAAGGGCGCTCAGGACGCCGACACGAATCTGCGTTACGACCAAGCACTGGATGAAGCATTATGCTACGGCTGGATCGATAGCGGAGGTCGAAAAGTGGACGATAGTATATACTTGTTTCGATTTTGTCCGCGCAAACCTGGGAGTCTCTGGTCGAAGCGGAATGTCAGCTACGTGGAACGACTAGAAAAAGAGAACCGTATGCAACCTGCTGGACGCGCTACGATTGAGGCTGCAAAGGCCAATGGACGCTGGGCTTCCGCCTATTCGGGCTCTGGAAACACGGAGATGCCTCCCGACTTCCTAGCTGCGTTGGAAAAGGCACCCGCGGCCAAAGCGACATGGGAACAGCTAAACAAGGGCAACCGTTGGCGCATATATTTCAGACTCAATAATCTAAAGACCGCTGCTGGACGGGAAAAGAGGATCCAGGCCGATGTCGAGGATCTGGCGCGAGGAAAACCACCTACACCACAGAAACGTACACCAGCGCGCGAGAAGAGCACTAAAAAGGGAGATTCATCGTCCTCTCCTGCTCTGGATTCAAGCAGTGAATCTACGCAACAGAAATCGCGTCGACAAACAAGGACAGGTAGATTTATTCCTTCATACACTGAGTAGTATTCCAATTCATGTCCACACCTGGATTTCATCAAGCGCACAATCTGCCCGGCAAACCCTGTCAATACCTACTGTTCCAGCTTTTCGTCGCACAACTATGGCCTCGCATCGCGCTACGCCAAAGACTTCAACAATCTTTCCAGGACTGTATCAGTAAACGTCCACACGTTGCTCGAATACTCCTCACACCAGCTCCTCCCTGTCCACCATGTACTCCGATGGCCCTGTAGACTGTATAGCTTCTGTACGAACCCTTGTTCTAAGGCTTCGCTTTCTCGTGGCCAGAGTACTCCATTGTGAGCGGATAAAGCTTTGATATCAACCTCGCAGTCTCCTGTATGATTCAGGGTTCCAGCTTGGACCAGCTTCTGGACGCTGGAGGTTACTATAACCTTTGCTTCTTCATACGTTAGGGAGAAATTGGCTCCTAGCATCACACGGAATAAATTGAGGCCAGAAGGACCAGTCGTACCGAGAGAAAGGAAGTAGGCATAGTCTCGGATGGCGAGATGGTTGGACGGTTCCACTGCTCTCGGCATATACTGGACAGAAGTGTTCTCAGGTATGCAGGGAATGCTGGCCACCCCAACATAATCCCATTCCGGAGTCCAGGGTTTGAACACTTGTAGTTCTTTGGCGTCTTGGTCGAAGGGTTTTAAATTGTCTTGGCTTGGGTATGGGGTCCAGAGGACTTTCTTAGCTTTGATGAGAGTTTTCGCCTGGTCTTTCTCGGATTGGATAACAATGCGAACGCCTGTTGAGTCTCTTTCCGTTTCTTGAATCGTGGAGCCAAGGCGAACGTCGTCCTTGAGCAGCTTGTATGCGCGCTGATACAACAAACTGTTTGAAACTTTTGGCTGGATGAAAGTACCCTCTAATACGCCTTTGGTGACCGCCAATCCGAAGGCTTGCACGACTTGTAAAGTGGAAAGAATTTGTAGGTCGCCGACACCGACACCGGAGATGGTGACGATTCGAGGCACCGCGGCTTCGACTTTGTGTTCCCGTGCAAACTCACCAAATGGCATGAGGAACTCTGCAGGTATCTTGTCCGGCGATGGAAAGTTCCAGAAGCCCGGTTCAACCAGACTGTCGTACTTCTCAACGAACTGCAGCCATTTCTTTAGTCCTTCTGTGGTGTCGTTCAGCGTTGGTGACGTGTAATCGAGTGTCTTGCCCGTTCCGACGTCCACGTTGATCGTTGCGAGACGTCGCGATGTAAAAGAACCAAATTCAACGCTAAAGCGCTCGAAAAAGTCGACTGTCGGGCCATATTGCATATACGACTGCACGCCATACTCGAGTGTTGTATTCGTCTCCGGCACCTCGTATGTATCGACGTGACCACCTAATCGGTTCTTTGGCTCGATCACTATGATGCTGGTGTTGAAGTCTTCTCGAAGCCGAACTGCCGCGTATGTTCCGGCTGCACCTCCTCCGATGATCGCAACGTCCCTTTCTATAATCCTTGCCGCATCGAAGTTACTTTCATCGATCTTTGCACGCGCAAATTTTGCGCAGGCCAGCGCTAGGAGGCCGAGTACAGAAGCTTGCATCCGGGACATGATAGAATGCGAATGAGCTATTGTAGAGGAATAGTCATGCCTTTAAGTTCACAGAACACCGCATACAGCCTTGCCAGACTGAGGGGTGTACAAGGCTCGCTTATGCTGACGGACAAGAATTTTTGGAGCTCTTTGATGACACTGGATGGCAAAATCCAGGCCAAGCACATAGCCGAGACATGCCTGCCCGAAATCTTATAAACTGATACTAGCGAGAAGCACCAGTGTATATGAACGTGCTCCGATTGGAAGGTCTCCCATAAAACCGATCCATCCTTTACCGATGAAGCCCTCTGTAACATTCAAGCAGTGCGACTTTTAGTTTGGACTCATACCCATCTTTGCACAGAAGGATTGGCAGGAACACCTTCACTAATGACTGAGACAGATGGGTATGAACATGTCAAGACGTGGTGTTGCAACGTTTGAACATCGTAATGTGCTTCCGCATTCCAGGCGGCGCTAGTTTTTTTCTGGTTAGTCATATCTTCACCACTGTGTAAGAGCGGCCAACGTCACCGGCGCGCGTATACGAAGGAGCAACAACACACATCTCAACATTCCGCGGACCTTCGGCACACACCACGTCAAGGATATGAACCGTACATTCCAGTTCCTCAGCGCCTCCTTCAGCTTACTGTGGCCCTCCGGTAACAATCAAACCTCCACGTCTCCGGCTCGCGCAACTCTCCAGAATGAAGGCGACGAACCCTCAATATCCTATGCAGACATATGCGTCACACGCGCTATGCTTAAAGCCCTTGGTCTACCTACAGAGCTGGTTCTCGAGATCTTAGCCCACGCGCAGTACGAGCCTGTCATCGAGTTCACAAGCCGTCGCCGCGTAGTGGCGGAGGCGCTCATGGGCGCTGCTACGAGCGCAAATGTGTGTCTGCCTGCCGAAGTACTCAGTCGCAATACTATACGCCGAGTATCTGGACCAAATGTGACGCTCAAAGTCAAAGAGATCAAATTTGACATCAAAAGCAAAGACCAAGGATGGACAAGCGAGAACACTACTGGCACGTTCAATACCTCGTCCTGGTTGGAAGTATCCATTTTTAGACCTGGGCCGCAATTCTCGAGCCTTGAGGACCTTCCATTCTGGACCAGAGAGTACGACAACCCACAGGAGCTGCAGGAACAGCTGTCATCCGCGGGACACAAGCTTGTTGATGAGCGACCTGAAAATGCGTCGGTCGGCGCTCAGGGAGGCGAGCCACCCCTCGCCTGGTATCTGCAGGGCAACAAGGTAGCTGAGCGGCAGCATTCCGACTACCAGATTGTGTGGGCTCCCGATCGCAGCGAAGGCAACCAGGGTGCGGGCAAAGGTGATGGCTTTTTTGGCGTCTTGCAGGAGGGCGATTCAGTCCTAGTATGGGCCAGAGCCAAGGTGAGCCGCTGACACCACTGTGAAATTGAGTGACGAGCAAGCTCAAGCGAAGAACGGCAACTGACAACATTCAGTATCCGGGCTGGCGGTGCCAGGTCGACAACGTCAAGATGACTGTGCGCTACAGCTTCGACGAGCCGTCGTGAAGAGATGCACGCTAGTGATTACTACACTTGCAAACTCCCCGAACTAAGTGCGCTCTTGGGACAGACAACGACCTGTTGGGTCAGTGTGCAGTCAGAGGGCTGGGGACGGTCAAACCTTGGACGCGTATGACACGATGGAAACCTCTATGCTTTATTAGCCTGACGTTCTGATAGATGGACTATGCCAAAGTACACCATGGGTTAGTCACCAACATCAATCTCCCAAATCATAGCTCGACATCATGCATGGCCAAAGCTCTCATGAATGTAAGAAGTGAGGTTGTTTCCCATAGACTGTGAAGGCTGCATCCAGATATCTCAGCGCTTGCGGGAACAAGAGGTGTGTACGTTACTGATGTGTTTAGCAAGGTAGCCTTAAGCCGCGGACGACCAGTGGGCCAGTGTCTGCCGCAGCGTCCGTCTCTCGCACCGAGGTTGATCGTCGCTACATCTGAGAAAAGGCTCACGCCCGCTTCCAAGGAGCATTTCTTTAGTTGGGACGGCCAGCAGTTGAAGAAAAAGGGTATCATTCCCATTTTAATTACCAGGTATCATGTCTAATGCAATGCGCACCCTCACGGTTAACTCCTCTCCATCCCAATCCTCTCCCTACAACAACACAGCCATTAGCCCGGCTACAACAACGGCCCCCACCCACGCCCGCGGCTCAACAACACCCGCCATGCCTGCGTAATTCGTCGGCGTTGAAGTCGGCGAGCTGCTCGCTGTCGGCGTCGCACTCGCAGTGGCATTGGTCATGGTCTCATTGCCGGTGTTCTGCACACGGATCCAGTCCGCCCCCAGCGCAGCCCCCAAGCCCGTCGCATTCACAAACGCCGCCGTGTCCCAGCCGACGCGGGTCTGCAGCAGGCTCTTGAACCTTGCAGGCACGGTGAAGTTCTCGGGCTGCGCGAACAGCAGCAGCGTGTACTTGTGCGGGATGTCGCCGAGCGGCGGGGACGGGCGGAGGTAGGGCGCGAGGTCCTTCTTTGCGTCTTCGAGCTTGAGGGTCTGGGTGTCGGTCGAGGGCATGGTGACGTTGGTGGTGAGCCAGTGGAGGAGCTGCACGCGTGTGTTGTTGCGGGGGACGTCGAGGTCGACGAGCATGAGGATGGCGTGGCCGCCCGGAGTCCAGACGGGGGCAGAGATCTGCGAGGGCGCGAGCGCCGTGTCTGTGGGATGGTTAGCCTGCCATGTGTGTAGGCGGGGAGAAGGCGACGCACCTGCGAGCGAGAGCAGCTCGCCCGGCGGGTTGACGTTGTTGTCGGCCCAGGTGACATTGAGGTCTGTGTTGGCCTTGAGGGGAAAGCCAGGCGCGACGGTCGCACTCGCGACGCCGGCGAGGGCGGCGCAGAGTCCCCAGTTGACCATGGTGGCTGCACGAGCAACGAGTCTCCCGAGACGCCGTGGAAAGGTGCGTGAAAAGGCGATATCGATAACAACGGAAAGAGTGACTGAAACGGGAAACGCAGAAATTGAGTGGCAGTTGCAGGTGTCGAGAGAGCAGCGAGCTCCGCGACGTGTGAGTGGATTTAGCTTTAGGGGCGTTGCCTGAGGCTGCCTGCAGCGTGCCCACTTGCAGCTAGCCCGTCAGCCCACCAGACAATTGATTTTGCCACGGGAACGAGCTGCCCCACCGCCGTGCACCGAACGCTCAAACCACGTGGGGGCCTCGCCTCGCAAGCACACAATACGCTGGCTGTGCCGCGCCGTTCCGCTCCTCGGGCGCTGGACGTCGTGCGAGAAACGAGCGACGAGATGCGCGGTCCCCCGGTTGCCCTGGACTTGGCTGGACGGGGTGCGACAGTCGCCTTCGTTTGGCGTTGGTGCCTGGTTCACTGCCTGTTCGCCGGGTACCTTGCAGGGGACGCGTCTAGGCCCTCCGTCAGGGTCGCATCACCATCACGAATAACCTTGTTCAGAGCAACGCTGTTGTCGCGGAGCCGCGCAGTGCGAGCATCCGTAGCAGATGGGTATTGAGAAAAAGCAAAAACCGCGCCTACGGTTTCCCGCGAACCGCCCAAGTCTAACCTGCATAACGCTACACGCAAAGAAATCGCCGGGATGCGGCTCGTGGGTCGTGTGTGCCCTGTTCTTTCCTCTCTACGCCTTATTTCCATCGCGGCTGCCGACGTACTGGTAGGCTAGCTCCACAGTCCCAATGTCCCTTTCATTCGCGAGCTCGTTGAGCTCCTTGGGCTTCCTCTTGATGAGCTCCGTTTCCTCGAACAGCGTCTCGCGATCGCTATCCACCCGTTCAATGGGCGAGAATGACTCTGGCACTACCGAGACCCGGTTGGCTGCTCGACTGGTGCTCCGCTCCTCCATGCGCGACGTCGCCCGACTACTGCTCCGCTCGAATTGGCTGTTCAGCGATGGGCTGGAAGGCGACGACGACAGTATCGATCCTCTTCGAGAGATTGACAGACGCATCCGTGATGTCCGTTTCCGCTTGTCGCTGCCGTTTCCAGCAACTATTGTGGTGGTGACGACGTTCATCGGCAGCTCTGTTCGATTCACTTCGTGGAGCGCGCTAGTAAGGAAGTCGGACGGTGCTGTATTCCTCCTCGATACCGGTCTCGGTTTCTTCAGCGTGCTCGGCGGCGTTGTGCTGGACGTATTTGAAGAATTCCGTGACCGGTTCCTGGGGTCTGCCGGCGAGTGGATGAAGGTTTCTGTGGTGGGGGTGAAGAGAGCAGTTGGAGCCGGAGGCGGCGAGGCAGGAATCGGAGGGAGCGACTCCAACGCAAGTTTGGAGTGATAGGAAGGAGCTGCCGACGAAGCGTTGGATGGTAATCGTGAAAGTGGTGCTCTGGGGCTGCATGTGCGCGAGCTGGCCGCAGAGCTCGTCCGCCATTTGTCTTTCCACCTCCTCAGTGTTTTCCTGATCCCTGTACCGTCCGCCGCGTAGCCCGTAGGCGGCGAGAGTGTGCTTGTCTGTGACATGGTTGGCTGTTTCTGACCCAACACCCACGCTCAAGAATGAATCGACCTTTGAAAGACCGTGACGGTATCCTACGGGCTGTCGTGCACGCGATGGAACAAGAGTCAATTCCACGTGGGAAGGGCAGCGCAACGGCACTGCGCACTCTTATCACATCGACCCATCCCAAGCACCGTGGGCCCACCGCGTTGGACTAGCTTTCGGGGAAGCTGGAAACGGTTCATGGAGCGTCGGCTATGCAGGGGTCCAAAGTGCTGGTGGACTCGGCTAGCCCTTCTGGAAGGATTTAGGCCGTGGGGAGCGAACGTGCACGAGTCTGACTGGGTCCGAAATTATTGGCAACATTTGTGCACGGCAGCTCGCAACACGACGGCTGGGCGCGCCTCATTAGCGCTCGTAATTGCTGTGTATTAAGGCTCGGATGCATGACGACCTCGCCGTGTGCCGCTCCCAACGTGGGCTTCGATAGTGCGTCGAGGCCAGGCGGAGGAACACGCCCCGTCGACATGGGAGACGCGACGGGATGTGCATGTAAATAAGATCTTGGCGCGTCAGAAGGGGTCGCTTGTGCTACTGCAAACAATCCTTGATAGGGTGGATTTGTACATCTTCTATCCTCACCGGAGTCCGTTAACCACACTCCGGGATCGCGACCTCCGCACGCATGCCTGCCTCCTGTACGTGCGATTATACGAACAATCCCGTCATCTCAAACCGCTGCTCGCTTAGGCTGCGGGCGTTGTGGTTATCCAAACCTTATCGCCTCCATACTTTGCGATCCAGGCAATTATCGCGCCATCTTTTTAGTTGATAAATCGCATGGTAAGTTCGACCCTGGCGCGTGTCAGTCGTTGCCAACGGCATATCCCATATAACTCACGTAGCGAACGTTCCTGCGCTAACAGGCATGGCCCTCAATAGCGTAGGACCGATGCCTCTCCAGAAACCACCGAGGCCTTCAGCTTTGAACGTTTGAGCGAAGCAGTCGCGCATGCTCTTATATTTTTGAGTTTCACCGAATCCGTCGGTTTGCATCTTGCTCTTGATAACGTCGAATGGATAGCTCCAAAGCCACAGCGCCTCGCCAGCCAGGCCGCCATACAGAGCCACCTTGGCGGTGCTAATTTCGTCTCGTTTGATATTGTTACGCTCCGCGTCCTTGTTCATCATAAACTCGAAAGCTGCGAACCAAGCGCCATAGGCATTCGCTTCACGCAGGAACGTCACTGCGGTTCCACGGTAGACACCTCGAATGCCTTCATGCGCTGTGAGTTTCTTTATGCAGTCGATGGGGCCATTGTAGAGACGAGCCGCGCCGTGAGGCTGTGTCTGTAGGCGGATACGGATATGCTCGATGGGACTTGACAGTACTGTGTTCGTGATTCCTGCAAATGCACCGGCCGCATAGTACTGCGAGTAGCTGAGGTCGCCAGAGCCTGTCTTTTCGAGATTCCGCGCCTCAAACGCGCGACGAGCATAGTGAAATCCACCAAACTGCACTGACACGCAGGCTCCAATGCCAATCAACGGCGTCAACGTCCCCTTGTAAAAGGCGAGCGCTCCCTCGTTCTTGTAGATCTTGGTAGCAGCATCTAGGGCGCCTGAGTACTGCGATGTTGTTTGTAGCCTGACTTTGACAATATCAAACGGCTGCCCTGGTCCGAGTTAGTATTGCGGGTACCGAGTCCGGAGTAGAATTTCCATCGATGGCAGGTAATGCTCTTGGTCAATACATCTTATTACACTCAGTAGATTCGCGAGGATCTTGACCCTCCAGCAAAGCGTGTTGCAAAGACGGAGTCCCATAGAGTTGTAGAGACATCCGGTTACGTACCGATAAGCACCTGTGCAACACCACCGACCGCGCCTGCGAAGAGATCCTTCAGCGTCCTCTGGAGTCCCAGGTCCGGGGCCTCCAGCTCTGCCTCGATCCCCATCGTTGACTGTGTATACGATTGCCGTTTCAATTGTCCTAGTCCTCCCAACTCTTATCAGCGCACGAGCCTCCAGCGGGGCACAGCTAGCACGACAGGTTCTTCCAGGCTCGTTGATGGAGCTGCGTGGAAAAGTTCAATGTTCTGAAAGTCAATCGAGGATGTGAACGGCAATTGAAGGTGTTGAAAGCCGAACTCGGGCCTTCGCATTGGTCTCCGACGGCGAATCGAATTCTCTGGTTGCGTGCTTGTGCCAAGGCGCTAGGCATATATTGTGTCGATGTGCATCGCTTTTGTTGTCGACTTGGACAAAGAAGATTCATTCCTGCGAACTGTCAAGTCGTGACAATCATGTTTCCAGACTGGTATCAATGTGGATATCAATTTGAAGTAAGATATTAGTATGTGGTAACAAATAACCCGAGCATATACAAGAAATCAAAAAGCCGCGCCAAAACCACCAAGGTAACAACAAAATCACCAAACCCGGCGGGATATCTATACACAATTCAGGACGTCTATCGCCGAAGTCTTTCTGGTGCCATAAGCTGGCATCCAAATACTGAACACTCCAACAATCTCCAAGACAGCGCACTGCCTTGGCGCAACCATTCAGATTTTTGTTCCATCTCAGCATGGCCGTCGTTCTGTAATTTTACACACTCATGTGAGTTCGTCTCCAAAGATGGATCCAGTGTTTCTAGGCAATGCTACCAGCACCGCAGCTTCCTCCAGAAGCTCTCTTTCGGCTTGTTCTCCTCGTTCGGCGATGATGGCGAGCCGGCCTTTTCGTCGAGAGGTGGAAGGGCCGCAGTTCCGGCGGTATGCGTAGCAGGAACACCTCCAGACGCTGCTAACCGCCGTGCTTCGACAACGCGGCGGACGAGTACTATCCCGTCAGCTACTGAAACACTCCCGATTTCAGCAACACTTACACGCAAAAGTCTCCTCGATATTCACCATCTCCCTTGCGCTCGTCTCCATGAAGCCACAGCGCCTCTTCCGTGCCCACTCGAGCCCTTCAGCAGCCTTTATCACGCGGCCAGACGACAGATCGCACTTGTTGCCCGCAACAAGCTTCACTGGCGGCACCTTGCCCTGGTCTATTCTGTTCTCCTCCTCCATGTCGATCATCTCGCAAAAGTACTCGAGGCCGTCAAGGCTGTGTTGGTTCGTGATATCGTAGACGAGCAAGAAGGCGTCGGATCGCAGGTTTGAGGCTGCCCAGAGCGAGCGGTACTCCTCCTGGCCCGCCGTGTCGGTGAGCATGAGGAAGTAGGACTGGCCATCAACGGAGCGCGTCACTGAATACGAATCTTCTGTGTAGATGTCAACGGGGGTGCGCTTCGCGCATGCGCGGTGGCTCTCGGCGCAGTCGGGCGCATATGGCACTCTCGTCGCTTCGGGACTCTAGGCGCGGTGCGGTAGACGTACCTATGGTCGGATCATAGCTGTTGCGCGCTTCGTCAGCCCAGCGTGTCTGGAATGCCACGACTTAAGCGCACATCGACTTACTCATGCGTCCATTCGCTCCTCACTAGCCGCAGCGTGATTGAACTCTTTCCTGTCTCGGCATCAGCCTCCAGCCCTTCCGCACATGCGCATGTCCCCCTTGGTGTTTCGTTTGCTTGGCTGGGACAGACATACCGCAGCCGCCATCCCCGCACACTGTAATCGTGATTCTGTTGTCGGGGTCCATCGTCCCGCACTCCCAAGCTCAAAAGATAGACAAGAATGGAATCGCCGTCGTCGTGGGAAGAAGCGAGCGTGGGTAGCCCGGTCGCGGCTGCTGTCGTTGCTGTCGGTACTTCTGTCGTTGGGTCGCAGTGCGCCTCTGCCCAATGATGGCAGCCGGAGGTCAGCACACGACTCCGCACCTAGCTTGAGTCTCAACCGTGTCAAAATGTCTGGGACAAGCCCTCTCTTCCAATATCGAGCCCGATGGTGTTCGTACACAGTAGCTGCAGTTACTGTCGTCGTGTCGGTGGTCACAAAGAAGCAGAGCGGGAGGCGACGTTAGGAGCGTTTGAAGAAAAGCGGCACGTTGCACATCTTGTCCGCGACGACCCTTGCACCCGCCCTACCCAAGTTGTTCCATGCGCCCGCGATGCCGGGGTGTCCATATCGCAATTTAAGATTGGCGTGCCTGATGCCTGCACTCTTCAGAATGCACGTGCGCATACTTGCGTGCGCATCATGGGCTACCCCAGAGCTGGACCTGCAATATGACTCTGCTATCTTACATCGCGATTATACCACCCGCATCGCGGCGACCGCGCCGCAAGATCCAAGATGCCATCGTACCATGACAAGTGCGACGCAAGGACCAGCCAACATCGCACATTCACAGGTCCTCGCAGGATGACACATGCGCCCAGGCCAGCTCATCACCCCAATCAGCTGCTCCTTTGCCAGCCATCCCGTTGCATTGCGTTTCAGCTGTCTCTATTCACACGCCGCGCGCAGGCTGCATTCTTTGAGGAAGACCGCAAGATTGCCTGAGGGCTAAGAGCAACACCTTTACTTTTTGAGAAGCAGAAGGCCCTTTTGCGCAGTGATCGTCTATCAAAACTACCCGATTCAACACAGGATCGCAATGGTCGGCGAGGCTAACGTACGATGTCGACAGTACGTGGGTGAGTGCTCCACGAAGATACCGAGGATTTGCACGGGGGTGTATATCAGAACTCGCATAGTTGTGGCAAGCTATTAGCTAACCTTATCAGATTTTGTAGTTGGTCCAAAACTTGTAGGTCGAACCCCACACTGGTGGTTGCGCAATGTTGACCGGTCGTCGATCATACCACCGAATTGGCCACTCGTTCACAGCTCGAACGTTACACTTGGCGTTTATGCCTTCCAGCCATTGCAGTGAGGCTGTTACGGTGTGCTTGTTTGGACGCTTGCGTTCTGATCTATATTTGTCGAATCCAAATCTACATAATAAGTTGTGCTGAGTCGCGAAAACAAAAGTCTAGCGAGGCTGCGTCGATGACTCCTTAGTACACAGTTTGAAGATTGGCGTTTTCGTACACCGCAATCTCAAGACACAAAGAAGCAGCAAAAGGAAAGACCAAGCAGGTCTGGGCAGCGTTGACACCCAGCAAGCAAGTGCACCGATTGCTCTCAAGCACTAAGCAAGCCGAAGGAAACAGCAACGTCAGCACACTTGTTTCTCGTCATCGTCGAACACAAAGCTAGGTCTCGATTTCATCTCAGGACTCGGCAGTATCGACTCGGTTGCACAAGTACACGCAAAGAGCAAAGCAGCAGACAGTCCGAAGTCAAAGCAAGGACACAAGCAGGCAACATTTAGACTTTCCGTAGAGAAGAGAAGAAAAGGTATATTAGGCCGACGAGAACTGCATCTCAAGTTCATCACGCACATCTTCCCATCCACTAGGTACCACACTGCATTCTTGTGGTACCCAGTGGACATATATATCTTTCCATTTCTCACAACGTCTCTGGCGGTTCAATCAGTCAGTTGATCATGCGTTTTTGCCAAAGACACGTAGACAAATCCTGCTACACTTCACACCTGTTCACCTTTGCCATGTATCATCCGACGCGATGACCTCATGCACTCGAACAGCTTGATGCATGGGTCAGGACCACCACCTTCCACACCCTTGCCCCAGGTTACCCCTCCCGTCATCGTTCCTCTCGACAATAGCTCAAGATGCGCAACAACAAGCCCAACCCAAATGACCCGCCGAGCCCCAGTCCAACGGAGCAGCAGAGCCTCGACTCCAGGACTACCAGCCCGAAAAACGCGCCCAGCCCCAGTCAAACGGAGTCGCAGCATCTCCGCAGCACTACCTGCTGTTAGCTATATTTCGAGCAGACTTAGTGGAGCGCAGAGGAAAGCAGCATTCCATCTGCGGATCGTGCCAGAGAGGTGGTTATACTATAGGAACGGTTCTTGTAAAAATAAGGGCTGGTCCACTTTGGAACGACAACTGACATTCTGACAGCGATGTCGTCGCATGTAGTTCCAGCCAGGGCATACCAACTGGACGACATGAAGGAGCAAAGCAACAGCGCTTCTTCACATCCATATATATGCGGAGTCAAGGCGCTTCTTGGAGCCGGGCAAGACAACATCCAAGGCTGGAACACCACGGAGGCAGTCCGAGGCGAGAAACGATCGCGAGAGCACGCCTCGACTTGATAATCCGGCTGGAGAAGAATGAAAGGGGGTTGGCGAAGGCGACAGCTACCAGATGGACGACACTCCCGACGTATAGTATAACGACACTGAAGACCCGCTACTGGGCATCTACAGCCATGGCAGCTACCCCAGCGAGCCCTATGTATACTTTCCAGGCTTGGTTGACGTGGGTCGCTCTGGTCCAGAGTCACCCAAGAGGTGGATGAGTATTGGCGAAATTCGAGACTGCGATCTTACATATGGATCACTTCCAGCATTCCTCGCTGACATGGTGAACCAGCTGTCTGGCACGCTCTTGCATGCAATCATGCTGACACATCACGACGACTAAACACGAACCAGCTCGTCAGCCATATCGCACCACAACATCTGCTCCGAATGCTTCTTCAAATACACACAATTCGAAACCTTTAATCCGTACTATATACACCTGCTCCTGTGTGCTTGTGCAGCACGTAGGGCCTCATAGGACCACAGCAAAATCGACCTTTTACCAGATTGCGTACCTGCCCCCACCCCCCACGGCTCGAATCCACAGAGATCTCAACCACGTTGCACGGTACACATTTGAGAAAGCTGTGGAAAGAATGAGGACCCTTTTAAGGTGGCGGTGACCAGACCGTCCGAGATCGAGAAAGACTTCGGTGAGAAGCTTCTGACGGGGTCAACAGCCAGTGAAAGTCCCAAGCATGACAACGACGCAATAGCCCCAGCAGTAGTGTACACGCCCCATACCTTCGAGAAGAAAGCGGAATTGAAATCAATCGGTGACTTGAATTAAGCCTGCAAGGGAAGCCTGAGCAAGTCAAGCTGCATGCCGCCGAGTGGCGGATTGGCATACGGTGGGTAACACATTGTGCCTGATGCATCATTATGTGCTGGAAGCACTTTTTGGGGGGAACCTGGCAGAGTACTACGCACGTCCCTGGAGGTGGTGGATCAGCTCCTTCCACTTTTGTTCTCCCCAGTGTTTGAAGATGAATACAGGGCAGCATCGAGAGCAGGGCGATAGGATGGTTCTAGCGAACAAATGCCGCAAGGTATGCTGTAGAATTTGGAGCAGCGAGAATATCATCATATGAAGTTCTCAGCACCTGATACTGATTCTTCCATACCAGTACGTGCGTTCTGGTATGCCAGCTGTATCATTAAAGTCATATTCAAGCGAAGACGACATTTCTGATGTTAATTTGCGGCTGAGGTCTGTGTTTCGGCTGTCTCGCGCGAAGGATGCAAAAGGGGCTGGGCAAGCGTGTTCACGTGACGCTTGTGCAGAACCTATCTGCAGCCGCAGACCACGATGTTCTTAATCCCAACGACATCAACAAGGTCAGTCAGGAGGCACTACGCTAGCAGTCCTGGTGTCTCGCTCGACATGACTGCTGGCCGAGCGAATTGGAACGATCGGAACGTGCATGTGCAGGAAGATCGAACGCCGCTGTGGAGGAACCGCTGCAAATTCAAGAAAATAATGAGAACAATTTGAACCCATCCGTGCGGAAGAAGTCGGTGTCCTTCAAACTTGCTTTTGTGGGACTTGCATTGGTCCTTTTGGTCTTTCAGATTGGACACAACCTGCCTAAGCATTGCGCTTCCGATGAGCGAGGGCATTAGCTCGGACTTGCGTCGTGCTCATGCCTCGAGCTGAACTATTGCAGACCATCTCTGGAGAGCTCAAGGGCACGAGTCTGGAGTCTTTATGGGCAAATCTTGGTTATAGCCTTTGCGGCCTCGTTATGCAACCGGTTTGGGCCAGCGTCTCCGATGTCTTCGGTCGAAAATACCCCTTCCATGCATCTGTGGGCCTGTTCTTCGTTTGCTCCATCGTTTTTGCTACTGCGCAAAACATGAAAACCCTCATCGCGGGACGGCTTTTTCAAGGATTCGGCGGTGGAGGTATCGACGTGTTAGTGTCTGTCGTCCTCGCGGACATAACGGCGCTGGAAGAACGCTCGAAATACCTGGGCATCATGGCCATCCCTTCAGCGGTGGGCAACAATATGGGCCCCTTCGTCGGCGCGCTATTTTCTACCTACACATCCTGGAGATGGATTGGATGGATCAAACTTCCACTTTTGGGTGTGGGGACGATACTGCTATCCTTCTTCCTCAAGCTGCGAGCCGTTCCGCTCGACGCGACCCTAATCAGCAATCTGAGCCGACTTGACTGGGTCGGTATGCCACGAGTGCGTCATGGTCGGTATAACTACCTTCTGCGTACCTATAAGTTGGGCGGGTTCTCTGTTTCCATGGGCATCCTGGCAAACTCTATTCCCGTTGGTCCTAGGAGTGGTGATGCTCGTCGTATTTGCCTGGTACGAGTCCAAGCCCGCGGCGCCTATCATTCCCCGCCGACTGTTCCAAACAAACGCGGGAAACATGGCTCTTGTAGGGGGCTTCATCCATGGCATGGTTTTCATCTCCTTGCTGCAGTACTTGCCGTTATTCTACCAAGCTGTCCAACTCAAGACAGCAATATCGTCGGCCATCTTTCTGCTGCCTACAGTCATTATAAGCGTGCTAGTCACAGCCGTCTCGATGATGATGGTTCCGATGTTCGGAGGATACAAATGGCTTCTGGTTGTGTCGTGGGTCGTCACTGCGCTAGGGTCCGGTTTGCTTGCTCTTTTCGGCGTGGAATTTTCGACGTCCGTGCTGTATGGGCTTCCGATTCTCTGGGGGCAAGGCGTTTCGCTACTACGCATCCTCATGCTCCCCGTTCAAGCAAGTGTCAAGCACGTTGACGATGAGGGCTTAGCAACTGCGAACTTCCTCACTATTCGCATGTTCGGAGCGCTTGTCGGCCTCGCAATCTGTTCGCCGATATTCAACATCGTCTTCTCGAACTCCGTCGCGGAGGCTAGAATCGAGTTGACGGGGTCGCTGGCGCCACTGAAGAATGCCTCCAATGCCGTAAGTCTAATTGGCGAGCTGAGATCGCTGGACGTTCCCGCTGCGACCCTAAAACTGGTTTCGGGACTCTACCTGGAATCTTTCAAGGCCGTATTCTATACCATGGCTGCATTGAGCGGATTGGGGTTATTGTCTTCGATATTTCTGGACGAGATTGAGCTGAAGAGAAAGGACCTTGGTAACCAACGCTTTGAGGACCACTAGAACAAGATCAGACCATCTCCGTAGAACGTAGACAAGTGCATGATAGAGAAGCTGTAATTGACGGCCTAGAAAAGAAGGAGGATTCTGCGTTGCATAAACGGCGACATTAGGACAATAAGTAGAAGTACTAGTTGGGTCGGAGCCATCTACTACTCTCGGGTACACTATGCAGTGTGTGACTTCTTTGTGATACGTCATCCATGAGTTAAACAAGACGCAGATAAGCAACGCATCTAGCCCAAGGTTCGGCGTGAAGGGATTCGGATGTTCTCAAAAAGAGAGTGCGCTGACCCTCTTAGGGCGACTACACTAGCGTGCCTTGGTAAGCGCCAAGCTGTGAGAAACGCGGTATATATCATCCCCCAGAGGCCCACATCAGCAAAATTTGGCCTGCAAAAAACATACAACAGCGGGGATTCGCCAGTGGTCACCCACCTGACTACTGATCCGCCGGTACACTGCTTATATATGGCTGAGCGGACGGGAAGCCTAGTTCTCAGTGTCCTATGGTCGTATGTGAAAGATGTGCCTAAAAATTCGAATATATCCAAAGAGGGTTTCTTCCAAGCTCTGACCGTCCGGGTCACCCTTCGACTTACATGCTCCAATTCGTTCCAGAAGTCTACGCCACAGCTTTTAGACAGCTAGCACCCCAGCACATGCTACATCTATTTTAGACTCTCACGCTAGCTATCCGACACCCTACAGATTATTTGCGGTAAGTGATGGAGCATCGCCCTGGTAGACTATACCGATGCTTACCGGACGTTTGTAGGAGACGATTCCTATCTAATTCGTCAAGTACAGGCTCCCAGACCTGGCTGTCAACTAAACGCTACGCTTGAACAACAAAAGCATCAAATGGCTCCTTTCACACAGACTCGGCCTAGCTATCTGATATATTATTACAATATGTTTCCAGAGTTCTTATCACTGATTTTGAGCCACTCAAGTCGTTGCGGGTGGCTCTGAGCTGGTACCAGGTTTGGTACCTAGGTACTACCGCATCTGCACGTAGGAGACACGATATGGGGCAGTAATTTGCTCGTTTCGCTGCACTCTGCCCGGGCAAGGCATGATGTCTTCTTCCATACGAAATTTCGAAGAACATAGGACCCCCAATTCAGTGCAGACTTCGAAGTTGATGCCGACCAATCAAGATCAAGCTCAGTCGCGCATCATGGGGCCTCTTTACAAGCAAATCTATGCCGAGTAGCACCCACACACGGCTGAAAGTTGAGAAGTCCGCATTGGCTTTCATCATCTTGGCGATGCAGCCCCCGCGAAGTGTCGTGGCTTTGGATTGGCTGCGTAGGTGGACCGGTCGCGCAGGGAGCTGAGCTAACTGCGGCTGAGGGCTTCGTCTTACACCCAGGCCCCCGATCACAGCCTTGTCTCAATCTTCACCAAAGTGAGGAAATCACCATAATACCCATGAAACGAGAATGAGAATTCTTGACACCTACTATGGATATCTACGTTGGCTTATCATGTTGACAGTTTATGAACGTATAATAAAGTTAACCCAGGATAAGGTACGCGGTACCTACAGTCCATTCCCATTGTTTATGTCAGCCACGGTACTTGACTGCTAGACAAACCTTAGGGTAACACAAGACACTTCAACCTCTGTGGATATGCAGCAGCGTAAGCAGGTTCATCACTCCGCCTTGGGTAATATAATACATTCAAGATTCCATTGAATCTCGTCACGATTGGAGTCCGTCTCAGGACGGGTCGGTCGACAATGGGGATGGTGCTAAAGACTGAGTACCACCGGCCTACCGCTCCGCACTTTTCGGAATAGTCGACACTTAACAAGTGCCAGGGGCCCCTCGTCACAAATGGCTCCGGAAAGACAGCATGATAACCCCTTCGAGCCCCCTCGTCCATGATCAGCAAGAATCGGGTGCGTGCAAATTCCGACTTGTTTGGACATCACCTCCTTGTACAGATCTGACAACACCAACGAGGAACTAGGAGCGTGTATTTCCTCGGACTGAGTAACGTTGGGCTCCTCGCTGGTGGTCCCTGGAAATTAGTGTGGCAGCACCTAGGCTGACAAGAGAGGTGACGGCCAGTCATCTTGGGACCATTTGGTATGTCCGCCAGACAGAGAGTACAAATCTCTCGCTGTTGATTTGTTTAGCTTTCGTTTCGTTTTCTCCGGTTTCGCGATACGCGCAATCTCCTCCTCAGAACCTCGTCGGTGATGGATGGAGGACGGAATAGTATAACGCATAAGCTAGTGCATATGGATACCGAACACCTCGGGTTTCGGAACACCTTGGCAAAACGCGACACCTGCACAGAACATGCGATATCTCCACCAATAG